GGAAAAACAGTTAATTTTAGTGAAATTACTAAAACTGAAAGGCAGAAATGAGAGAAGACGTCGGAGGAGATGCTACGTGTGGAAATGCATGAGAAGGTACGTGCGGAAATCCGTGGGAGTGTATTGTTGCGTACACTGCGTATTGTTTTTTGTCAATATATATTTTTTTCACGCACGTGAATTTTTTTTGTCTGTACGTGAATTAGGTTTCATGCATGTGAAATGGTCTACGCATGTGTGAATCATGTTTTTTTGCGTGAATTATATTTGAGACTAATCTGCTTATAGAATAGTGGAGGAAAAAAGAGGAGCTGATCACTGTTGCAGGGATGGTATCTGAGATGAGAAATGCTTGAAATGAACTCCATGTTGGAGCTGTGCAATTTGGTTTCCGGTCCTCCAAACTGCTGTCCAAACGTGTTTCAGTGATCTTTGCAACTGCTTGGCAGACATCCTGGGAAAGGTTGAGAACTTGTTCTTGCAGCTTAGGACTGACTTTCATCATCCTAACCTAACTCTGGAGATGTATCTGTTATCATCCATGTCAGGTGGTTATGCAGGTAAGAGCTCACTCTTTGGGATTCCTCCAGGGATGATATCTCTTGCTGCAGGGATGGGTCTTCAGTCATACTTTCAGGCATCTGGTGACTTCCTCTGGCTTGTTCTGGCTTCTCTTGCTTCCATCAGGGCCTGCTTCCGTTGGTCTTGGAACTCCTTCCGAATTCTCTTTGCAGTGTTGTAGGCAGAGACTATGGTGCCACCTGGTGTCAACTTATCGCTTTCTTCTTCATAGTTTGCCTCTTCAGTTTTCTCTTTAAGTTCCTTCCTTCACCTTTGAGAGCATGCAGCCAACATTTATTTCTGCTGAGCAGATCAGGGTAGAACATACTTTCTGTGGCACAATTATTTCATTTTAGTATTTTACAATTGCCACCTACTTCATATTGCCTTCTAAGGTGGGCAATCAAGGACTGACATCTGTATGAGGTAACATTGTGAACTCCATGGCTTTCCAAATATTTACGGAATTCATCCCTCAAAGCTGTAAAGAAGAATATGGCATTCAGGTCTGGACGCAGTTGCCATCTAGGGTGCCCCGTCTCTGAGAGAGCAGGTCCTCTTTCAGAAGAATGGGCCAGGGAGCGGCTGTCGCAAGGAACACTAGTTCTGGGAACCAGGTCCGGTTGGGCCAATACGGCGCAACTAACAAGACCTGCTCCTCGTCCTCCTTGACCTTGCAAGAAGGCACACTGGGGGAAACCCATACTTGCGTAGGCCTAGAGCCCAGCTGCGTGCCAGAGCATCCGTGACGAGGGTCCCATCGGTCAGAGAATCGAACAACTGGCATTGAGACATGCCCGGGGTGGCAAAAAGATCTGCCTGTGCGGTCCCGAAGCGCCTTTAAATCAGCTGGACCACCTGGGGATGGAGTCGCCATTCTCCCGGCAGTACCTGCTGCTGTGAGAGCTTGTCGGCTGCACGGTTGAGCAGGCCCGGAATATAAATGGCACCAAGCCACTTCAGATGCTTCTGACTCCAGAGGAAGAGATGGCGGACGAGTTGTGACATGCGGCGGGACCGTAGACCACCCTGGTGGTTGATGTACACAACGGTCGCAGTGCTGTCCGAACAGACCAGTACATGCTTGCCTAGTAGCGGCGATTTGAAGCGGCTGAGTGCAAGGTGTACTGCTAACAATTCGACGCAGTTGAGGCCCCAACCACAGACCTGAAGCTGCATGTCCATTGTACGTGGCCCCCCGCAGAGGCATCCGTGGAGACCACAGAATGTCTAGTCAATTGTTCTAGGGGAACGAAGGGTCAGATGGAGAAACACAATGCACACAGAAGGAAGCAAATGCCTTTAAAGACACCATTTTTGACATTTCTTAATACCTCACAAACATAACCATAAGCTGTGTACATACCCCCTCCCCCTCCCGTTTTGTAAGTTTAAATGTGTGTGTGTGTGTGTGTGTGTGTGTGTATATATATATATATATATATACATTTCTTATTTTTTCTTCCCCCCTGCAGTTATCAGTTCATAAATACACATAGGCATATGTTACACATAGGCATATGTCTTATGTTACGTGTAACACTCTGTAAGTGGTGCTATAATCCCCCCTCCACTTATGTACCAAGGGTCTCAACAAAATGGGTTGAATGGTTACGCACACTGTATATAAATGTAATATTTGTCTTGTAAAACATTGTGTATATATTTTTTGAAAAAGTTGTCCTCCGAAGAGCCGAGGTGGTGGCGGGCCAATAAAAAAAAGAAAAAAGGAAATATACTTGTTTGAAGACTGGTGTGGTCCTTTCATTTAATTACCATTACAATATCCATATTACCATGCTTTTCCCAAAACGCTGGGGCAGACCTATTGGTATTCACTAAAGTCAATGTCACTCACCACAGACAATGATGAGCAGCTTCGAAGTCCGTTGATAACTGTTGATAACCGTTGGTAACCATTGATTGGTTGTTCCAAACTCATTACAATTACTAAGATCATGTGTGTGTGTGTGTGTGTGTGTGTAATGGCATGATGCTAAATATCCAGCATGTTTTTACGAATTTTGAGAGTAGTCTAAAATTCTATTGAAGTTCTGAGCCTGTTGATCGCCAACTATAGTAGAAATCATCACAGATCCATTAATTTTGGTTGGATTTTTATATTTTTTTTCTGTGGAATGAGTATAGTGTTTGGTGAAAAGAATGGCATATTGACTGATGTCATAACTTAGGGGAATAGTTGATTGCCAATGAATAAAAGATGAAAATATTGGAAAAAAGTGAGAAAACAACAAAAAAATGTTTGCATTAAATTGATACAAAATCATGTAGAAATGTGTTTTAAGAGGTCAGCACGTGTTCTGTGTTTCTGGAATATATTTATTGACAGCCTACCCAACCCACAAAGGATTTGTGGAAAACCATTTTTCACATTTTTTCTGAAAAAAAAATTAAAGGGTGCATACACTAAAATGGCCACAAGATTTTTTTCACGATATTTCCGGCAGAGCAGTCCCTCCAATTATTGGTTCTTGGGGTCAAAGTTGACCGAAAAAAAAAAGAAAACCCCCCCCCCACAAAATCAAAACTATGGCAGACCATGTCAGGTTCAACCCATTTTATTGAGCTTTTGTGACTTTGGCTCCCCGACTATTTTATGTTGTGTTGTTTAAAGATGTGTGGCGGCAGTTGACCGTGAGGGTCTGCCGTCTTTACTTTCGTTTTTGTTTTAAATTTATTTTTAAAATTGTTGAACGTTCACTGGTTCCTTCCTCCTCCTTCCTATAACATCTGAACATCTCCACCTCGTCCTGCTCGTTGTGTAAACACACACACAAACACACAATTTGACATACATGCTCCGCTGTTACATTGTTACAATTACACAGTAAAACTTTAGTGACATTTTTATTTGTGCATGGTAGAAAGCAAATACTGATACTGACATAATGACATGCAACAAATATGGAAAATTGAACTACATGGTTGGATAACAATTGATAATGGTGATATTAGGTGACATGTATTTGGGTATCTGTGTACAGGTAGCAGGAGTTTGGATTAGATTGCATAGCAATTTAACACAGCATAGTGTTACATAGGCCAACTTCAGAATGCATAACACAGTAATGACTTAGCATTGAGACCAGGCTATGCTTAAAGGGGTCATATAATGGTACACGCACTTTTACAAGTTGATTGTAATGAAATGTGTGTTGGCAATGCCTGTACACAACCATCATATAATGATGAAAATCCATCCAGTGTTCTTTTTTTTTCATCCCCTTATGTTTCCCCCTGTCAATCGAGCCGTTCAACACAGATCAGTACTATGGTAGTCAATGGGGATTGAGATCTGTTTAATTAAAACATTCTTCCAAATATCTTCCTTTGTGTTCAGCAGAACAAATAAACACATAGAGGTTTGGAGCAACATGAGGGTGAGTAAATACTGACAGAATTTTCATTTTTGGGTGAACTAACCCTTTAAACCGCTTATTTAAAAAAAAAAACGCAACTTGATCCAAGATAATTAATCAATTACAGGCCGATCTCAAATCTACTTTTTCTGTCAAAATTGATAGAAAAGGCAGTATCTTCACAACTATGTTCCTTAATTTTTTTTAGAAAGGAATGGAATCTGGTATAGAATGGTATCGACCAAAAGTTCAGAATGGAGTACCGCAAGGCTCAGTGATAGGACCATTGCTGTTCACTCTGTACATACCACCCTTGGGAGATATCATTAGGAAGCATGGAACTAGTTTTCACTGTTATGCTGATGATACTCAGCTCTATACTTCTTCGAACCCGACGAAACGGACCAATTCACAAAATTAACAGAATGCATAGACGATATAAAAATTTGGATGACTAGTAATTTCCTATTACTTAATTCTGAAAAAAAAAAACAAGACTTTTTACTGCATACATTAACCCAGAATGCTGTCTAACAAACGACTGCTCTGTCAAGTCTTCATCGTCAGTTAGGAACTGCTCTTTGTTACCAAACTTTCATTTGAAAGCCACGTTTCTAGCATCTGTAAAACCGCATTCTTTAAAATTTATCTAACGAGAGTTCAAGAGATTTCCAAGACGCATGCGCGAGAACTTAACTGAACTGCAGTAGAAGATCATCGCAATTCTCGCGCATGCGTCATGGAAATCTCTATAAACTCTCGCCTCAGGCCTACAAGGAAGAAAAGGAATAGTCGAATAAAGTGGTTTTCTTTTCTTTTTGTTTTTTTTTTCTCGCACAAAAAGTATTCTCATCGCTTGATAAACTTATAGTTGAGCCATGCACTGTAGACACATGGAATATTTAAACATTTTCTTTAATGACATTCTGGGCCGTCAAGTTTCTTTCCCTTAGCCAGCCTATGTAGCAGTGATCCACCTCTCAAATTTAATCAAAAATATCTTCATTTGTGTTCCGAAGACGAACAAATGTCTTATGGGCTTGGTACAGCATGAGGGTGAGTAATTAATGACTTAAATTTCATTTTTGGGTGAACTAACCCTTTAAATCTCACATGGTATTATTATTGTATCATGCTATCAAATGTCTTACCCGTTGCTGATTCTAATTACGCCATTAAAAACCCTTGAGTATCTTTTTCTGTGATGTGTCACAAACATTTCCAGAATATTGTAAGGAGGTTTTTATGTGACAACTTAATGATATGTTTTTAATGGTTCTATTGTGGTTAGGTTATATTAGTTTTATTTTCATAAGAGAGTTTACAGAATGTTAGAGAAAGGTTTTGGCTAGACGAAAATGACTAAAATAAGTACAACACTGTTCTAGATGTATCGAAATGTGCAAAATGAAGATGTATTGAGTTTGGGGCCTTTTTAGATGATTCAAGAGTTTTTATATATACTGAATCTTATTTTCATGCCTGGGGTCTATGGTATTTAAAGGTTCCATAATATTTCTCTGGACTAGTGTTATCTGCCTTTATTCTGGTTTGCATTTTAACTGTCTGGTCAATAATATTCCCGGTACTTTCCAGGTGCTTTCCAGGTAGTACTTTACAGGTAGGTCTATCTATCCAGGAACAAATATTCCACTATCTCCCTGAAATATCCAATATGTCCTTTTTGTGACTTTCTTGCTTTTCTTTGGTCACATTATCAGTCATGCTCTTCATTATCACGGTTACACCAACACCACTCAAATTTAATTTATTACCTATAGCCTATTTGACTGTTTTTAGAATTACCTGTCTTTATTCTGGTTTGCATTTTAGCTGTCTGTATGTATAACTTTTAAATAATGTATGGGCAGGCTTAATATCACAGCTATATATAGGCTACTCAGCATCATGTTTGATCATCCTTGGTACCCAGCCGAAGATTCACTTTGAGACTGAAAAAAAGTAAGAATTGGCAGGATGGCAGTTTATCAGCAACAGCCTTTTTGCAAACCAGTAAGTGACATTTTTAATGTAATGTATCTTTTATTATAATATATCTTCTAAATTTGGCACAGGGATTACTTTGAAACACTTTTCACTCAGAAATAGCTATTTTAGTGATTGAGGTATGCAGCAACATTTAGGGCTATCTTGTCAGATTAATAACTTTATTAGTCTTCAAAACAAAAATGCATAAATATTCTTACTGTATGCACATCTCCAACACAGAAAATGCCATTCACTGGTCCACTCCTGGGGGGCTTGCAGGAAGGGAAGACCGTTGTCGTAATTGGAAGGATTTTGGCAACGGCTGGCAGGTAAATAACATTTTAAAGTATATAAATATATTATATTTACAGAAATATTATAAGGTCATCACTATGTTTTGTACACAACTTTCATTCTGTGTTTTGCAGATTTCATGTGAACCTTCAGTGTGGTTCTGAATCCAATGCTGACATTGCTCTGCACTTTAACCCACGCTATGATGGCCTAGCAACTGTCGTGTTGAACACTTTGCAGAACTCTAACTGGGGTTCAGAAGAACGCAAGTCAGACTCTTTCTTACTCCAGAATCAACCATTCATCCTCCAGATCCTTGTTACCAAGGAGACATACAAGGTACGACATCGCACCACTTGATCATGCTATAGCAGCTTTTTTTCGGTGAAACTCTATCGCATATCTTCACTAAAACGTTTATTTCATGCTTCAAACCCTATTTATTGTGGCACATAATTTGCCAATGCCACCAAAATTGCCCTTTTGTTCAAAAAATCATCATCTGAGCTGTACCAATGAAGATGTTCAAATGTTTTTCACCACACTCTAAAAATTGTTGGGTTGTTTTACCCAACTTTGGGTCAAATATGGACAAACCCAACCATTGGGTTACAATTTTTGAATACATTTTTAACCCAGCGTTTAGGTTTGTCCATATTTGAACCAAAGTTGGGTTAAAACAACCCAGCATTTTTAGAGTGCATGGCAGTCAACACGGGTGATTTTTTTTTGTTTTTTAGTAAAGAGAAAATTCCCGTAAAATGACTTTCAGGCAAGCTCCATGTAGGAAACTTAATTTGTTGACTGGATTGTAAATTTCATTACTAGGTCATTTGCCAATTTAGTTCAGCACTGTAAAGTAAACATAATGTTAGAGATACTAACCAAATAAACATGTAGGTTCGACACATTTTGACAATTAAATGGATCATTTGACTTTTACTCAATCCTGAAAGAATGTTTAGAAGTTGTGAAGACAGTTTCACAGAGAATCACTCATCCATTTTGATCAGCAGGTATTTTGTTATTCTGCAAATAATTAAACTTGTACTTTTTCACACATTAGAGCGTGTGCAGTTTGAACAGAATTTAAGATATGACTAAAAACAAATTGTTTAAAAGAACCTTACTAAACTTATTGTTTTGAGAGAGAGAGAAAAATCTCATTCAAAGTGATTGTCTTTTTGCCAACAAAAGGTTAACTCTGTGGCAAGAGAATCCTACCATTTTGCTTATTGTACAATGGTTCTCCATAGATAAGTGTCAACGGGAAATACTTCATGGACTATAAACACCGTATTCCCTTCACTCGGGTGGACACAATCGTAGTGGAGAAATTGATGGATCTGGATTTCATTGGCTACCAGAATCCTGTGGTGAGAACAAAACAATGACTACCACTACTGGCCTGTCATTCTAATCGTTGACCCCTTTATTTTTCTATATTTAACAAATGTATAAAATCTTTTTCCCTTCTATGTTTTTTCGTGCAATCAGGGGGTTCCATACAAAGCCGTGATCAACGGTGGACTACAGCCTGAAAACGACATTGTCGTTTATGGAGTTCCTAACCCTGACTCTAAAATGTGACATAAAATCCTTTGTTTCAAGAAAACACATTACATAAACATATTTGTGTAAACATACAGTTTATGACAACATATGCACTCTTCTGTTCCAATCTTCATTAGGATGGAGTTCAATCTCCGTCATAGATATGGGGTTGCATTTCACTACAAATCCCTTTTTGAGGAGAACGTGGTTGTCTGCAATACCTTTGAAAATGGGAAGTGGGGGGCAGAAGAAAGGTCTGGAGCTTTGCCTTTTAAAAAAGATCAACTCTTTCAGGTAGGCAGAATTCTTATACTATTTTTATTCAAATGTTTTGATTCATGTTTGGTTCAAATCTGAAGTGTATGTCACTGGTTCTAAATACCAGAACCTTATAGGGTTCTGTCAGGAGTTTCAAATTTAGAACCTTTTAGGAGTTCCCACCATGGGTTGTGCTTCAGCTCTGCGTGACTGTGGAAGAATATGGTTATCCTAGAGGCTCAATCTGACTCTCTGAAATGTTGCTGGAGCAAACCTTTTACTGTAAATTTCTTTAAAGAGATTACCAGATTTATGGAGGACAGGGTACATCACAACACAGGACTTTATGGAAAAATATCACTTTATTGACAATTTAATTTAGAAAAATAGAACCATTATGTAAATAAGCATTTACAACACATACACACTTCTTTTTTTTTACTAACCATCAGATGGCGTAGCCGGAGCAACTTTTCTCTATTTACAGATGCCCTGTAGGCTATGAAATTTCCTGTGAAAACCAGCTACATCTAAAATAAACACATACAATAGGCTTACCATAGTAAATCAAAGTAAGACAAAGACAAATAATTGATGTATTGACTCATTATTTAAGTTTTGACTGAGCACATGATAACTGAATTCTAATTTTTAGGTGAGCGATCCCTTTAAGAGTAAAAAATATATATCTTACTGTTAGTTTTGTACTTGTGTTACAGGTCACCATCTCCTGCAATAAAGAGCAGTTCACTGTGTGGGTGAATGGCCAGCAAGCACACACTTACAAGCATCGCTATGCTAAACTGGAGGACATTGATGTCTTTGAATTTTATGGAGACATGCAACTGTTTTTTGTGAAAATCTAACAAGGATCCAGGTTTATTGGAAGTGCTTATTTACAACTTCCCCTAATGCGTTAAAAATATTCAGTGCTGGTGTCGTAGAAATTTTAATAGATAAGATTAATTCTATCATGTGATAAAATCTATCATACTTCCACTTCTTTGTCTCAAGGTGACTAAACTTTGCATTCTAGATCTAACAATAAAACAAAATAAATCTTAGTTCCTTTTATGTAGCCATGAGACGAACTTTCAATGTGAATTAACCATCTAACAAACTTTTGACTTAATGTACCCTTGGTCAATGTTGAAAATTTCTGTTCTTTTAAGGGATTGACTGAAATGTTAACCCCTTACAAACTGTTTTTGAGGATATTTTGCTGATGTCACTAACAAAGGATGATGAGGGGATGGGGCTTGCTTTAAACAATGTAACCAATAATATTGATAGAGTGTAACATGATCAGTCATAATGAAATAAATAGTCACGATGATTCTATTTTTATGTGTCTGATAAAACACTGTACTTCTTATTTGAAGTTGAGATTCTCTGAGGATTACTCCAGAACTCCCAGCTGAAATAAAGAGCATATCTGAAAGACATTTACTGAAGTCTGTCTGTAAGTCTGTTTGCCGCAGCAAGAACAAGTAAATTAGAATTATTAATTTAGCACCCAGTGCACTCGGGTACAACTTTGGCCGACTAGAGTGAGGATTATTGAATAGTTAGGTTCAGGGAAAATCCATTACACATTATTTTCAATACAGTCCACTATCCACACAAAAAATGTAGTTAGTAATGTAATCCATATTTTACATATTTAATGTAATGTAATCAGATACTTTTAGATTCCTTTTGACTTAACTTTTTTACCATGTTGGTTTTGAATAGGATCTTATACTATATTGATATAAAAATACAAAGAGAGAAAAAAATCCTTCTTTGGTATCAACAACCTGAAAATAAATTTACACTACATAAGTGTTTCCCAGGGCGGTGTTCATGAGTTTAATGAAACGGTATCTATTAAATCATACAAATGTATAATTAAAATGAACAATTGAATTAAAACAATCAAAATAAAACACTAAACATGATGAAATATTTTATTTATCTGCATGTAATGTGACCAATAACCAACTTGAGAGAACCATGAACTTAATTCTATTATTTATTATTATTATTGGCTTATTTTTATTATTGACCAAATTTATTAACTTAAAATCGTAAATATAGAAAATATATAGTAAATATATTAGGTCAAAGAGGTTCAACAACAAACTGGGGAATCCCCCCCATTCCATGTAAATATGAAATGACATGAATTTGCATGTTTGAAAGTCAGTTTGACAGTAATATAATACATGGTTATGGCTCACTGAGTGATAATTCAAATAATGAATGTGTCCGTCAGGAGCTGATTAGACATGAAATGTTAAGAAAACACTTGTTAAAAGTGAAATGATTTGTGTAAATGCAGTGATGTGTGCTGCTGTGGAAACTGCTGTGGCTCTCAGTTTTCATGACGGTCACATGACAAGTGGCTGTGTGTGCAATTCCACAAACCCAGAAGACCTTCTGATTATGAGCAGGCTTTTTTTTAGGATGGAAATTTTTAAAGATAATAAAAGTATTGGGGAGAATCAAATAAATTATGAATAATTTACAGAATAACGTGTAATCAATAAAAAATAGCCGTAGTCTGATTATACTGTATTTTAAAATGTAATATAATTTATTACAAGTAAACTTAATTTTTGGGATCTAATTATGTAATCCAGAAAAATCAGTTACTCAGCACTGCATATACACATACTTTCTAACCAAATACCAATTACTTTTGCACTCTGCTAAATATATCTTTGAAAGTAGAGATCTACTCAGCAGCATTCATATCAGAGGATCAATGTGACCTTTAATTATTGTGAAATTTACAGGTGCAGTAAGCATTTTTTTCAGACGCAGATGTCTGAACTCCCAGACTGATTTCACTGAAATGTGTCCTAAAAAAATAGGAAGAATAACATCCTACAATACTAATATATTATGTACATGAGTATATACTCTAAAAAAAGGACGAAAAAAAGGCACTGCATAAAATGTTTTTTTTTTTTTTTTAAACATTTCATGCTGAAATTGCTTACAGCAACACCGGTTCCTCTAATGTTGTTGGGTTAAAATATATATATTTGCTTGGCTGTCATGTTGTGTAGTTATTATATTTACTTCTATGCAATTGAATAAATAATTAAAATAACCAAGTTTATGATGTGATTTTTTAGAACAAGTGAACAACATGATAATTCATTCCTAAAACTGAATTGGATTATTGGAATCATACAGACAGACCGACGATATAACACATAGGACCTTGTGGGATCTGAATCTACTAAATTTGTTCAAAAGTCGCATTGTTCCAAAAACATTTCAACATACGCCCTCTGGTGATTATAAGTAGGTTAACTTTGTCTACTCTGTTGATGTTCTATTTAGATTGACCTCAAGATGGCAGCAGAGGTCTGCTTACATTTCTCATTAACGCCTTCATTCATAATTTCCAGTTTTTCTCAGTCGCTTTGGTACATTTCTCGCATCATCCTCGACATTTGTAAAACAGTAAGTGCATTTCTCAAAACAATTCGTACATTCTAGCAAAACACCATGGATTTCCTGCAAAATACAGTCTCTTGCTCAAAAGTTCATCTCTCAAAAGTAAATATCTGTGTCAATGAAGATGTCAGTGCCTGATCAGAATGGCAAGTCCTTGTGTCATTGTGTACGGATAAGACAGTCAAATTGCTTAGTCATGTTGTCAATAATAGGCTATAGCAGTGTACTCTGGAGGGAGGTTCTGATGTAAACTATGGCTAATGTTTTGATGACAATTATTGTAAATTGTAGGTTACAGACCTTAGTGTGGGAGTTTCAAGAGAATGGACAAGATTCACATATGCTTTTACTGTTTGTTCTGTAATTTGTTGACAGACTATGTCATTGCAATACAGAAAGGGAACGACAGCACTGCATAGCACAAAGAAAACTACAACAACAACAAAAACTAAAGTAAAATGTGAACAGGATTTAGAAAAAAAAATCTAATGTAAATGTATAGAAATATGTTTGATTATGACAACTCGTTCAACCATTTTGCCTGCAAAGACTTATGCCATCAACTAAGCCTATGTTGTGGGGGGTGAGACAATTCAACAGAGACCCATAATACATTTTGATCAACATGACATAAGCAATTGATAATGCAGGAAACAGCATAGAAACGTACATAATCATTTGCATGGAAGCAAATATAATTTAATGCCTAATCTGATTCTTGAACATTAATTTGCATAGGCCTATAGCATTAATACATGTTTTTGTTTGTATACAACCACATGTTCAAAAGTTTTAAAATGTCAAAATTCCTCCAAGATGGTTGATCATTGTAATTATTAATAATGAATATGAAGAAGCTTTGGATTATGTCAAGAAAAACACACGTGATTTTTTATTTTATGATTGAATCAGAATACCCTCTGCATTATGTTTGAATAATTAGCAAACTATGTTTTTTTAATGTGTCTGCATCTAAAGTAATTCATTTACCAGAAATGCCAGACTTTCATAGTTGATAAGTTACTGTAGACATACAGATAGGCAGACAGATAATAATAAATGGACAGATAGACAATAATAGATTGACAGACAGACAATGATAGCTAGACAATGATTGATAGACAGAAAGATAGACAGACAGATGATAGATGGAAAGATAGATAGACAGACAGACAGACAGACAAACAGATAGACAATGATGGATATATATATATATATATATATATATATATAGACAGACAGACAGAAGATAGATAAACAGACAGGTATAGATAGATAGATAGATAGATAGATAGATAGATAGATAGATAGATAGATAGATAGATAGATAGATAGATAGATAGATAGATAGATAGATAGATAGATAGATAGATAGATAGATAGATAGATAGATCTATCAATCGATCGATCCATCACGAGTAAAAGCACATCACCACATCCCCATTCCTCTTGCAATGTTCCAGTTCTTCTGTAGCATTTCTGCGCATGCGCAGCCACACAGACTGAAACCAGGGAGAGAGAGGAGGATTCAAACTTCCGGTGGTGTGTCATGGCGGCGTGGTGGAGTATGCTTGAAGTGAAAAACTAAACCAAACCCCCCTCCTCCCTCCACCTCCTCCTCTATTCTCCTCCTTAATTATTTTGCGGAGCGGTTTAGGGGGTATTTGGTGAACACAGGGCGAATCGGGAGCAGGAATCGGGATCGCAAAAGTGATTGATAGGAGACATAGCGGCGCGCGCATCCGCCTGAGCATGGCGGCGCACAAGCCCGTGGAATGGGTCCAGGCCATCATTAATAGATTCGACGAACAGGTAAAGAAAACATTGCTGGGGATTTGACATTTCGAGGGCAAACAGAGAGCATGCAAATGAAGAAATGCTTAGTGCCTATGCATGCATACGCGTTGTTTGTGTTGAAGATGTGAGGTTGGAGGTTTTGGGCTTGCACTGGCCAAATACAATACGTGAATGTCTTGATTCAGGCCTGATGTGTTGCATTTGGCAGCAAAAGCCAAATATTGGGTAGTAGGGTCGTGATTGATTTGATGAATGTTCAGCTGGGTCCCTCGCGCGCACTGGCTAAATATAAACAAAAGGAATCAGACTCCCTCCGTGCTTGTTGACATACAGAGAGATGAGATTGCATTGAGCAGCCTTACAGAAACCCACAGTCCTGTTCACAGAAACACGTTTAAATCAAACTTGAACAAAATAATCATGTCATTTAACAGTGCTTTGTTTTTGAAAGTTGTCTGAAACTTTAACACGGTGTTGAATGCAGAATAACGCATTGTATCAGCCTGAAGTGGCAATGACAGCACAGAGTTTTTGACAGGTACTTGAGCATAAGTAATATATCATGGATTTAATATGATTGTCTGTCTGTGGATTCTGCTACATAACACCATAAAGGTGCACTACATGATAGAACCATGCAAAGTTTTACAACTACAGTTTTGAAAAATAAAGGCTTTTTAAATGATGCACACTACTGGCATGAGCTGAAGGCTCCAGTCAGATCAGTCTTCTAGACAAAATATTGTTTTCTACTATTGAAACTATTAAGAGAACGAAAACTAAAAACGCCTTTATTAAATGTCTATACTAAATAGCTGGTAATCTTTAGCTTCTTTTAGTGTTTTGATGTGTATGCCTTCCTCTGACTTTGCTCAAAGCTATTGCTTTGTTCCTGAAAAAGTGTGCTTAGTTGTAGTAAATGTTCACGTGTAGTGTATACTTCAAATCTTAAGAGTACTTTTTTATTAGTACTTGAAGAAAATATGATCGTAATGACATGATTCACTTGACACATGATTTCACTTCTTAACAGAGTGCACATCTAATAATGTAAAATTAAAGTACATTTGAAATAATAGTTTTAATAATCTTTTTTTCACGCTTTAAATTACACTTACTTTCATAGTTTGATGTGTTGACCAACATACTAAAATACATGTAAAGTACTCCATTTTAACTGCAGTGTTATATTCAATTATACATTTAAAGTAAATATATTTTAAATATACTAAATTGCAACGTCATGTGTAATACAAATATATTTAAATGCATAATTTATCGACATGACATACAAGTTTCAATAGATATAATGTAAAATTTTAGTTTTTCAAAAATTCTTGTTTGTATTTCAAAGACAATACAAGTAATTTTTAATTGAATGCAAAAACATTGCATTCACTTTGCACGCAAGTATAATTTAAATAATATTAATTGTTTTCCATAATAAGTACTCTTTCTGAAATTACACTAAAGTGTACTTTTTTTCCCTCAAGGGTGTTCTTGTTATTCTCAATTTAGAGGCTTTTCACAGGGTTTGGCTTCTCATGCTGCAGATTAGGGGCTCATAACAGTTTAATGAAAGTGTAAAAAGGAGTTTAGCCTGTTTTATCGCTAAGCTGGTGTAGTTCATTTTAAATTAGAGAGCTTAAGGCACTTGTTTGGTGGAAGCGTAATGCGCTCCTCTGTATGTTCTCCTGAAATGAATGACAGCTGCTCAACACAATTGCCATTATAAGCAGATTATAAATTGCAGGATTCCTGAATGGAAACCACCAGATAACACAAGGATCGATTGTTTAAGCTGATCATCGGTGATGTGTGGCTTTTTCTTGCTTGCATTAAGGCAAGTTCTCAGTGGTGGTTATTGCCTTGTCAGCAGCTATATGAATGCAAAGAGCACCTTGAAACAATGACCTCACAGATGCCATTGCATGGTCATGGAAAACGAATCTGTCCTCTCCCTGGGGAAAGCTCTGAGTCAGGAATGAGAAGTTGATGAGGCATTATGTTCTACATAGCTAGATTTTGAAAAGCTTATACTTGAATGAAGATGACACTTGTTTAGATATTATTTTTCCTCTTGGATGATCATTTATTTAAGAGAGAATTTTGATTTGATGTTGTTGGTAGTTTCTGTTCAATTGTTTTTGTCATAAAATATGTAAAGGTCCACAAAAGTGCCTTGAAACACGCAGCATTATTCAGTGTGTTGGCGTAATTTCCACTGAAACAGGCAGACAGGTTGGGACATATCAAATGTCTCCTCCCCTTTTTTTAAATAGCCAATAGAGTTTTAATTTATATCGCCACTCGACCAGAAGCCACTGAGTTCAGTAAAGCCACAGTTTCCTCCTTACAGTACGTTCACACCGCTGCTGGCGAGAGTTGCAAAATTCGCTCTCGCCGCCCTGCCAGCGACGCCGTGGAAAGATTTGTTGTGCCCACGGGTCCTTGAAATCCTTGAAAATTTATGAATCTGAAAAAAAAAAATATTCAAGTCCCTGCAAAGTTTTTGAAAATAAACATACATAGATATAGGTCACTGAAAGTGCTTGAATTTGTTTTGTGCAAGAAGTTTTCTGGAATAAAATCCATCCATGTGTCCCAGATTAAGTCTTTGAATTTGAGGGTATTAAACCTGGAAGGTCCTTGAAAGGTCCTTGAATTTAAAATTAACCAAGGTGTGGGAACCCTGTCTGATGCTCTAATGTAGATTGAGTGCGTGATCTTTTTTAAAACTGTATTTAAAGGGGCCGCAAAGCAAACAAGCATGTCGATTGTTATTTTTGCTGAAAATTGATCGATGTAAAGAACTTTCAAATTATAGTGACATGTTTTCTAATGAAATAAACAAATTAAAGGCCATTTGTGTGGTGTGGCTTTTGTATTCATGGTTAAGTGCTATTATAATTTGCATTCCCGCTGAAAAAGTGTTCTAGCACGAAAATCATGCCTATAAATAGTGTTGCGCGGAATGCGCGCCCTCTTATCAAATTCAAATGATCAACCTCCTCTATTTTGCTCCGGAACTAATGTGGTCGGAACTAAAGTTTACAGGACTGCGTTCTCTGGAATTCTATCAAACGGAACACTTCTACATTCCGATTGGTTGCCACCAAACCGCGTCACATTGCTTATTACCATAAAGTGGAACTGACTTCAACTGTCCTCGCTGCTCTCGCCGTCCAAGCCGCGCCACCGGCTCTCATTAAAAAAATGATGGACTTCCGGCCTGACGCTCTTGCTGGCGGCGGTGTGAACATACAGTTACCTCTAACCATCTCTTCTCCTAATTTCACCCATATCACTTAAAAATACAGCATTCTGTGCAGAATTCAAATGGATCTGATTCATTTTCTGGTATGCGTTGACTCACGCATAACGCCCAGTTTATACTTGCGCATCGAACTCTCGCTATAGCTACGTTGTAGGCTGTGTGTAGTGTGCGTACCCTGACTTGCACCTCTACAAAATTGTAACAATGCGTCAATTCTACGCGGACACAGTTTCTGTGATTGGTCTGCTAGAACCGCTCCCTCTGGTTTCACGTGCTCCCTTTGCGTGCGTAATTACACGTCACTGCGGACAACTACGCAGAAGTATAAATGAAAACTAATTCGTAGTCTATTGCGTAGTAGAGGCTCCTGTGTTGGTCCAACGTGGAAGTATAAATCAGCCTTAAGATCCACTCTGCTATCAGGTCTCAGGTCTCATAATGAGACGACATTTGGAATGCTTTTATCTTCTAAATGTGAATTTTGTCATCATTTTTGAGCGCACTAGCTTATAGATAACAGTAAGGCTAACATATTCATACTAATATCCCCCCAAAACTTTAAAGGTATAAAGATGTATCATCATGTACTCACCTAACCTCCATGTTGTTCCAAACCTGTATGACTTGAATGAATTCAGTAAGGTCCAATGTTGTTTGGATTCCAATGTTCTTAAGAATGTGTTCTTTTGTTTTATGTTTCACAGAAGAAAGTAAGGCCCCGTCCAAACTATTGCGTTTTCGTTTAAAAACGGAGACCTTTTGCTACGTTTGCACCTCCCGTCCACACTAAAACGGGAAAAACGAAGACCTAAAACGGAGAAGTTTAGAAACGCTGCAGCTGCGTTTTGCGTTTTGAAACTCCGGAGGGCGTTTTAGTGTGGACGAGACAAAACGGAGGAGTTTACAAACGATGACGCAGAGGCTTACGCTCGGCTCAATGATTGGGTGTCATCAGTCATGACGTCTCCTTCCCTGATTCGCCAACCACTGTTTACACCGGCGCGCGCATGCCCAGTGTTGGTGAATGGTCACGTGACCCGCGTTTTCAGTCGTTTTAATGTGCACGGAGATCAATTCTAATACGCAGACAAAACGCTAGTGTGGACGGAGATCGTATTCGTTTTAATTCTCCGTTTTTAAACGAAAAAGCAGTAGTGTGGACGGGGCCTAAGTCATACAGGTTTGATGAGGGTGATGAATGATGAGAAGAATATTTTTACATTCGGGTGAACTATCCTTTTAACATTCGAGTATATTTGGTCATATTGCAGCAATATCCAGGAAAAAGACTAAATGATAAAACATAGGTGCAAATGTTCCTGAAGTTTTGAAAAGATTAGCCAAGAAGACCCTTCCAACTGATGTGACTGGCTGCAAAGTCATATTTTTCTTGAATAGTGGCCCATGAAAGTTTCATTAAACTGTAATCTTACATAGTCAATCAAAGTCGATTAATTTGATAATATTTTTAGTTGTCTTTTCTGTTTATATACTGTCCACCATAGCACACATGAGGACGTCCTGCTCTGCCAAAGTGCACATAAGGGAAGTGATTGGTCCCTGACTTTTCTGTAATTTTAAACCATTCCTGGGAAACAAAGTGCTCACTGTCCATTGGCATCCTGCATTAAAATGGATGTCAATAGGGCTGGGCTTTGCGTGCTGTGAAGAGTGTTTTATGCGTACAGACAGTGTGTGCGCTGGGTTCTTCTCCGGTCTTGAGACTTTCATTTCCAGCCACGCGCTTTTCTCTTAGGGCCACACAGTAGTGGGCCGGAAAGAAGGAGAGAGTTTTTCTGACATGCCGCCTGTCACACTGGCCATTGCAATTGTCACACCACTTAAACAGTGCAACCAATAGTTCCTTGCTGCCTTGCACCACAAATGTAGGCCTGCTTACCTAAAGCAGATTAACAGCTATGATTTGTTGAAATATCAGATTTACAAAAGGTTTAATCTAGCTTGGACTACTTTGACACATCAGTAGGTGATGCTAACTGTGTTAAATGTGTACTAGTTAAGTTGGCACCACTGGTGGTGTGAAAATCTGTCACTAATTACTCGTCCTCGTGACGTTGCAAACCCGTAGGACCTTCATTCATCTTCAGAACCCAATTGAAGGTATTTTTGATTAAATCCGAGTGCTTTACTGATTTCTCACCCCCTCCATAGAACATGATTGCCACTTTCGAGGCCCAGAAAGCTAGTGAAGACATGGTTAAAATTGTCCATGTGACAACAGTGGTTCGACCTTAATTTTATGAAACGTCAAAGAATAAGTTTTTTTCTGCGGAAAAATTGTGTGCAGAATGTTTTAATGCATTTTTATGGGAACTTTTTTCTTTTCTTTTCATCTCATCATTGGATAAAAAGTACAGGAAAGATTTGAAATGATGGTGAGAAGAGGGCAGGACTGGCCTGGGACATGTTGCAAACCTGGTTCAAACTTGTTTTGCCAAGAAAACACTGCAGATCAATATGTCAGAGCAGTTAGTTGGCGTTTGTGAGTTGTTCGCAAGCTGTATAACTTCTAGCGCAGTCAAAGTTCTTTTGATCCAGAGAAGAGCCATAGTACTCGGAAACGGTGAAGACCAATTCCTCATCAGGGAACGCTTAGAGGGGGGAGAGGCCCCCACCCCCTCACTCCACATACGCTTCATTAAGACGGCCAGACCATGTGTGCTTTCAACACTCCCACTGCTCAGACTTTAACTGCTTGTGTGTGTTGGAAAGAACAAGAGCAGATGTGCTGGCCCGCAGGTGTGCGGCATAGGACGGAAGTCTGGAGAGCTGGAGGCTCTTTGTTTTAACACCTAAAGTTTGAGAATTTAGACTCAGGATGGGTGGGTTGGTGGGTCAATGACGTGACGCTTGCTTTTTCTGTCCGACTGAACTTTTTACCAATTAATAAACATTAAAATTAATAAAATTATAACATGTATGTCTACCACCTCCCTTATACATATGCCCACTCTTATTTCTCTAAAAATAATTGGTTTATTGGCATTTTCTGCCACCTGAAGTGTGAAAACATCATGTGGGGCGACCGTCCGGCCTTGACTTCTGTTTGGACAACTGGTTTTAAATCAAACTAAAATAATTTAAATATAATCCTTACCCTATTTGGCATAATTTTAAACTTGTTTTCCATTGATTGACAAAGTTATGAAACATTTGTACACACATTTCAATCATAATAAACAAACAAATCTTGTCCGAAGATGTTCATTATCTGAAATATCATCTGGGGCGACCATCAAGAAAATACAAATAAGGGACTTATATTCTGATAATCATCTCAAAGAGGATGTTGCATCAGCCAGCCTCATGGTGAGGGCCCCACAGAGACAACTAGCAGGTGAGTGGCCACTCTCATTTTTACAAACAAATCCTCTTTAAAACTGCTGCAGTGTATACGTCACATTTTGATATCATGTGGGGCGACCAACCTAAAACTGTAAATTATAAGTTTTATACGCAAATCTTTATTTTTAAATTTGTAAATTCTAAATTTGTCAGTGATATGTGGTTAGAAGAAGCTAACTTGGGCTCTATAGCTAAGCATTAGCCTGTTATACTTGATTAAACTTGAAAATATCATCTGGGGCGACCAAGCATCATGTGGGGCGACCGCCACTGATTGCTTAAATGATAGAAAACACATATCATGTATTTGTAGTTTCTGTATGCAAATGTTTACATTCATTATATGCATTTAGTTGTTTTAAATAACTTTCTAAATTTCACCACATATTTTTTCTAAATTTCAATAATTTCGCTGCTACTTCAGAGAGGACTAAGCTTACTTCTTTTTGATTATTATGTTTTTTATCAAAGAAATGTGTGAATATTAAGCATTCATTCTACTTTTTCCAATTCTTTTTCTAACTCTGTGTATGTTTAAATATACTTTTTTTTCTAGATGGCCCCACTAACAAGCAAAGAAAAGACTGCTCGCTACAGGCAGCGGAAAATGCTGTTCAATGTGTCTGCAGAATGCTGCTATATTCAACTGTTAAATGAAAATAGTAATGAAAATGCAAACATTGTATGTTTAAGTGATTAATGGAATGAAAATGAAAAAGGAAAATGCTGTTCAATGTTATGTCCAAGCGTTTAATGCATTAGTATTGAACATTTTAATATGATGGTTTTGTGTCAAATGAAATAGTGAGGAAACTGTTAATGTTATGAAATGTGTCAAATGAAATGGATATGCTGATTCTTCATAAAATTTCATTAAATATGCTGATTCTTCATAAAATTCCATTAAATGTGTTTTAACTATCAAAATCATTGAATAGTCTTAATTGCCTGCTGTTTTTCATCATGTGGGGCGACCATTTGTCATGTGGGGTAACCAACTATATTCAATTCTGCAGTAAATTCAAAAAATAATATCTGTCCATTTTGGTTTAAATATAATTCATTGGTATAACATCAATAAGCGGATACTATATCTACACATTTTAAATCAGTTTTATGGATTATATGAGTAAAAAAAACATGTAATTGCTTTATGAGGGTGACACTGCCATTATAGATAAAAATGTATTTAACATCATTTGCAATAAATGAAAGGACACATGAGTATATCTTTCTTAAACAGTTCAATTAATTACTGATACTTCTTAAAATATAACTTATGCAAAGGAAATCTATTAATTATAAGATAAATTACGGTCGCCCCAAATGACTTTTTTAAGGTCATTGCCCTATTCATTTGAGTTTAAAAGCACTAAAATATCTTTGTTTGAAGTTTTCACACACATGCATGTGTAGACTACACTCCACATGTTTAGAAAATAGACAAATATATTATTATTTCAAGTATTTTAAAAATGGGCCTCTCAAAGGCCTTATACGTCATTGACCCTGGTGCTTTAAGGGGCTTGGATGTTCTCTCAGGGTTGGGTGTGTCAAATTTAAGACTGTGCGACCTCTTGCTCTGCAGTCTGTGCATCCCACATGTTACAAGCTGTTCTCCACCCAGTGCTCTCAATAAAGCCATAGCAGAGCCTTTGAAAGCCTGGGCCACAGGAACCCAACATTCACACCTGTTCACCAGACCCATGGGTCCTCTATCATCTTAGCATTCTTTGATAAGACTGTAAATACAATGGTTAGCCTATATTTGTGCTTTTGATTGGTTTTTTTTTTTTTAATGGGAAATCAATGCTTTTATTCGGCAAGGGCACATTAAATTGATAAAGTGACTAAAACCACATTTTAGTGACTTAAAATTATATTTCAAATAAATGATTTTGAACTTTCTATTCATCAAAGTATCCTGAAAAATGTATTACTTTTTCCACAAAAGTATTAAGCAGCACAGATGATAATAATAAATGTTTCTTGAGCAGCAACTAAGCATATTATAATGATTTCGGAAGAATCCCGTGACACTAAAGTAATAAATAAATTACATTTTCAAATTATTCATTACAAATTATTTTGAATTGTAATAATATTTCTGTTGAGCACATAAATGCATTCTTTGTGAGCATAGGATGATTCTTTCGAAGACTGTGTATTATCAGCATTTTCTACTGCCCTGCTCTCTGGTCTAGATATCAGCATCACACATTGAAAAACCTATAAGCAGTTGACCGTTAGTCAAGGCTATGATAGCATTTTTTGGATGCTTTTGAAAGTTTGTTGGTTTTAATCACTTTCTTTTTCTGTCTGTCTCTCGTTCACAGCTCCCTATTAAAACAGGACAGCAGAGCACCCACACCAAAGTGAGCACAGAGCACAACAAGGAATGTCTGATCAACATCTCCAAGTACAAATTTGCCCTCGTCATCAACGGCCTGACCAACATCCTCAAAAATGTGAACAACATGGTAAGTCCACTAGGGGTGGGAATCACAGGGTACCTCACAATTAGGATTGGGTACCGAAACCTGGGAACCGACATGTGACTAGTAGCCAAGTAACTGGTATGGAACCAGACCGAATCAAAACGCAGATTTCGGTGCCTCATTTCGGTGCCACTTAAATGCCTCGACTGTTGGTTGAAATATCTGCCCTCTGGTTCTCCGAAACTGACGCTAGCAACAGCACCGCATGTGATCGCTAGTTAACCATTTGACATGTACGATTGTTCATGTCAATGGGTTAACAAAGGGTTATTGTTCTGACATGTCAAAGAATAGTTGTGACACTGGTGTGGTGTCACAACTATTCTGGGTTTTCAACCACATAAGGTTTATTTTAGGTTTCAGACAACCTCGAGATACAGAGTTAATTTTTTAACACCTTTAATAACTGATTGGACCCCATTTGAAACGAAATTAATTTATAGAAATAAAACGCAGCAAGTACGGAGCAGTTAAAGCCCCATTTCCATCACCCTTCAAACTGAAATTGCCAATTGAAAATAAGCAAAACGTCCATTTCACAAAAACTCTGTGTCTGCAAATAATAATAATAATAATAACCATCATCATCATTATTGTAACATTTTATTAGGCTGCATATGTAGAAGACGCCTTTATCCAAAAAAGGAACAGAGCACAAATAAACACAATATTTTTGACGCATATCAGCGCATATCCAGTGTGTGTGGAGCACGCACTGATGGCTGCGAGACGCCCATGTGAACACTTGCAGTTTCATTGCATTTCTTTCAGTGGAAACAACTTAAAATACTCTTTCATTTCTGGTCATACAGAAAATAATAATACATTATTCGCAAATACATTTATTTGCGTAAACTCACAATAACAAGAAAACGTTGTGCTTTAACAATTAATCAAGGCGCGCTTCATGATCTCCGTGAACTGAAGCGCAAGACCTGAAACAGCCACCGTAGATTAAGATTAGTCTTGTAGATTAAAGCTTTAAATGTCCAATTTAAAACGAACAAATTTGAATCGAAAGCCAATATCTTTCTGACTATGTCATTATGTAGCTAATTAATTTCTCTCTGTGCATCCGGAGATGGAGATATGTTTTTAGCCGAAAATCATTTAGAAAACAATAGTTTATTAATAAACAATTAATGCCTCGTTATTTTATATTATTTTATTATCAGACACATTTATTATAGCCTATAAATCACCTAATCCCCTTTCTGTAGGCTGTGGTTACGGCTCTTCTCATTCAGCACTGCAGGGAAAATATCATTTCCAGGTTCTAATTTGGCCTCAGAAAACCAGTAAAATATTTTTTTTTTCATATTCATTTGTCAAATATTTTAAATGTTTAAGGGGCAAAAAATCAAACAAATATCTGAAAATTCGTCGATATGTAGCCTATATATAGCCTATATATTTTTGCGCAGCATTTGGCATAGGCCTACAGTTCAAATTAAAATGTTATGCAATTTTAAACGGTTAATAGGTTAAACATGGACACCCCTATGTGCATCTTGCTTCAGATCATAACGTTCCATAACACCAATAAACTCCGCCTTTTACCTTGAGCACGCCTCTAGCCCGAGCTGGCCCCCTCTGGCCCAAGGTATTCGACGGGCCAGAAATCCTGGCCGTTGGCCCTGAGGAAGCCCCGATCAAGCCCCGGAAGTGACAGTGGAAATGCGACTGGCCCTGGCCCGGCAGTGGAAACGCGGCTATTGTGTGTTATAGATCAACTAACATGTGTGTTATAAATCAACTAACATGAATCATGATAATAAAGGTTTCTTAAATGACAAAACACATTCACTTACATGTATTTAAGAATACAAATATCAGCCAATGACTGGCTAACATTTATCGCAACCAATTTTTTCCCACGTCATGTTTAGTTTGGAAATGTAAAGTCGATGTCCCTACAATAACAGACTGGCGTACATCTCATAAATTATTCATTCAAGAACGTAGAAATTTACTGCAACAATAGCTCAGCGCACTAAATCCAGATCTGCGTGCTCATTTTCACAGTTGGAAACTAGGGGTGCACGATATATCGAATCAATATCGTTACCGCGATATCACGTTGCTCGACAAGTCGAACCACGAACGCCATTCATACAGTTCAGAAGTTCGCTGAACTTCATACAGTTCAGCTCACTTGGCTCGTTGTTCGTAGTTCGACTAGTCGAGACTGTTTTCCAAAGATGGCGCTGCCTGTATACACTAAGTCTTTATAAAGTATCTTCTTATTAAATGGTCTGTACTCTTACAAAGTTCTCAGTGCTTCGTTTTGCATGTATTGACCCACATTATGTTACTGTGTGTTAGTGTGGGACTATTTTGAGCCTGGTTAGTGGTATGAACTAGTGATTTCTTTTTACTTATTCTATGCCCCATATACTAGCATTATATGCTTTATCTCTATGTTAGAGATAAAACTCTTTACATTCGATTATCATGAAAACAAATCTCAGAGAACGGTTGACTAGGTAGCAATGTGTTATTAGACCAAAGGTGTTCTATAAACCTGGTACAGAAAAATATACCAACCTCTTTTATTTAAACATAAACCCTTTGAACATCTCAGTGGTTACCAGCTTCACTAAAATAAATGTAGGTTTCGATTTGGGTATTTTAATATGTAAAAAATGTGACCATACCAGCATTTCCCCCAATCATTTTGAGTGCTGTCGAGCGGATTCCTAAACACTTTTGATTGGCCATATTGTGTGGTCATATTTTTGGCATATACAAAAGTTCTGAGGGAAACTTTATCGAGGATGGTCACCCTGTCTGCAGAATATGCACAAAAAAGTTGCTGTAATAGGGGGAAACACTTTAAATCTGCCAATCGTCTTGTGTGACCATCACCACACCCTCTGTTGTAACTTATAGCGAACGCAAGGCAAGTTAACTTTGACCCCAATACCAAAACTAGTACATCTGGGAAACAATTGGTCACAAAATGTTATTATCAGTTGAAATATTTTATCTCACTCACTTGAAATAAACATGAAGCTTCCGCGAAGAAAAGTCTGCAGCAAGTGGCTTTGAGCAAAGACAAACAAACACGTTCAATTAAGAGTGACATTTAAGAGATAATAATGCAACTTTATACTTTGTATGTTTACTGTACACATATTATATTGATTTTTTTTACCACATAATTAAGTTACAGAGACATATTGAATTGAGATTACCTGTTTAATCGTTACCTGTTAAATCCATTTTATACAGCGTACAAAACTCATCCAAACAAGATGATCAAAACAATATTATCAAACTCTGTATTGAAAATGAAATCAGAGATGATTTATTATTTACAATCAAAAATGGAGACTCAAGACTCAAGGTTTCATCTGAGTTTGGATGCTGTCTTTGTAGGCAGAGAGGTAGCTCTCTAGATTTTGAAACAGAGCTATATCACATTTCTCTATGTTTCTAATTCATAGCGGATTTTCGGCGAAGCTGCCGAAAAAAACCTCTACCTCTCCCAGCTGATTATCCTGGACACACTGGAGAAGTGTCTGGCAGGGGTGAGTAGCTCCTCCTATTCCAGATGGAACTTTGTCCGACCTTTCGCTTGTTTTTTCTATCCTTTTGTATGTCCTGCATTATAGCAGCATTGGCCCACCCTTTGGTTTCAACTTTATTTCTGAAGGCAAAGCAAAATTGCTTTACAATCAAAATTCTTCTATTATTGCTTGTCTACGCCCTGACCTGAATCACCTAAAAGACTTCCATAGATTTGGTTATAGATTTTTATAGATATTGAAATTAATTTCCTGTAAAAAAAGAAATAAAGAAATTGATTACAAAAAGAATATATATATATATATATATATATATGTCGTCATTTTTATTGTTTTTTCTTGACCAATATCTGTCCTTTTCTTTTACTATATCTGTATAGCTCTACGAAATAAACTGAATGTGGTGAAACAGGAACTTCTTCATTGCCACATGGTTATAGAAAATGAATCAACATCTTGGAATCTCACCTGTCAGCTAGCCAGAATATATTGTTCAACAATGCCATGGTATAATCAAAGCTAGATACACAAAAACAATAGTTTGGACTCAGTAAGAAATTTTAAAATACTTTTATTTATTTTATTCATACTTTTATTTAAAATACTTAAATTTATCACTTTTTACATTTTATTTATCATTAAATTGATCAAAAGTGACAACATATATAATGTTACAAAAAAATGTCTATTTCAAATAAACGCTGTTCTCTTGAATTTTGTATTCATCAAATAATTTTGTATTCATCAAATAATCCTGAAAAAAAGTATCCTGGTTTTCTCAAAAACAACATTTTTCAACATTTATAATAATAAAAAAAAATCAGCATATTAGAATGATTTCCGAAGGATACTCGTTTCTTAAAGATTTCTCACAGCAATAAATAAAATTTTAAAATATATTTAAGTTGCAGTCCGTAGCTTTTTTGGGGTAAAAATGATCCAAAATCAAGAAAATACTTTACCAGCAAGTGTTCAAAACTATCTGCAGGCCTTTGCTCGTTTCAAAGCAGTAAGCTTGTAATAATGTTTTTAATTCCAGTGGTACTGGTGTTACGTCACATCTGTACACATAAAGAAGAGTCTCGGCAAGTAGGCTATATTGCTTGTGAGGATGTTGCAAGTGGAGATTTATAGCCTTTACTATAGCAAGCACTTGATATAATTTAAATTATCAATTTGATGGCGGATCTAGAAAGGTTCAAACGACAACCAGTGACAACAGATTCACCCGCTGTAAAATGCAAAAGACTTCAATCGGACTTCGGAGTGACTACTAAAAAAAGAGACTGCAAACAGCCCCATGCAAATACAAGCATACGTATCAGAAGGACATTACATGTAGTCACGCAATGCTGACGTTGTTAACATTACCAATTTGAGAACAAAGTATAATTTGCATGGTTTTGCGTGATATAACTTATAAGCGATTGTTTGCGTGATTTTTTTTTTACTGGAATGTCAGAACCAGAACAAAAGTGGATGTTTCTTACTAGTTCAGATGCCATTTTCCGGTGAAAATTATTATCTGTTAGTCATATTTCCAAAAAGAATAATCTGTGATCCTGAATGCCATTATCCACACCGGCGTGGTGACTGACAGATTCAAACTCTCCTCAAACATTGTGTTCATCCACGCTGTGCGGTGTCGAGGGTGTTGAAGTACAACTCGCGTAAAGTTGATAATTCCGCGAATGACTGCGATTGCAGATTTTAAACAGAGATGGCGACAAAGAGGAAAAACGCCAGACTGCAGCTTTAAAATAGAAAACAGCTATTTTAAATTGTTCTAATATTTCAGACAGTGTTGCTATTTTGCTGTATTTTAGATTTTTTTTTTGCTGTATTTTCTCTAAATAAGAGACTTTTTTTTCAAAAACATTTCTAGAATCTTACCAACCCCAAATTTCTGAACTGTCGTGTTAAACGGCTGTAACATGTATTTAGATGATTTTATGTGGACAGTATAGGCACAGAAATGTTATGTTTTTTGATTGTTCATGAACCTTTAGTCAAACAGAGTTCTGGTAAAACAATTAAATCTTTTACTCCCAGACAGAGAGCTCTGAACCCGGCCCTGTCAGGAGATTATTACATTTGCAGGTGTTTCCTTGTCTTGAGATCGTCTGGACTTTCCTGTATAGATTATGAATTTTCACTTAACCAGATGCTACACAGCTGTTCTCTGTCCTGTGCGTTTGGTTTTGTTTTTACAAATTTATTTTTGTCATTTCCTTTTGTCATTGAGATGGGGATATGTTGTATACTTATAGAAAATTCAGTTTACTGCTGTTCAGTACTAAAATTTAAGAACCTTCAAGACAACTATACAGTTTTTTTCATTAACTTGTTTTGGCAGACATGATATTTTGCCCCGAAAGTACAGAACTTCCCCTCTGCCATTATTGTCACACATTTATGGTGTTCAGCTTGACCCAGAATCCGAGCAGGTCATTGATCCACTAATGTGCTGGGTGCTTTATTGGATTTCATTTCTGTTCTCTTCCCCCTTTCCTGCTTGCTGCTGATCCTGAAGTGCTTTCAACTCGCTGTAGTTTTAGTCTGGTTCTCAGCTTGCTTACTACTTTCATGAGTCATTCTTTATCATTTTGACACATTTTTGCCACCTATGGACCCATTTTTATGCTTGTTTGTGTTTTACAAATACAACAGACACCACATACATAGTAAGAATTTGCATTTAAAACACAGTAAAATAGAGAATATAAATAAAACGGTATACTGTGTGTTTGTGTGCATCATCAGCAACCCAAGGACTGCCTGAGGCTGGATGAGGCCATGTTGGTAAAACAGTTGCTGCCTGAAATCTGTCACTTCCTGCACTCGTACCGTGAGGGCCAGCAGCACGCCGCTCAACTGCGCAGCTCCGCCTCTGCCGTGCTCTTCTCTCTCAGCTGCAACAACTTCAATGCTGTCTTCAGTCGTATCTCCACCAGGTACCTCTCTAACACACTGGGGGATCCACAGGGCTTTGTTCTAGGACCGCTTTCGATGTTTGAATCAGCCCCAAAAATACCTGTATAATGATTAATACAACTTTCTTATTGTAAACATTGTAAGCCTATTCTAAGTCCAATATTGTAAGCCTATTATAAGTCCAATATAAATATTAATATTAACTGGTACAAATTGACCAGTTAAAGTCATTATAAATGATTAACGTTAATGTACCAATGTCTTCATATAGGTTGCAGGAGCTCACAGTTTGTACAGAGGACACCGTGGATGTCCATGATATTGAGCTCATCCAGTACATCAATGTTGACTGCTCTAAGTTAAAGAGACTGCTACAAGGTAAAGCATGCTATATTTGTTATCTGCCTCAGTATTCTGATAATGTGTTATTGATGGCTAATTTAGGGCGGCATAGTTAAATTAGAATCACGATATGGCACAGTGCAAGTATTAAAACCACAAATGCAGTGATTTACATAAATATACAGTCTTGTGTTGCTTGATAACGTCCTCTATATTCCCTTTAGAAACAGTACTTAAATTCAAATCTTTGAAAAAGCCAGCCCAGCTTTCAGTAATCAGCAGTTTGGAAAAGGTATGTGCTTTTGTAAACAGTACAATAGATACAAACACTATATATACATATATATTTTATTTTGCAATAATATGCAAGGTATTAATAGTAAACATATCTGATATGTTTGTGTCAGGCCTTCTGGAACTGGGTTGAACACTATCCTGATGAGTTCACTATGCTTTATCAGAGACCCCAGGCTGACATGGCCGGTGAGTGGCACAATCTTTACTAGATTGTTTGATGAAGTCCATGTTTAGTTGTGACAGAGCTTAAACTGTCCGTTTCTGTGTATGCAGACTGTGCAGAAAGACTGTTCGACCTGGTAGACAGTTTTGCAGAGAGCGCAAAGAGAAAGGCTGCTGTGTGGCCGTTACAGATCATCCTCCTCATCCTCTGTCCAGAGATCACTCAGAGCATCACCAAAGAAGTAGGGGGGGAGGAGAAGGCTAACAAGGTCAGAGGTTACACAGTGAATTACACAGACTGCTGTTCCTACTTAGTGTTTTATCATTTGAACCCACTCATTTTGTTCCCAAAGTCTTTTATGTAGCATTTGAGCAATGTAACCAATGACAGGCAAATATTTTGTGTATACAAATGCTTTGCCGACAAATCTAGCAGTTTTGTTGTCTTCAACAGAAGTCATTTGTTGACAGTCTACGGAAGGCTCTGGGACAACACAGCGGCAGCAGACAGTTGACCGAGAGTGCGGCCGTTGCATGTGTCAAACTTTGTAAAGCCTGCACCTACATCAATTGGGAGGACAATTCTGTAATCTTTCTCCTTGTTCAGTCCATCGTCATGGACCTTAAGGTAAGCAAGAAGGACCACTTTCTCAGTGAAGTACAGAGCAATTGAAGTCTGAAGGAAATTAAAAGTTCATTTCTCTCTTTTCTCTCAGGGTCTTCTTTTTAACCCCACTAAACCGTTTTCGAGGGGTGCGGGCTGCCAGAGTGCCGATGTGGAGTTGATGATCGATTGCTTTGTGTCTTGCTATCGTGTCAATCCTCGTAACAACCAGCATTTTAAGGTAAGCTCAGTTACTGAATGTTATAGCGTCCAGCATGTTTCAAGGCGATTATAGTAAATAAATGACAATCGCTAGTCTAAGATTTAATATTATTACTATCACACCGAGCTACTTACCATCACACAAACCTAAAAATTATTAAGCTGAAAATGTCAATTTTCTATAGCCTTTTCCATTCAAAGTTGTAAATTTAACTTATGCACGAAATTGGAAGGTCACATAAAACATTTGCGGATAAAGCAGCATTTCTGTCCCAGGTGTTCAAGAGAACACAATTGGTGCAAAATATCTAAAATAAAAATAGAAGTTGCTGCAATTGGGGATGTTTTTTATACGCCATTTTATAATTTGTGCATCTTGGTGTTTCCATCCAGTATATTTTTTATGTGAAATCCCCAAATGGCTATACAAATATATGGATGGTAATAGGGGTGGGTACCATTCAGATTTCAGATACCAGTACCTTTATCCCGCAATTTAGGCATGTTTACCTCAATAACTGTAAAGAAACTAAGTCAGTGTAGAAGTGTTATTGACATTATTCCAGAGCTGCCTTGGTCACTTTCTGCCATTGTCTGTGATGCTTGAATATTAATAATACAACCATTTTTGTCATAAAAAAAATGTACATGCGGCACAACTGAGCTCTATACTATTAAAATTATAACAGATCAAAAAGTGTGATTATTCCTTAATTTTTTTTTTTTATTAAATTGAGATACCTAAATTCTACTGTACAACCTAAAGTTAAAGCGAACTTTTATTTTTACGGGTTGTGGTGAAGACCTTTGAGTTTCCGTGTGTTGATATAAAGATAGTTTTTCTTAAATGAAACTGTAATGCTGTTGAACTTCTCCGACTGTGAGAGCGGCTCTGGAAATTCATTCTGTACTCATATTGTGAGACTGCAGAGGCTGAGAAACACAGCGAGCGTCACCGACACTCAGTGTAGTACTACCGACACTCAGTCAGTGCCATTAAAAGTACAGAGTTCGGTAACATCTGGGTTTGGTTTGTTGTTAGTTTGTTGCCACATCTATGTTGTAATATTTTCACAGAGATATTTTTTTTGATAAATGAATTTATTCACTAGGTATGTCTGGCCTCGACTTCTCCTCCTACCTTCCATTTCGTCCTGGTCAACTCCCTGCACAAAATTATCACCAATGTAAGTAGGATTTCTTTATGGCCATTCACATTGATCATGATTTTTGGTGCTCTAAAGTCATTAATTTGTAATGAGAGTTGACAATTTCCAACAGCATGAGTAAAGGTTTACGGTTTGATTATGTGAAAGTAATTTTAAATATGTGAATTATTATAATACTTAAATATGTAAATTTGATTTTCAATAGCCATTTAAGCTCAAAGTATACATCGTTATAAGTATACAGTATATATTGATATATTTTACATGTATGCTATCATATGTGTACAGTCAAACACATAGCCTTTCAAAGTAGTACACAAATCATGTAGCTGGCATGCAGTTTTAGCATAATATTCTGGTGGTGAAATTTGCGTCACCGTATGCAGACCCTCACTCATGCGTAAAAACCAAAGTATAGACCATTTCACAAGATGTAAGCAACACTGGTCCAGAAGCACTTCCTGTTTCAGTTTGTAACTGTTTTCTTTATTTCACATGAAAAGAAAACATCTTAAAGATGTTTGTTTAACTTTTTGATTCAGTTTTAAATGTTCTGTAGGTTGTATTTTATCCCAGCTTTTATGTAGTGTTAAAAAACTGAAACAGGAAGTGCTTCTGGACCAGTGTTGTTTACATCTTGTGAAATGGTCTATATTTTTTTATACCCAATCATGTTAGGGGAACCATCAGTAATAATGCCTTCATAGTGAAATCACATTCAGCATCGTCTCACTACAGAAGTGTGCTTTAATTTAGCTGTTCATTGATTATGAATATTTCATGTTCATGTTCCTGCTAGTCTCACCTGGACTGGTGGCCAAAGATTGACGCCATCTACTGCTACTCAGGAGAACTGCGCACCATGTTTGCAGACACACTGGGCCGAGTGATTCAGAGTCTCAGTGCCCATCCACCTCTGAGGATGACACCAGTAAGACGATTCTATACACTGAGACACATTATCATCCAAACGGTTCATTATGTATAAATAGCACATCTTTTTTCTTGCAGAGTCTGACATTTAAAGAGAAAATGACAACAAGTTTAAAGTTCAAAGAGAAGTCCACAGACCTTGATTCGCGTTCTCTGCTGCTGGCGCTGGTCAAACTCATTCACGCTGACCCCAGACTAATGCTGCATGTGAGTACAGGACAGATATATGGATTACATAAACAGTTAGATGTTGTTAATATTATTATCAGTCACATTTTGTATTAAAGGTAATTTGCTTACAGATGTCTCTGCATATTATGCTAGGATTGAAGAAAATATTTTAACGTCAGAACAGCCAAGCATGTCACCTTAAACCTGTTGTTCCTTTAATTCTCATAAGAAGCTCTAATAAAACAGTGGTAAATGTTTTCTGATTGGTTTAAATCCTAGATAATCCAGATTAGTTTTAACATGTGGATTTATTATTGTTTTACTTTAATTTAATTTTACTTTAATTTTTCGCTCCTTCCTTAACATGATTTGATGTGAATTGTGATTTTTGGATCAAAAACTTAGCACAGAGTTGTTGTTTAAGGATGATTCTGATCAAATTTGACTTCACTAATTGCATTTTCACACCATCAGAACCCAGGGAAACCTGGTCAAGAGATCCAGAATAGCACAGCTGAGCTCATCAAAGGTCTGGTCCAGCTGGTTCCTCTCACACACAGTGCTGAGCATTCCCAGGAAGCCATGGAGGTATGACCGTTTGTTTCTTTATACCTTTTATTTGTACCTCTTTCTATCTTTTATGCAAAGTGTCCCTCACTTCTATGCAATGTATTAGTATTGTTACAGTGTCAGTAGTTTATATAAATTTACAATGCTTACTCATTCTCTGCGTTAGCTGGGTCGAGAAATTTCCATTCATTTGTCACCAAAAGTGTGACTTGACAGCTCCAGGGCTTTCGTGAAAACTACAGATAGTCAGATTTACAGAGGGTTATTAACATAACAGATATTGTAAAAGTAGGTTTATCACAGAAAAGTTGATAAATTACCGGGAATGTTTTCTGTGTGGACGTGGAATGAAGATTATCGTTATGAGCAAATAGGAAGTCTGCTCTGGGCCAATCATGAAGTTCTTATGGAGATGACGTGAGTACTCATCGCTGTTTACAGTAAGCTTTTGAATAGTTATTCTATTTAAATATACTCTAGATAATCATCTTTGACCGCTGCGCCACATCTTTTAGCTTTTTTAACGTGACTCGCAATCGAGACCCAGTCTTCTTTTCCATTCATCAGCGCTGTGGCCTTGCAGTTGGATACTATTATGTGCGTCTTGTGTTTTTAAGAGGAAAAATGCATTCTGTTTGATCATCTCCTTATGCCTTTCACTCAGATATCAAAAAATGTTGTCAGATAGTGAGACTAAAGTGCTTCTCCTCATATGGGCAGATGAAGACAATGGCATGGCGTTTATAGATCACTTCCGATGACTGACATTTACCAGTATTTTGGAGCTGATGTGTGAATTGTCTCTTACTGGTAAAAAGCCGGAAGGTCGTTGCTTGTGTGAACCGCATATTTGTGTATTTACCGGTAAAGTTATTTTGCCAATTTTACGGTCGTCATATCCTCTCTATCCACGATTTACTTCCGGAGAAACCATGGAAACAACAAAGACTCTTATAAAATACTATTTGTTTTGTTAGACAGGAGAGCTTCTGTTTGGATACCTTTATAGATGGGAAACTAATCATTGTTGTATAGCTCAACACAGTTGAATCCATGTTTGTACCCAAAAAGGTAGATCAGACAACACTATTTTGTCAAGTGGGTAACGTAGCTTAATCAGAAAAAGCTTTATTTGTAGTAACAGTAAAACAGCATTTTCTCCACCTTACAATATTTGGTTATCAAACGTACCCGTAACAAAGTTCAAGTTCAGGGAAGGAGGAGGTGGACGTTATATGTTTGCCTCCTTGAATGAACAGTAACTTTATTACATTAGTATTACTTTGTTATATTAGTTTCTAGCATTATAGTATTGTAATTTTAAAATTACATTATAATATTAACTATTAAAAATGACAAAAGCACATAACAAAATGACTAAAACTTTAACTAAAATAAAAATGAAAAATATGAATAAATAATGTATTAGTATATAAATAATACTAAAATAATACTGCTACTTTGAACCCTTATAATTGAGAATTTTTATTAAAACAAGTGATTTGCTCCTCCTCCCCCAGGCATTGCTGGTCTTACATCAGCCAGAAACCATTGAGCTGTGGAACCCTGACGCACCCATTGAGACCTTCTGGGACATCAGGTGGGCATGTTGTTAAGGTTGGGTAAAGTTGGCGAGTGGAAAGATTATCTTACTATATTCTCCTTATTCTCCTCTTTTAGCTCTCAGGTCTTATTTCTGATCTGTAAAAAGCTGATTGGACACCAGATGATCAACAGTACAGAGATACTAAAGTGGCTCAGGGAGATTCTCATATGCAGGAACAAGTTTCTCTTAAAGAACAAGGTAAACCGTTTTCATCTGAGAGAATCATAACTGATATCAGGTTCTTGATTTTTAACTCGTGGTTCTGTGCTCTTAAGTTCAGAATTATTAGTTAAGTCTTTACGCATAAAATGTGATCTTTGAACAATTTGCCTTTTGTAGAAGCAGAATTTTTGGGCAGTCATTTTTGTAATTCAAAATTCTCTGAATATTACCAGTTAAATCTGCATCAATAATGTTTTTAAATCTATATTTGATACTGAAATCTATCTGAAAATAAAAAAAATTAATCCTGAATTCTGTCATATGAAATAAGCTCATTATTTGCTCTGTTGGTCTGCAGGAGTGTGCCACACAGGGAAGTCTCATCCCCATCAGCAAACAGGCTCAAACCAAGCTGGAGGTGTGTCTCTACACCTTCCTGTGGAGCCCTGACGCAGAGGCTGTGCTGGTGGCCATGTCCTGCTTCCGGCATCTCTGTGAGGAGGCGGACATCCGCTGCAATGTGGACGAGCTGCCCGTGCACACGGTCCTGCCCAACTACAACACCTTCATAGAGCTCGCTTCCGTCAGCAATATGATGGCTACAGGTTAGCTGTTAACTGTATTTGTAACATGGAATCTGACTGCCAGCTTTAAACTTTTGGGACACTATAATCTTTCCACCAAAATTTAGCTAAGGTCGAGTTTCACTGAGGTGAACATAGAAAGAAAAAAACGTACATTTTTATTTTTACTGATTTTCTACCAAATGCTACGGAAGATCACTGAAAGATAAAAAGAAATGTATGTATTTTTGAGTAAAGCATTTGATACTGATTTGTGGGGCTGGGTATTGACACAAATTTCACAATTCGATTCGATTTCGATTCAATATTGATTATTTTGGAAATCAGTTACAATAAATGGCAAATTTTCTCAAGGAAATCAAATCTCTTAACTAATGATGTAAACTATGGGAGTCTAGTTGTAGCCTATAGGTTTCATTAGCCTAATATGAAGGTAATAATGAACTGTTTTGTAGCTATACAAACACTTAAATTACACTTTTATTTATTTTTATAAGAAGAAGATTATATGAAATATAAACATTTAAATGGTGGCTGTCATAAAAACTTGCCATATTTATTCAAATATGCATTAAATATTGAAGAACATTAAGATTATAATGCATATGTAATATGGTGTATATATTTTGCAAAATGCTCCTCTCTAGAGTTATTTTTTCTTGCTGACTGAGTTTTTGTGGGTTTTCTAAGGGTAAATATGACCATACATGACAAGACATTGATTACAAGCTGTTTAACTGACGTCTTTCCATGGTTGAAACGCTGATTGATCGAATCAATGTGACATGATACGGATTTCGATAAGTTGTACTCTATCTTTTAACACACTTTCAGATGCTCATTCATGTTTATTTCGCTCTGTAACTGGTATTATTAACCCGGAAGAGAGATCAGCGCTGCTGCTTCTCTTGAGCTGCGCCAGAGCAATCTCACGCCACAGCGCCAAAACCTTATTTATATTTTTGAATTTCTAAAGAGAATGGACGTAACTTGAAAATTGAGACTTTGTTTCATATCAATAGTAACAAAGGACAAAGATTATTGCGATTTTCTTTTCTTCTTTTTTTTTTTTTTTTGGATGCATGCAGCCGCGATACAATGTCCCATTCATTCAAATGAAACAGGATGACTAATCGATTCTTGAGATTTAGGAATCGATATCGGTTCGTAAAAATGAGAATCGATTAATATTGAGAAATCGATATTTATTACCAGCCCTACTGATTTGACTAAATACATTTTTTGAATATGGCGTTTCATGCTGATATGGCTAAATGATCATGAATTAGCATGATATATTTTATGGTGTGATTTTTACTTTATTTATTATTATGGTGTCATTGCAAAATAAAACAGCCCATAAACTATATGTTCATTTGTGTGTTCAGGACGCAACACACTTCAAAAGAGAGTGATGGCACTGTTAAGAAGGATAAAGCACCCAACAGCTGGAAACATAGAGGTGAGGACATCATTGTGTGTGTCTGCATATGAATGTTTCAGATTTTTATTTTGATTTTTGCTCTTTCTCAACTTCTCTCTTATCTTTAGTTGACTCAAATTTGATATTTTTCAATATTAGGCATGGGAAGACACACATGCAAAATGGGAGCAGGCTACTAAACAGATACTCAACCACCCAAAAAACAAAGTGGAAGATGGACAGGTAGTTAACTAGACTGATCAGTCAGTTGTATAGTTTCCCTCACCTCACCTCCCCTGCTAACTGTTTTCTCTCTGTCCTCAGGAGTGGATCAACATGACAGGTTTCTTGTGTGCCCTTGGAGGGGTTTGTCTCCAGCAGCGCAGCACCCCTAGTCTAGGCACATATAGCCCTCCCATGGGCCCCCTGACCGAACGCAAGGCCTCCATGATCTCCATGGGCTCTTGTGAGGTGAACAGTGAGACGTCTCTTAACAGGTTTCTGGAGCGTCTGCTGGCTCTGATGGTCTGTACACATGAGAAGGTGGGCATGCAGATCCGCACCAATGTCAAAGACCTTGTTGGACTGGAGCTCAGTCCAGCTCTCTACCCCATGCTCTTCAACAAGCTACGCAACAGCATCGGACGCTTTTTTGACACCCAGGGTCCGGTAAGAGATGCCAGCTATGACGTGCAACAATAGGATTAGATAACATGTTTGAACATACTCAACATATAAAGATCAGTCTTACAAAGAAATTGTTAATATTAAAATAAAAAAAGATAATAAAATCAATAAAATAATAAATGTCATTTTACAAAATTTATTTATATTTTTTAACACTGACTATATTCTTTGATTTTATCATATTTACTTAATAGATTAAATTAATGTAAAATCGGTACAACAAAATCACTAATTGTCATGAAAATTTCACAAAACAAAAATTCTCCTAAATTAATGCTACATTTTTTTATACAGTAAACTGGCTGTTCTAACAATTGATACAACAAATTACTAAACCTAACAACCATTCAAATGTCTTCCCTCAAAAGCGGTCATGCATAGTTTTAGACACAAGGTCGCAGGAAACCAATCAATCCAGACTATACAGTCTTTTGATGGCGCTTTTCCACTGCATGATACGGTACGGCTCACTTTAAATAGTACCTCCTCTGTTGAGGTTCCAGGCGTACCGTACCGATACTAAAATGTGACGTGAACACACTGCAGATCACTGATTGGTCAGACAGAATCGTAACTACCGGTGTAATTGTATTTGTGAGACATTAAATGGTTTCATTGCGTCTGTCACGTGACAAATGAACGAAAGACTAGGAAGGCAGAGTAATTATTCCCTGTAAATTATTTATTTTGACTGCATTATAATGATTTCTTAATTCAGAATGATGATAAAGACTGCGTAGGTGGATGTATTTGGGGAATTAGGCTGTTAAAAGTATAACATTTATAGATCTTTAAATGAATGAAATGGCCAAAAAAGATTAGTTCATTTTAATGAACGAGATCGAACAAGTGAGTCAGTAAAATGTTCCGAACTTCCCATCACAGGGTGCCATGAAGTTTACAGTCTGTGGGGTCACTCTTGTTTAGGCCAAAAACTGAAAAGGTTCGCTCAGCATCCACATTTGAGTGTGGCAGGCTCAACACAATCTGGACAACCTTTGATAACTTGGTGAATTTTAAAATGCATTGCCACTTGCCCGATTTGCCAAAACGTAATGTGTATCATGAGCCTATTTTTTTTGAGCAATTAGCTAGCCCACATAACGCACGGCAGACAAAGTTTGCAACTATAGTTGAAGTCTATACTCTCGGCACACAGACTGATCAGGCAAGGCTACGTCACTAGTCACATTTTATAATCCTTGATTGTCATCCAAACTTTCAAACGTGCATCAGTGGGCTCCGACCCTGAACCTATGCTCTGAACTCTCTCTGAACTTTTCACACGCAACTGACGTATCAGGTGCAAGGTTTTCAGCGAATCAAGTATCAGAGAATACTGCCGTGAGAACGTTGTTGGCTGATGTAACAGCTTATACTCATCTCCTATGGCAAGCTGTTTTAACTTTTATTCATTTCCAAGATATGAATTCTTGATATCAAGAATTCAATTGTTGATATCAACGATCACATTTTTTGATATCAAGAATTCAATTGTTGATATCAAGAATTCATATCCTGGAAATGAATAAAAGTTAAAACGGCTTGCCATACCTCTATTGTCATTAATACGTGAGGAGATTCCCCCTTCCATGTAAAGTGCTTTGAGTACCCAGAAAAGCGCTATATAAATGTAACAAATTATTATTATTATTATTATTATTATTATAATGCCCGCCCATGAGTTACAACTATGCAAATTGCGTTCCAGGAGTGCTGGACAACTTCCTTCTCAGGTTTGGCTCCAGTATATATTGCGTAAATGCTAAAAGGCTAATTGGCCATTTGCCTAGAAATAAATATTAAATTATCTTGTGTCCACCAAAGCATTTTTATCCAGCTAAAAATTGCCCAGTGCTCTTCTGAAAACAGCCAGCTGGTGGCGCTTGAAAAGTGCAGCCTTTTTCCTGCTGAGATATTTTGGTTGTTATGATACAGAATATGCATGGCAGTAATGTGTTACTATTTATCTTATTTTGAAGAATATTACTGAATTTAAAAATGCTGTAAACAGCAAAATTAACTTATCCATTGTTGTTCAGTTGTCGTAAAAGTAAGATGATAGGTCAGTGTAGTATTTGTAGATATAGAGTGCTGCCTATTACCCAAGGTTGAACAGTTTAAAAAAAAAAGATTATTGTGGTACATAGTGCATCAAATGTCATCAGTTTGCTTAAATTAGATCGCAGAACGTTCAAATATTTTACACTCCGACCATTTACACGTGGTGTAAATTTCTGTCGTACCAACTAACATTTTGAAAATACGAACATTTTCGTCATCCCGAATTTGTCTCAGAACGGCTTTATAAACTATTTACACAATTTTTTATTTGAATTGAATTAAATTATTTTCTTCTCCAGGTTCCCATTACAGACATGAACACACTATTTGTAGAGCAGACCATCGCCATCATGAAGGACTTGCTTGACAGTCACACTGAAGGAAGCTCAGAGCATCTCGGTCAAGCCAGCATTGAGACCATGATGCTCAACCTGGTTAGGTAAGACGTTACCCTTAAAATTTAATATCAGCTCTGGATTTTCATTGATGGTTGGTGTTTTGATGAAAAGAGCATTTGAAAACTTTTCTTAATGCTCTCCCTCTCTATCTATCTCTATATCATTTTCTGTCGTTCTTAGGTATGTGCGCATTTTAGGGAATGTTGTCCATGCCATTCAGATCAAAACCAAGCTGTGTCAGCTTGTGGAGGTGATGATGGAACGCAGGGACGACCTCTCCTTCTGCCAAGAGATGAAATTTAGGTAAATTTACACTATACTGTTCAAAAACAGTATTGTGTTTTTGAAATAAATATTTGTGTGATCACCAAGGCTGCATTTATATAATCAAAAATACTCTAAGAACAGTAATATTGTGAAATATATGAAATAACAATCAGAAATAAATATGTGAAAACTGTTATCTGTTAATTTATTCCTGTAAAGGAAAAAGCTGATTTTTCAGCTGCCATTTTTGCTTTTTTTAATGAATCCTTACAAAAACAAACTGAAAAGAATACTTTTGTTAAGCAAGTTTTACTTTCATCCATCTCTGATATGCATTTTCTCACTATCTCTGTTTTGTCACATAAAATACAACATTATTATCATCTTGATTTGTTGTGATCATTTCATTTGTGAATCATGAGGTTATGGTATGTCTAACTTTGCTGTTTTTCTCAGAAATAAAATGGTGGAGTACCTTACAGACTGGGTGATGGGAACCTCCAATCAAGCAGCAGACGATGACATCAAATGTCTGACCCGGTATATCGCCTTTGCATTTTCATAGCGTTTATTAATTTTTTTTTCTTAAAACCTGTGGTTTTAACAGTTGTATGTTCTTTTCTCATTCTGTGTTTATTAAAACACGTCGTACAGGGATCTGGACCAAGCAAGTATGGAGGCAGTAGTTTCACTATTAGCTGGTCTTCCCCTCCAGCCTGAGGAGGGTGATGGCGTTGAGCTCATGGAGGCCAAATCTCAGCTCTTCCTCAAGTAGGATCATTCATTCAACACTTTTTGTTTTGTCTGAGGATGTTTTAGTGTTTTTGGGAGGTCTTAATATGGCCTCTTTAAGGTCAGTTTTCAGGGCAGTCATCTCATCTCTTTCTTTTAGGTACTTCACACTGTTCATGAACCTGTTGAATGACTGCAGCGAGGTCGAGGAAGACGGCCAGCAGGTGGCAGGGCGGAAACGTGGCATGTCTAGACGACTGGCATCTTTGCGGCACTGCACAGTGCTGGCCATGTCTAACCTGCTCAACGCCAATGTGGACAGCGGCCTCATGCACTCCATTGGTGAGAAGCACTTACATTATCATTGTTTCCTACTGTAATTGGTGAGTCGTTGAGTGAAGAAAAGGGATTCTGATATCTCTGAAACAGGTCTAGGGTACCATAAGGACCTGCAGACACGGGCTACGTTTATGGAGGTTCTCACTAAGATTCTTCAGCAAGGGACGGAGTTCGACACACTCGCAGAAACGGTGCTTGCAGACCGCTTTGAGAGACTTGTTGAGCTGGTCACCATGATGGGAGATCAGGGCGAACTGCCAATAGCCATGGCACTGGCCAATGTGGTCCCTTGCTCTCAATGGGTGAGAGATTTTAACAACCGTTTCACTTTTACAGTTTTGACTAAATAAGAACATTTAAGAGTTCATGCCTATTCAAAAAACATGCATGAAAAGGTTTGAAAGGTTTATAAACTCTATCATGTTGAGTTAGAAATATCATATTTTGATCATCTTTTTTTTTCCTTACTCAGCTAGGTTTAGATTCATTCGAAAATATAAATATAAAAAAATTACACAATGATGAAAATTCGGTGTGAATTGTTTTTGATGTAGTTTTGTATTTTTCCATGCTATTATGAAATGCCCAAACAATTATGCTTCAACAAAAAATTATTTACTCACCCTCATGTCATTCCAAAACTGTTTGACTTTGTCTCTTCAGTGGACTATACAATTTTTTTTTTTTTGAGAGAGAGAGATCTCTTTTCTCTTTTCTTTTCTTTTTTGTTCCATATACTGGGATTCAATGTGGTCCAGTGTTGTTCTCAGTTATCTTCAGAATGTCTTCTTTTGTTCTATAATGCTACGTTCACACCGGACGCGAATCGCGTGTCAAATTCGCGCCTGACGCGTCTAGTTTGACGCTTGACCACTTTGTGTTAATTCGCGTGTCAAGAGCGAAACTGGCGCGCGTAAAAACAAAAGTTTGAAGCGAAATTTACGCGCGTCAGAATCGAAATCCGTTGGCGGCCATTGTTTTTATGTCGACCGAGCATTCATCAAGAGAGTTACCGCTCTGTATTTACTCTGGAGAGCAGAACAGCGGCGTGGGGATCATCGTCGCCGTATATTTGTGTCCACCGGACCCTTCAGAGCCGAACCGTTTGGTGAGTTTCACCATTTGCTCGCTCCAGGAGCTGCGCTGGATGACGGCCGCTGTCAGCGGTACTTCCGCCTGTCCCGCGCCCAGTTTGATGACATGTTGTCCCGCATCGGAGCGAGGATCACCCTTGCCCTCATCCATCTAATCTAGCTGTCATTTATTTTTTGTTTTGATGATAAATAGAGCCAGCCTTCAAAAGTTATTAACCTGTCCTGTGATTTTTTTTTTCTCTCTCTCACGTCCAGACACGAATTTATGCACATATGTTGATTGTCTTTACAACATAATACTATTTCATATAATCTAGCTATGGAATGAATAACATTCAAAACAAAATGAACATGTCTCGTATATAGAAATAATGTTTTAAGTGATAAAACATTTGCTTTGTTGTGCATAATCCCACCATGCATTTAGTCATATTAACAAAATAATTTATTGAAGCATCCAGACACTTCACCACGTGAGCAAGCAGCTGGCTCCTGATTGGTTAAGGCGGCGTGAATTCACGCCAAAGTTCAGATTTTTCAACTCGGGCGGCAGACGCGAATTCGCATCAAACGCGTGAATGCACAAAAGGCACTAACTGAATCATTCGCGCGTAACGCGCCAGACGCTCAATTCGCGCGAACGAGGCGTATTCGCGTCTTCCGCGCCTCGCTCCACGCCTCATTCGCGCCGCAGGAATTTTTCACGCGCGTAAAGCGTCTTTGCATTGACTTAACATTGAAATCATTCGCGCCTGACGCGCTATTCGCGTCCGGTGTGAACGTAGCATAACAGATAAAAGTCCAATAGCTTTTTAACTATCCCTTTAACACTTTTTTGCTCACTACGAGTATTACGGTACATTGGGTGTATTGCTCATTGGAGAGCTGTTGTGCTTAATGTTCTGATGGTTTTCAGGATGAGCTGGCCAGGGTGTTGGTGACACTGTTCGACTCTCGCCATCTGCTGTATCAGCTGCTATGGAATATGTTCTCAAAAGAGGTGGAGCTGGCCGACTCTATGCAGACCCTCTTCAGAGGAAACAGCCTAGCCAGCAAGATTATGACCTTTTGCTTTAAGGTAACGTGACACAGTGGCAGTCAAAGAACATTTTCAGTCTTCAATGTCTTTGCAAGAATATTCCAAAGAGAGACTCGAATATTTATTTGCCCTGATGTGATAATTTGTACTATCGTTGAAATGCTTTTGTTTTTTATGCAATTGAAAGTTTCTTGTGCTCACTAATGGCACTTCAGAAAATGCACAATAGCTACAAAAAAAAAAATCTTAATGGCCCCAAACTTTTACTTTGCACTTAAAGTCTGGCACCCTGTTTGCAGGTGTATGGAGCTGCATATCTACAAAAGCTTCTGGAACCGCTGTTGAAAGGAATCATCACCACTCCAGAGTGGCAGCAGATCAGTTTTGAAGTGGACCCCACCAGGCATGTTTACCTAGTTAAACTCATTTTGTTCACACTGTTTATTCAGGTCATGCTTTGCATTTCACTTTTGATGAAGTTCCTCATGCTGTACATTTTAAAACTCTTCAGAGTACAGAGGTATTTTTAATCATCGTCGTCATTCTTCTGATTTTTTTTTTTTTAGGCTCGAACCAGCGGAGAACCTAGAGGAGAACCAGAAGAACCTGCTACAAATCACAGACCGCTTTTTTCTGGCCATCATCAACTCTTCAAGCGAGTTTCCTCCACAGCTGCGCAGTGTGTGCCACTGTCTGTATCAGGTATGCTCACTGCCTAATGCCAGTCTGCTTTTCTTTCTTTCTTATTTTTTTTTTTTTTACCACTGTTACTGCATCCTCTGAATGACTATTTTGAGGCTGTCTTTCATGCTTGGGCATTCACTGATCAGTCTTCCAGTCACTTCTAACAAGAGAATCTGCTCTTATCCTCGCTTTCACTACTGCTCACCTGTGCCTGCCTGTGGACGAATATATCAGACAGTTTTTTTTGTTTGTTTTATTGTTTTATTAGAGCGATACCATGCCATTCAAAAAGTTTGTTTTTTTTTTGTTTTTTTTTTACATGTTTTGAAGTGTGGGACTGTGGCATCCAAAGTGCAAAATCATTACGACCTGTTTTTATTACTGACTTTAAACTAAATTACATTTAGTGGTGGATGATTCTACTTCCAGTATCTGCATTAAAGTCTAATCTATCAGAGTATGATTTAAAATGGCATAAAAGGTCTCTTGAATCGTTTTGCTCTGCTCTACATGCAACAACAGACATTACAGATTAATTTTGGTAAGCAAACATATTTTAACATTACTTGTAGCTGTATTGTGATAGTCTAAATGTCATGAGCAGGTACAAATCACAATTCTCCCAGGTGCAATAAACCATATAGATGTGTCACACGTCACACAAATGACCTTGGCATTGATGTTAACATTTCTACATCGATTTACTGTTAACAATTTATCCAGCCCACATTTTAAGTTGCTTATTTTGGGTGGGGTTTCCATTATGAAAATCGAGTGTAGCTGGTAATGTAACTTCTTTTTACTAAAATGAAAGTACCACGTTTTCTTGCAAAAGTGCCATATCTCAGATACTCTGTCAAGGGCACCATCTTGTGGACGGTGATCCATACACTTGCTTTTTAAACAGAAAAGAAAGCCTTGAATGACAAAAACACCATTTCTTTGTCTCTTTTCCTAATAGTTTCTTTCCCTTTCTTGGCATTTCCTTTCGTGGCCTTTCTTGTCTTGTTTGTAATCACGAGGATCGGGTTGTGATTGGCTCAGCAAGTCCCCATTAAACCAAAATGCTAGTTTTGTGGCATCTAGATAGCTTGGAGGTCATCTCTATGCTAGTGATCTCCTCAAGGTTTTCGTTTAGTAGATACACACATTTATAGCAAATAATCTTTCCTTTCAGGGATAACGGAATGAAAATATCAATATAACGCGCCCTACCAAATGAGCTACATCCATCAGTCCTGTTACACACTTCCTTTTATCTTCTGCACGGTCCACTTGCGGTCCACAATTCTGGTCTGTCATTTTCCGCTAATATCTTCACGCTCTTTATGTATTCATACTTTGTTTGCTTGGGCCGAAAGCTCGCTCTCCCTTCTCCACTGTAGGATCTTTGCAGCCTTTGCTTCACGTTCTGCTTGGAAAGCATCAGCCGGTGTTTCTTAATCCCTGAAATGAACATGAATGAAACTGTTGGTAGATCAGCTGTTAGGAAGGCAGTGGTTGTGTTGTCTGCTCCTTCATTGTGGCTGTATGCACTGTGGCTGTGCTGAGTACAGTTGTGTAGCTGCTGTGACCTCTCTGTGCTCATCTCTGCCCTGTAGGCTACTTGCCACTCCCTTCTGAATAAAGCCACTGTTAAAGAAAAAAAGGAAAACAAAAAATCCGTAAGTGTTATAGCATTTAATTTTTTTCTTTAGCTGCCATTTATTATTAGTTTGGGTTTATTCATACCATAAATGCAACGTGTTGCTTTTCAATATATTATGATTTTTTTTATTTTTTATGGTTTTGAGTTGTTTTTCGCCAGAACATGTTCAGAAACACCTGTGTAAACATGGTTTTCTTACGAAGACACGTCCATTTTCAACTCAGCGTAGTGGGGAAAACGTAGAGATAAACAAAATAATTGTACTGCTTTGAACCAACTTTTCTTGCTTTATTTACTTACTTTATTTCAACCTTTGTGGACCGGGTCAGTGATGGTGGGTAGGTGGGATCAGTTCAGCTTTTCTAGGTCTTTCCGTAAAGCAGAATGCTGTTTCTTTGTGAGGGTTTAAGGTCTATTCTGACATATCCACATATATGCAGTCCTGGAGCCTGGTACTGACTTGGTCTACCTTCTCAGAACGTACATACTTTCAATTAGAAAACATTATGAATCTGTATTTTGGCTTCTGGAAGAGTCTTGTCTTTCTTGGAAAACTTTTAATGAAGGTGTTAAGTGATTTGCATGCGTTAAATACGATCTGATGAACATGTTTTCGCTACTCTGGCTTCTGTCATGTGCTCTATGGGTCGTCTTCAAGTCAATGGTTGTGCATGTTTTCACTTTGAGAAACCATTGGTGCGTATGCATGTAATGGTGTAAAATGTCTAATTATTCCCACCTTTTAATTTTCTGTCTGTTTGTATTTTCTCATTTGCTGAGACTTTCACCACATTACCATGATGTTATAAAGCATGTTTGCGTTTTAATGGTCTTTTTTTATTGTTTAATAATATGCTTTTTACAATAAAACACTGATTAAAAATATATATTTTTTAAAAGCTCAAGGAAAATGTGTTTACATGATATTTTAAAATTACTAGGTATAAAATTGGTGCATGTAAACACATTCAATAATTGTCAGTTTGTTGGTTTTTGTTTATTGCCTTGATGATAATTAGATTTTTATCATGCAAATTTACACATGAGAGGTTTCGTCTGATTAGTGATTGACTTTATAAATATTGTCATTGTCATAAGCTGAGCCCCTTCGTAGCCTATTTTAAGTCTCAGTATAATTAGTAGTAATTATGGCTGGGATTGGAGTTCGATACTTTTTAAACACGGAATTGCCTCGCCAACATCGAGTTTCATGTCTTGTCGTTTGGTACCAAATTTTTTATACCGAATTTCTAAAATTTCAAAGTGGTTAATCTCATTAATATCAGTGAGCCAATAAGCATGCAGCATGATTGGCTGTGGCGAGGCATCAAGGCATCAAAGTAGGTTACACCCAGAGACCTTTCTCACCTGAGGCTGTTGTGTGTAAGCGACCCAACCCCCATAGATGTAAAAGATCACCAGGCTCTTATTGCACGTGATGCAATATTTGCGACAAACATAATTGCTGCCAAGACCGTCAACACTGCAAATCTGATGAAGCGGTTAAAAGTGCACGGAATAAACTTGAGAGCTGAAAGTCGCTCTGTCTTCGACTGCAAGAACAACTGGAGCGTGTCACATAAATGAACCGAAACTCAGCAGGCTAATTGCCTCACAGGCATGAGAGATAGGCATATAGAAAGCCTGAAATGTCTACTTTTAAACTAACCAATTCGTATCGAAAACAAATTCTCTGATTATGTAATCCAAATTTAAGGTGCATTTCTCTCTATAGGTGAGTCAGCAACATCAACTTCATCTTTGCAGCCAACACTGGCTCAGAAAACACTGGTTAATAAACAATTAAAATGTGTCTAATATCATTAGACTACTTTTGCCAGTGCTTTGCGGCAAGCTTATGTGTGCACTTGGGTGTGACTCGCGGCATATATTCTGCCCCCAGTGGTCTATATGTGTCATTGAGTCTGGGAAAAAAAGTCAACAAACTGAAAAATAAAACTTAAAACGTAATCTTGTTGAAACGGATTTCATAAAATCAGTATCGCAAAAAGTATCGTTCAGGAATGGGTATCGAAGTCAAGGTATCTGTATCGATATCGAAATTTTTTAACGTTACCCAGCCCTAGTAGTAGTTATTCAGTCCTCTGCTAAGGATTTATATAATAGGTGAGGTGGAACTGTAGACACACATTGTACTCCATTATGTATTGTAAGGGTGTGTATCCTCTCTCACGCATTGTTCTGCAAACATTTATTTTGGTTTGTAAGGGATTGTTTAATGTGTGGTAATGTGTTTATTAATACCATGTATGTACAAATCTGACGTCTGATTATTAGTTTCTAATAGACATACTGTATAGTATCAAGTCTCATGACACTTGTTTCTTTCTTACAGAGCCTCTTTTACCAGACAAAACATATTTATAAATATTTTTTCCCTTCCTTCATTCACATATTTTGTTCTTCATTGTATCATTTCCTGATTTGTTTTGTTGTTTTTAAATAAAAATCATCTTGATATATTAAATTTTCAACAATATATCAAAAAGAATTTGACTTGTCCCTGTCATTTACCTATAAGTCATCCTTCCGACACTCAACTGTTTCCTCTTGCTTTCCTCCATCCGTTTGTGCAGGTGGTCAGCCAACGTTTTCCTCAGAACAGTATTGGTGCAGTAGGAAGTGCCATGTTCTTGCGCTTCATTAACCCAGCTATTGTATCACCGTATGAGGCGGGCATCCTAGACAAGAAGCCCCCACCTCGCATCGAGCGTGGCCTCAAACTCATGTCCAAGGTAAGTGAGAGTAAAGTTATGCCAGATTCGTACAGATCTTTCATTTTCACCGTCTGATGACTAACTGGCAAGATTAAAAGTTGATTTATACCACCCTAAGTTAATAGCAAAATTTGAATTTCTACATATATTACAGCCACATTATTATTTTTTTTTTTTCTCCAGATTCTCCAGAGCATTGCTAATCATGTCCTCTTTACAAAAGAAGAGCACATGCGGCCCTTTAATGATTTTGTGAAAAGCAACTTTGATGCAGCCAGAAGGTTTGATTGTTTCTTTATCTCTTTTTATGGTTTTAAAAAGCCCTTCTGAACACTATAGACCATTTCACAAGATGTAAACAACACTGGTCCAGAAGCACTTCCTGTTTCAGTTTTTTTACACTACATAAAAGCTGGGATAAAATACAACCAACGGAACATTTAAAACTGAATCAAAAAGTTAAACAAACATCTTTAAGATGTTTTCTTTACATGTGAAATAAAGAAAACAGTTACAAACTGAAACAGGAAGTGCTTCTGGACCAGTGTTGTTTACATCTTGTGAAATGGTCTATAATTTACACAATTAAAATTGTAGTAATGAAGCAATATGCTACTTTTAGTAGCTAGCTAGTTAGAGGCATGTGTTGTAACTGTATTTTCAGAAAGCTCTTAATTGAACTTTATTTGTTCTAGATGTTCAATAATGCTTTTGATACTTTAACCTGGAAGAGAAAAACTTTACATTTTATATATGCTATATATATATATATATATATATATATATACACTTATATATATATATACTTTTGCCACATTTAAGGGTATGCAAGCATATATGTGGCCTTAAAACTTGAAGATACGTAATAAAGCCATAACTCCAGTTGTGATTTTATTTGTTCTTGAAACTCAATGTTTTAAACCATTTGCTTCAAAATGCCCAATTTTTGTTTTGGCAGGTTCTTCTTGGATATTGCTTCTGATTCTCCGCCGAGTGACTCCGTGAACCATAGTTTGTCTTTTATCAGTGACGGCAACGTGCTTGCCCTGCACCGTCTGTTATGGAACAACCAGGAAAGAATTGGCCAATACCTTTCCAGCAACAGGTAAGATAGCTCCTAGATATACAAAGAAGGTCATGCTTCATTGGGTTTTTTTTTTAGTAACTAACCCTTTTAGATAAAATTTTTGTCCTGTTTTCACAGTAAATGTAAAAGAGTTTTGAATATTAATGTCTTAAAACAGATACAAATGTTGTAATCAAACTTTAAACCATAGGGACCACAAGGCAGTGGGTCGTAGACCATTTGACAAGATGGCCACCCTCCTGGCGTATCTGGGTCCCCCTGAACATAAGCCAGTAGCTGACACACACTGGTCCAGCCTCAACCTCACAAGCTCAAAGTTTGAGGAGTTTATGACAAGGTGACTGTTCTTGCTTTTGCCAAAAGCTAGTGTTTCTTTTCTCTTGAGTTTTTCACCCAGATATAGCCAGAGTAAAGATTGTCATATAAACTGAGCTTTGTTTTTGCTGGTGTGTTTCTGACATTTTCTCTGTTTGGGAATTATAGTATCTATTTATCTATATTTGTTTGTATTTTTCCATATATTGTTTATTTATAAATAAATATATGGATTTAAAAAAGGCTGTAGATCAAATGCAATTTTACTTATTACTTTAATATTTACTTACTTAAAATATAATTTTTAATTTTACTTTTTCGAATTTGTTAAATTGGTGGTAAATGTCGGTCAACTCAAGTTAGTTGTTAGTTAGTTTGTGAATTAGAAAATACTGGTCTGCTTTCGTACAGTTTATAGAAATGATTTTTCTTATTCATTCATAATCAACTTTTACAGTTTGTTTTTGTTAGGCAAAACACATTAATATTATTTGTAAAGCACATGTCCTACACGCCTGTAATTTAGTTTAATTTTTAATTTGCTTTGGCTTGGTTTTATAATATTGTTTATTATGAATGGCAGTAATTGTAGATCTAATTTAGTCATTTTATTCTGTATAATGTTACATTTGAATGCTTTTTTGTGTAGTGAGGGTGACTAAAATGTACATGAATACTGTATTTGCTTTATTTCCCTTTACTAAAATGTAACACGCAGGGATGCAACTTGTGTTTTGACCCACTGTATCTTATATTCTGTTGTGGCTTTTTAAAAATAAATACATAGAACATACAGTATATACGTAAATACATAGTTGTCTAAAAAAACGTTTCAAGAAATTGTTCTTTTAACCAATAACAGCCTTCATTTGTATCAGAGAAAAAATATTGTTTTTCCCCCTTGTTTTTCAGGCATCAAGTCCATGAGAAGGAGGAATTTAAAGCTTTAAAGACCCTCAACATCTTTTACCAAGCTGGCACGTCTAAGAATGGCAATCCTGTATTTTACTACATTGCCCGCAGGTAAGAGCTTTATTTTTGATTTATGCTCTTTTGGTGTAAAACCTGGCCTGTTGCTTATTTTGTTGTAACTTTTGAGTTGGGCATTCTGTTTCACTTCTCCTGTATCCTGTTTGTCATGTTTGTTCTCTTTCTTGAAGGATTGTACAAGTCATATGTGTATATTTGAAGAATCAAACCGTCTTTAATAAGCTTTGCATAAGTACACAGAATAGCAGGAAAGCAACTTTTATTATTTGTTTATTGACGTGTCACTCTGTAGTGTTATCATATGACATTATATATATTGTTATAAATGACACACACATATACCTCTTCATAATTACATTACAATTACCCATTCTCAACCATTCTGAATGTACAAGGTCATTTAAAAGTGCCAACAAAAGTGTTTATTCTTCATTTGAATTCTTTATATAATCATACATGTGTTTCTAGATTTTATTTTTGCAAGTATTTATCCGAGCAGTAATTATCTGCCAAACATCTAGGTTTTAGCTGTTTAACAATCATCGGTTATTTCAACTTCTGGTGTTGATTATCAGAACTGGTGGAAGAGTTTAAGAAATGCAGTGTAGGTGACAGTGTATATCAGAAGTCCAGGCACTCCCACACTCCACATAGGTGAAAGAAATGCTGCAATATATGTGCTGGGTTTTGTGGCAGTACTTGTGCCGGTGGTTGTGCCGGTGGTTGTGCCATTGATTGTGCCATTGTTTGAGCCGTTGTTTGAGCCATTATTTGTGCCGTTGGTTGTGCCGTTGATTGTACCATTGATTGTGCCAATATTTGAGCCATTGTCTGAGCCGTTGTTTGTGCTGTTGATTGTGCCGTTGGTTGTGCCGTTGATTGTACCATTGATTGTGCCAATATTTGAGCCATTGTCTGAGCCGTTGTTTGTGCTGTTGATTGTGCCGTTGTTTGTGCTGTTGATTGTGCCGTTGTTTGTGCTGTTGATTGTGCCGTTGTTTGTGCCATTATTTGAGCCGTTGTTTGTGCTGTTGATTGTACCATTGATTGTGCCAATATTTGAGCCGCTGTTTGAGCCGTTGTTTGAGCCATTATTTGAGCCGTTGTTTGAGCCATTATTTGAGCCGTTGTTTGAGCCGTTGTTTGAGCCATTATTTGAGCCGTTGTTTGAGCCATTATTTGAGCCGTTGTTTGAGCCGTTGTTTGAGCCATTATTTGAGCCGTTGTTTGAGCCATTATTTGAGCCGTTGTTTGAGCCATTATTTGAGCCGTTGTTTGAGCCATTATTTGAGCCGTTGTTTGAGCCGTTGTTTGAGCCGTTGTTTGAGCCGTTGTTTGAGCCGTTGTTTGAGCCGTTGTTTGAGCCGTTGTTTGAGCCGTTATTTGAGCCGTTGTTTGTGCTGTTGGTTGTGCCGTTGATTGTACCATTGATTGTGCCAATATTTGAGCCGTTGTTTGAGCCGTTGTTTGAGCCGTTGTTTGAGCCATTGATTGTGCCAATATTTGAGCCGTTGTTTGAGCCGTTGTTTGAGCCGTTGTTTGAGCCGTTGTTTGTGCTGTTGGTTGTGCCGTTGATTGTACCATTGATTGTGCCAATATTTGAGCCGTTGTTTGAGCCATTATTTGAGCCGTTGTTTGAGCCGTTGTTTGAGCCGTTGGTAACACCATAGCTTGTAATCATAACAGCCACTAGCAGTAGCAGAATTTGAATTTTGTAAGCCATATTCTGCACTTTCACTATTAAAATGTGGAAAACAACAAAATAAAATTATAATTTACTTTGTATATGATTTTGTAGCCAATATTACTGAATTTGATACCATCACCTTAAATATTTGTTTATAGAAAATAGTTTTACCGTTTGTCATTGATGATTGTTCTTTGTGTCTTTCAGTTCTCTAGAAGGATGTTGGTTTGAATGCCAGAGTGAAGTCATGCCCTTTATTTGAGCTCTTAAACCAACACTCCTGCAAGAGGCGGAGGTGTGTTATTATTGGAGGATATATGCAATTATCTTTGTGTGTCAAACATTTCCACTTAAAGGGATAGTTCATGTTCATGTACATGTTCAATTAAATATACAAACAGGCATAAAAGACAAAAACAACGTTAATAGTTGGAGATTTTAATTGCAAGTGCTTAGCGATACTTAACTTACGTGGTATAGGCTATAAGTTACAGTTAACAGCGCTAGATGGATGGGATGATATTATTCAAATAGAACATTGGTGACGACTTTCTTGCAGAGCTGTCAAAAGAAGAGAAAGCTGCAGAAAGAACAAGCTGAGTTCAACATGCACCAACATTGTTCTGGTGAATTGAGCTAAACTTCGATTCCTATTTCTTTAGACATTGTTTTTCAGGTAACAGTCCTCATCCAAACACAACCTGTTTGACTTTGAAACTTTGAGTATTTTGTTGCATAAAAAATGGGGGGGGGGGGTTTCCACTACATATTTTCCTCTATATCTTATCAGCAATTTCGAATTCGGCACGCTCTACAGCAGCTGAGCACAGAGTGAGTCTATGGAGCGAATGTACAGTGACATAACTGCCAGATTCAAACTGCGTGCTTGTGCTATGGCTGGCTGAGCCAAAGACGGACGCACGCAGCGCTTGTCATAGGCTATATCACAACTGTTCAGTGTTTTAACCACATAATATTTATTTTAGGTTTTATTTAACGGCCGATGCCGTCTAAACATCGTGATGTCTGTCAGCCATCACGATGGACAATGATATCGTCCATCGGCCCAACCCTACAAACAATGACAAAAACAGTTCCATAAAACTTAAAAGATATCAAAAAACAGTAGTTACAGAAATAAATATTATTTCATTTTATTATTGTTAATATTATGTTTATTAGCCTATGTTAATAATTTAAAGTTACAAAGCAAAAACGAAATGAAATGCCCTGCATCATCCCGTAAATAACTGGGCAAAACGAATGGATACTAGGGATGGGCATTTCAAGCAAAAATATTATTCAATTATCGCTGGGAATTAATAGATTATTGTTCAAAAATCACACCTAGATTTTTTTTTATTGCACGATTAACAGTCTTTTTGGCCAAGCAAACTTTTTAGGGTTTTTGTTCACATGCTTTTGCAACAGGACGTGGATTGCGCACGGGGACGTTTTGAAATCGCAAGCGGATCTAGCTAGACCTGAAACAAAACAACAGGCACGACGCTGCACACACTTGTTTGGGCTTGCGAGCCCGCCAAATAGTTGGTTAATGTTACTTTACTTTAATTACATGTGTGTCTATATATATATATATACAGTGCCCTCCACAATTATTGGCACCCCTGTTTAAGATGTGGTTGAGGACTTTTAAAAATTCTCCCTTTTTTTTAAACAACATAGAACCCAAATGCAAAAAAAGAGAAAAATCCAACCTTTTATTTAAGTACATTACTTTGGTGGTAAAAAAAAATGTAAAAATTTAGAAAAATAAAAACTTCAAATCCTGTGTCCCACAATTATTGGCACCCCTAACAATTCCGCTGAAAAATGTAATTGATTTTTTTTTTAAAAATATATTTTCTGTAGTTGCTAATGTTGGTCAGGATATCTAGGAACTTTTAATTAGTAATTCATGACTTCCTATTTCCCTGGGGTATAAATATGACATGACACAGAGGCCTAATTCTCTTACCCATTTGTCAACATGGCAAAGACAAGAGAACACACCATTCAAGTAAGGCAGATGTGTAATGACCTTTATAAGTCAGGCAATGGCTACAAGAAAATAGCCACTCACCTTATATTGCCCATATCTAAAGTTAGAGGAATCATTAAGAAGTTTAAAACAACAGGAACAGTGACAAACAAGGCTGAAAGAGGTCCCAAGTTTATCTTGCCACAACGCACTGTGAGGAGGATGCTAAGAAAAGTAAAAAAAAGTCCTAAGCTCACTGTCACAGAATTGCATCAAATAGTGGCATCTTGGGGTCACAAAATCTCCAAAACAACCATCAGACGCTCTCTACATGCCAACAAGATGTTTGGGAGGCATGCTAGGAAAAAGCCCTTTCTCACTAACACTGACAAACGTAAACGTCTGGAGTTTGCCAAGCGGCACTGGGACTTCATCTGGGATCGTGTGCTTTGGTCGGATGAGACTAAGATTGAGCTTTTTGGCAACAAACACTCTAAGTGGATCTGGTGTAAAACAAAAGATGTGTATGCCGAAAAGTACCTCATGCCCACCGTGAAGTATGGTGGAGGATCTGTGATGCTGTGGGCCTGTTTCTCTTCCAAAGGCCCTGGGAACCTTGTTAGGGTGCATGGCATTATAAACGCTTTGAACTACCAGGACATTTTTAATAAAAACCTGATGGCCTCTGCCAGAAAGCTGAAGATGGGTCGTCATTGGGTCTTTCAGCAGGATAATGATCCAAAACGTGTGGCAAAATCTATACAAAAATGGTTCAGTCACAAACTCAAGGTCCTCCCATGGCCATCTCAGTCCCCAGACCTCAATCCAATCGAAAACCTGTGGGGTGAGCTAAAGAGGAGAGTGCACAAGAGAGGGCCCAGGATACTGGATGATCTAGAAAGATTTTGCAAAGAAGAATGGTCAAAGATCCCTCTCTCTGTGTTCTTCAATCTTGTGAAATGTTATAGGAGGAGATTAAGTGCTGTCTTGTTGGCAAAAGGGGGTTGTACAAAGTAGTAACATCAGGGGTGCCAATAATTGTGGGACACATGATTTGAAGTTTTTTTTTTTTTTAATTTTTAATTTTTTTTTTACCACCAAAGTAATGTACTTAAATAAAAGGTTGGATTTTTCTCTTTTTTTGCATTTGGATTCTATGTTGTTTAAAAAATAGGGAGAATTTTTAAAAGTCCTCGACCACATCTTAAACAGGGGTGCCAATAATTGTGGAGGGCACTGTATATATATGTGTGTGTGTGTGTGTGTGTGTGATATACTGTATATCTCCATTTAGTTTAACTCTACCTTGACGTGGACTGTCAGTTCTGCTTTGCTGTGCGTTTACGCATTTGTAATTTCCCAGTCCTGTTGCATGGCCTGTTGACTTTATTTTATGTAATTGCAGTAAAACACTGGGTTTTCCGATTTTATTTTTATTTCAACCGTTAAAGGAAGCATGTCTGTACTCCTGGAACACATCAGTTGTAGTTGTAGTACACTTACACAGTGTTGTAGTTTTATACACAATAGAAACAATGAAATGCACACATATCTGTCAATGCTCAAGCACAACACTGGAAAGAGCAATCAATTTTCCACATCAAGAAACTGCTGCTTGTAGTGTACTTCTATACGTCTAGAGGTCGATATATAGGTAACCATACAGTATTCAGTCACATTAACTAGAAGGTTGTATGTTTATTGGAAGCAGGCAGAGATTGCATTCGACAAAGAATGCTTAACAATGTGAAAGTGCGAGTCTCACTTTTTGCATTTTTTTGTGGATATTTTTTTCACCCCCAGACTCAAGTCAGCAGGTCTAGTTCAAGAAGTTCAAGTTATGCTGAATCACAAAGCACTCGGGATGACAACTGTACATAAAAGGCTCAAAATGGTGGTTTCAAAGCTGCATATGTGGATTTGATGCCTTGTGCTGCAAGATCTGCCTGGAAGGACCTTCTTGGTGCTACGTGTTCGGATTGTTGTGCTTGACCCTGTGGACAGGCTATGTGGAGTCGAAGTGAGAAATCCCCCACCCATGATCAGCACCTGAACGCCTGCCCCAGAGGTATTAACAGGGCTTGGATTGTGAGCTACATTCAACTGGGCTGACTTGGACAGGGAACCAGAAGTAACTGCCTGCATTGGAGCTCGGTGGATAGGATAACGAGCGTCGGCACCCAGTGGCGGCTCTGTGAATACGGCTGAGTGCCAGGTTCTCCTAGTGACCAGGTGGACCTCTCCACATCTGGACCTGGTGTAGCAGGGGCAGCCCAAGACCTTCGCAGGGGTTTGTTGCATCCAAGTCAGCAAATGGTTTATATTTTCCTCATCCTCACAAGCCCAAGGATTGTCTCCAAGTGTGAGGAGCTCCAGTCCATTCAGTCTATTAAAGACGCCTTCACTTAATGAAGTAAAACGATTAGCATGCAGGTAGAATCTTGACAGCCTGGGAAGGCGATCCAGTGAGCCAGGTAGGATCTGCAGCAAGTAGTTGTGAGAGAGGTCCACAATCTCCAAATTGTAGGGCATGTTTGTCGGAACAGTCCAGAATTTGTTGTGACTAAAATTGAGAGCTTGGAGATTGGACAACGTATTGTTAATTAAGACCACACGTTCCAGCAAGTTGTGTGACAAGTCTAGATTCTGAAGGTTCCAGTGGTAGGCCGTATCATTCTTCACCAATTGACGGATGTAGTTTCCAGATGCACGTAAATCCCAAAGAGCCTTCGGCAGACCTAAAGGAAGGTGGTGGAGATTGTTATAGGAGATATCCAAAGTTCTTAAGTGGTCAAAATGGTTGAGGAGCCCATCGAGATCTTGCAGCCGGTTATGAGACAAGTTGAGGAAATGAATGTTGTGCTGCAGGCTGTCAGGAAGTATACCCAGCTCTCGGGCAGAGCAGTCCACCACTCTATGGCCTCTGCTACAGCTGCACATTGGTGGGCAAATGGCCAGCACACGCACCCCGAACAGGAGGACGAGCAATAGATTAGCCAGCATGGAGGCAAGTGTGATATGGACTGTCCTGTAAAAAGACAAAGAAAAAATTGTCACAAACGTTGTTCTTTAGGTAACTAAATACACCAAAGCTTTAGTATAGATATTAGTGGAAGGGTGGAGTCCTGGTCCTAGTGGGGTATCCCAGTAGAACGACAAGTATGACTATCATGTACCATGTTGCAGGCGCAGCTTATCATTGTTTATTCTTTACAGACCAAATCCAATTAAAATTCTAATGGTGAGAACCTTCGTTCCACACACGTTTTATTATGTCCCTCTTGTTATAGCCTTTACAGGTGTGGAGCAGTCATTTGATCACTTTGGGGGAACATGCCCACACTTGCCCCCCACTATTGCAAGACAGACCTATTACACCCTATTTTTTGGGAAAATAAGCAGCACTTTTCAAATAATCACTACTTAATGTGTCGCTTTACTTGTAAAATCACTCCAACAATCCTGATTCACCAGGTATAACACATTAGCAAAGTATGAACGTCAAGCCACAAAGACAATTTCATTTATTGAGCATTTTCTATCCATTGCAGTGTTGACAACAGGTTTTACTGTTACAACTCATACAGAGCCGCTCAGTTCTCTCTCGCTGTGCTAATAGGTTGAGCCTCTGCCAGGAGCTACCCTGCCATGCTGCAGCAGTGAGATGTTAGCATTTAGCCTTGGTAACAGTGCCTGCATCTTGAATCCCCCTCACCCTCTCATTTGTGGGGCATTTAGGGACATCGTTGCACAGTACCTCTGCGCGTGTGCACATAGTCATGCCATGCTCGGTTCTAGAAAGTTGTACGTGCTGGGTTGCCAAATCATCAGTATGCAGAATATTGTGGCGATATTAAAGCCCAAATCATTTGCATTACCCCAGTAAATCCATTTGAGCAAGTTGATTGTTTGCCACTGTCTAAGGACTTAATGTTACCCTTAATAAAATGAGATTGTGTACATGCTAGAAATTATGGTGGAGAAAAGTATCTAGTACTCTAATAGAGGTGCCCCTGTTTTTTGAATAGCAATGCTCTACTGCAGTCTCGCTCTGACCTGGCTTCACTGTGCACTTTGAGATGGATCATGTATGTTAAACTTAAACGCTCCTAATGATTGCCTTTCATGTCATATATTGCTTACCTGATTCTTTCCATTACTTTGTGTACATGTCGTTGTCTGTTCTTATCTCTCTTCCTTTCCCCCTTTTTCTAGAGCAGTAGAAGGCGATTTGGATTGCTTCGGTTCTGTTTTTCCCGGTCTTATATGACAGCAGGGTCCACGTTTCGTCTTTACTGTCTCGCACTCATATCCGTTTTTGTGCTCGCTCCACCTGTTCTACCCACCCCCTTCCTTTTTTCGCTCATTGGCAACCGTGAGTTACTGGTTTAGAGCCTCTCTTAGCCGTTTCCTTGCCTTACCGCTCTTCCAGGCATGGTCATGCAGTGTATTTGCACCCTTTGATAGCCTCCGCTGCTGCTGCTGACTGCCTGCTTACAGAACTTGTTTCAGGGCTTGCTGTCAGAGGAGGTAGAGAGAGAAAGGAGGGACTAAGGGAGGGACATTGAAGAATCATCGGATGGAGGGGAGGGGGAGGGGGCAAAATGCAGCACAGAGTCGACCCATACTGCTGCTGATGAGGTGGGGGGAGGGATGCTGACTTTAGTGTTTTATATTCCGGATCTGCACACTCCACCAAATCATCTTCCTGATCTCTCTCTCTCTCTCTGTCCCTCTCTGTCCCACGCGTTGTCATGACATGGCTTTTGTGTGTACCATGTTTAGAGATTACTCACACAGCAGCTTTGATAAATGAACCCCTGCTCTATTGCAATATTACTATACAGTGTTGAATTATTCTGTGTGACGCAGCTAAATGCAGAAGACAGGCTGATGTGGTTTAATATCCCTCTATGGCCTTGTCCTCATTTAGGTGACAGCAGTTTTTTAATGCTTTCTTTATTGTTTTATATATATATATATATATATATATATAATTCCTAAGGGATTTCTGTTTAAGTTTGTGAGTTTACTCTCAGTATATATATAACTACTTTTAGACCACTTAAGTTATGATTTATATTTTACTCTGTTAAAGCTTGTTAATGTACCCCTTCTTGTTTAGTTTAGTTAATTTAGGTGCAGAGGTTTACATAATTTGTTTGGCAGCATGTATTAATGTTTTAATTCTTGTAACTCATTTTTTAAATATACAAATGGATGGATGGAAGGTGATATGTGCTTCCATCTCTTTCACCCCAGTGTTCGAATGTGCATGTGCAACTTTTGAGAGCGCCAATGAGGTATGAATGGGGCGAAACGGCATAGCAAATGTGTGAAATCCTGCATAGCAGCAGAGTAAGGTTTTGAGCTACTGAACCAAAAAAAGTGAAGAAAAAAGTGATAACCTTAACCCTCACAAAAAGTACAATGGTGTTACAATGGTATGCTGTCTCAATTGGATATAATAATATTAATAATAATAATCTTATTTATTATTATTATGCTGTTGTTTTCATGCCTCAAGCAAGTAGTTTAAAGCTGTTGGCTCATTTAACCACTGAAGTGGGAATCTCACCGGATGGAGAGAGTTTGAAAATAAATCAAAAGGCAGAAAATGGTGTTGTAGTTGGTTTCCCAATTTAAATATGCTGTGACATTTCCTCTCTCACTTCTGCTGCAGGTGGTGCACAGGCCCTGCATTTAGCGCTCTGCAGAAGACACACTGTATGCTACTTGTACTAACTTCCTTCCTTGCTCAATAGTAGTACTTCAGTAGTGCTTATCCCTATAGGCAGAGTTTGTTGGTGTTGGAAACCGAGAACCAGTTGTGGAATGATTTTCATGGTGTTCAGTAAAAAGATTCTTGAATTGCTTCATTTGTCTTTTGGTGCAGACAGAACACCATTTTATTTAAATATGAAGAGTTCAGATGCAAAAGCCTCTAAGTGCCATTTGAAATTTCCTTCTAAAATGATCATTTTCATCAAGCTTGTATATTTAAGTTCAGTAATTTCACTTAAATGGCAATGATAATTACCTATTAATTGTCATTTAAGTGAAATTACTGAACTTAAATATACAAGCTTGATAAAAAATTGTCATTTTAGAAGAAAATTTCAAATGGCATTTTGAAATTTCAAGGCTTTTGCATCTGAACTCTTCATATAGTCTGACGGTGTTTTTTATTCTATAAATGTCCATTGTATCCTTGGTCCTAATCTTTATATTTTATTTGTGTGTTTTAAAGCAACTTTGTTTGCCTAATGCAGGCAAACGTAATATTTGTACTCTAATTAAAGAAATTGATTATCAAGCTTGTAGGCACTTGTATTCTCTGATGTGCAATGTTACAATACATTTCTTTCTCATTAGAATAAAGTTGGTAATTTAAATACTGGTGTTTACTTTTTTGATTTAACAGTTGATGGAAAGAAAGACACATGACAGTGTTGCAACATTTTTTTTTATTTTTAGTATAAGTGAGTTGTTTGAGCTGCTGTTGTAATGTTCTTCTGACAGTTCATCACGGTTAAAAGTGTCTCATTCATTTGAAAATTGGCTCCAGATTGTGGCTACATTCCCTCTTTAGGTTACACGTGTTTAACAGTGCATGTAGGTACAAAGATTGTACATGCTGTGGTTTTTGTACAAGCGCGCCATGCATTCTCATGGACACAAACTGTTTTATCTGAGGACATGTACTGCCTTGACCAAGCCTGTTTTAACTTTTCATGAGACTTTTTTTTTATTGGTTTGAAGAGTGTTACTTTTCAAAGTGCTAAAATGACAAAGACCAAATGAAATCAGAATTGGAGTTTGTGGCATTTAGTTATCTTCAAAGTAGTTATATGCTGCTATTTGACTTTGATTAACCTTTAACAGTATGTACAGGCTCTGTCTTGAAGTAGGAAGTCATGTGTAGCAGTTGTGTGATACTGATAACTGTGTAATGGATAAGAAAAAAAACTGAGCAATTGAGAAAGCCTTTTGAGAAATGTATCTTTAACAGTCTTGAACAAGCAAAGTAGGTTGTAAATCCCTTGCAAGAAATGGTCTTTGAATATTTTGACTTTAAGAAAGCAGATCTGAGTATGTTGGTTATCTTGCTTATATAGTATTTAGCGGTAGAGAGGATTTTGTTAAATGAGATTAGGGCAGTGGTGGAGCAGGTGGAACAATTCCCCCATCTGATGTTTGCGAAGGAATTACTTCTTCTGAAAGGGAATCAAGATCTATAGACACTAAAGGTGGAGGTTTAATTACAGTGTCCATGCCAGAAGATAGAGATGGGGTGAGGTCATCAGTCTGCTTTGATATTTTGCTCTCCATCACAGGTTCTTGTGCACTTCTTGATCCAAATGTTTTGCTGTCCAAAGAATCCACGGATGCTTGACCTGCCTGGATTTCATTTTCCTCCTCCACAGTTGAGTCCTGAGCAACCGTTGGGTTCCTGTTGGAGGCTTGGACCTCATCTGGATTTTGTCTGCCAAATGTGCTTCCTTGCAGGATGTCCCCCATGATAACTTCCTCATTCGTGTTCTTTCCGAGCGTCAGGTGTTTGGAGAGCTGTTGGGGGAGGTATCTGGAAATGGACACCTGGTTAAAGCCTCGTCCGTTGATTGTCTCGGACTCATCCATATTTGGCAGGTTTGGTTGAACGTCGCCATCCAGAAACGGTGAGGGTCCGGCCCATTCAGGATTTTCAAGCCTCTTTCTCTGCATTTTGCGCTTCTTCAACAAGATAAAAATGATTGCTATGAACATCAAAACAAAAGTGGTGCCGATCACAGCTGCCACAGCAGGAGCTGGGTTCGCTTTCTGGAAATTATTTGGTGGAGGGTAAATTCGCTTTGTGGTGGTTTTTTTAGTGGTCGACAATGTCTTTGTTGGCTCAATCATGGATGAAGTCTTAAGCTCAGGACCTTGCGTGCTTGTCCACCTGTCTGTGATGACTTCACTCTCTGTGGTTTCCACACTATTGGTGCTTACAGTCTTGTTGAAATCTTTTGACGTTATTGCAGAAGTGTGGGCATGAGTCAATGGGTTTGGTTTGTCTGTAGTCTCCATTGTAGGAAGGTCTCCATTTGTATCGTTATTGCTGCCCTTCACTACTGTTTTGTTGGTTTGCACGTCACCATAGTGTCCAGTGAAATCAGAAGTAGAAGGTGTTTCCTGAGTGGCTTCCAGTGTCTCCATAGCTCCTATGCTCGTTTTTTCCTTTGGCGAAACATCTGCCTCTGTGGCATTGGGTGGTTTAGTCGAAATATTCAATTCTTTAGCTTTCTCAATCTGTAAAAGAGATGTAGAATGCGGTCTGCGGGAGCCTTCTGTCGGTTTTCGTATTTCCTTTTGTGGAGTTGTTACCTCTTCCTGTATCATTTGCCTTTCTGGTTGTGCTAGCGTAGTAGTCAAGATGTATTCGCCATCACGTATGTTCATGCTTTTACTCTGGTTTGATGTCTCGGTGTCAACGTTGGGTGTGCTCAGCAGGATGCCTCGCTGCTCTGAATGACTCTTTAGGTGCTGCGTCTGAGCACTTCTTGAAAGTGAAACCACGTTGTCTGTACCAGAATTAGTAGTGTTCTTAACATACCCTGATGCATTACCTGCTGTGTTTGTTACCTCAATATTCTTATGGCTGGTTGTTAAATGGCCGTTTAGGCTCCATGGTAGAGAGAAGAGGAAGACAAGTGTGCAAAGATTAGTCCTCATGGTGTCCTTAGAAAACCTTGCCAAAAAGAGACATTTTTGCACATAAGACTCAACAGAGCATTTTATCTCCTGAATTCTTATAAGCCACAAGCAATATGCTTGGATTAAAACTTTTATGCAAAGGTCACAAGCAAATTGTAAATTAATACTTCAACCACAAATTGAAAATTTAAAAAAGTCGATTATTTATTTAGCTAAAAGTTAGTCTGGAAAACTAGTTTTCTACTTATTTTGTGGTATCATGTAGATATTTAAAAAAAAATTACAAACTTGTGAAGTCAAGTAATATAATCATTGGTTTATGCTAGACAAAACAGCAAAATATGATCTTACCAAGGCATCCTCTGAAGCATTAGTTAAAGAGTGAAGTATTTTCTGATGAATACGGAACCGTCACTTCACGTGACAGGAAATGAAGCTGTGAAACGGCTGCATTTGTTTTTGCTAATAGCAGTTGTTTTTTTTTTTTTGCCTGAGGAAAGAATCTGTGATGACAGTATGAAAAACCAAAGCATGTTTTTCTACTTAAATTTCATAATAGGCTTTTTTGTGGTATGTTTTGGAGCATTGCTGTCCTTTTTCTAAAAGGAATGGCTATTAATTATCTTCACAGATATCTAAAAAAGAAATGATTTTTTTTTGTAGAGCAGAAGTTGTGTAAAAGGAAATGACCTCATGCCTGTTTTTTTAATCTTGGAAAGTTCCTTTTCACTAAACACCCACCTTACAACAACCAATAAGACTTACCAACATATTGGCAACTACCTTAGCAGTATCATTGTTACAGTGAGTTTTGCTCCGCAACCAAGACATTTCAAAATCATTGTAAATAAGAAACTGAACAGGAAAAATTGTATCATTAGCATTGAATTTTATTAAATTTTTTTATTGATGTCAGACTTCTGAGATAAACTTAAAAAATGCTCATTATTATCGGATTTAATGGTATTGCTTTGCTTATTTTAAAGCTGAAGTGTGTGATTTCTACAGTAACTGCTTTACAGGCAGAGTCATCTGCCAATCATTTATTCATAGGTTGATTGATCCAAAATGTTTGACTGACCAATGGCTGATAAATGTTTCAAAAAGTCATTATTTTTGCACTTCACTGAACTTTGGTGACTGCAATGACATAGAAATGAAACCCTACAATTGACTTGTTTTGCTATTTGAACATAGTGGTGTATAGAGTTCACCTATTTGGGTTTATTTACAGTAGATGCTGCTGCGGCTGGTGGTCATATTTTAAAAAAGGGCCAAAGTGTGTCACAAAGCTTAGGTTAAATACAATTTCACTATACAATAATACACCAACATTTTATTTATTTATTTTCCTTGTCATCTTCACTAAACACAACAGATCTGCTTTGACCATCTGTTAAAAAAGTCAAAGTTTTCTATTTCATCTAATATTACCGATATAAGAAGTGTCCTTTTTAACAGGATAAGCAGAAAATTGTAGTTGGTTAAACAATTCTTAAAAAAATACAAATGAGACCACTTGTAACTGCACTTTTTTTTACTGCAGTAGCGGAACTATTGAAGCCATTTATTTTAAAAAACAAAAGAGAAATAAAATGTAAAAAATGTGCCTGTCATACCCCAGTGTACAAAAAAAAGCTCTTATACTTTAGTTTACACCATCAGAGGAATGTTTTCTAAACTAATGGGATCAATGCAGGAATCCCTAGAGGTTGAGCTCTGCATGGCTGTCGGGACACTCTCCAGGTCAGCGGGTGCGTTAGAAGTGTTGATGTACTGGCTTGGCCCTGCTGCGCCATCTTGGACGTCTTCCTCCTCACCATCTGTCTTTACGTCCTCCAGTAGAACACTGGTTTCGCATGGGCCCACAATTCCTCCCTCTCTTCTCTCGGTACCCCAATAGCCCGTTCCACTCACTAGGTCGGCATTGCTTCGGCATGGACGTGGGGTCCGGTGACGGCGTTTCAGGCTGGAGACTGTACATGCCAAGACTATGGTGGAGGTTAGAAGGATAAGGATGATGCCACCAGCAGTGGCAGTCACTATAAATGCTAGCTGGGCATCAATAAAGCAGCTGATCTCGGAGGCACCAGTTGCAGGCAAACTAGTTGTCGCAACTGAAATGTTGAAGTCTGGCTCATGGATAGTAGAGGACATGGGATCTTCTGTGACCTGCATTGTCATTGTATGTTGAGATCTATGTAACAAACAAGTACCATTATTCATTAGGAGGTGTTACTGTAGTTGCTGTAATTACTGTTGTAATAACTATAAATTATGCAGAATTACATGCAACTAACCCTAAACCAAGCCCTATTCCCTAACACTAATAGTACATGTAGTTTATTATTACTCAGTACTTAAATGTATAATTACACTAACAAGGACACTGTATAACAGTGTAATCAAATTTTGTTCCAAACCTGTGTGAGTTTTTATACTGTATGAGAAGATATATTTTAAGAATGTTGGTAATCAAACAGTTGATGGTAGCCGTTGACTTCTATAGTACGGAAAAATACTATTGAAGTCAATGGGGTCTATCAACTTTCTGGTTACCAAAAATTTGTTAAATATCTTTTTTTTGAACAGAAAAAATAAACTCATACAGGTTTGGAACAACTTCAAGGTGAGTAAATGATCATAATTTTTGGGTGAACTACCTTTTAATTGAACTTTTCAGTACACTCTACACATGTGCAATCCAATAAGTTTCCTGCGACAAAAAAAAATGTGTGTCCAAACTGAACATGAATCCTTGATTAATGAAAAAAAAAACGTTATGTACACTACGATTCAAAAAATTGTGGTCTGTAAAAGTAATGGTATTTTTTTTTTTGAAAGAAATGAAAAGATTTATTCAGCAAGAATGCGTTAAAATGAGCACAAATGACCTTAAAGACATTTTATAATGTTAATATTTTATTATATAATATGTCAAATAAAGCTGGAAAAAATACAAAACATTTTAGGCAAAAATATTTAGGGCAAAATAACATAGAAAAAAAAATACAATAGAAAATAACTATTGTAAATTGTTAGGAAACAGACGTTCAATTTGCGCCATTCGCGCGAACGAGGCGTATTCACGTCTTCCACGCCGCAGGAATTTTTTATGCACGTAATGCGTCTTTGCATTGACTTAACATTGCAATCATTCGCGTCTGACGCGCTATTCACATCCGGCGTGAACACCGCACCATCAGACTTCTTTCAATAACATTCAAAATCTAATTTGACCCCAAACTTTTGAATGCTAGTGTACATAATTTAACACTGTCATTTTCATCAGTGTATAAGTGTATCAGTCTTAAGTCTTAAATAAATTGATTGTGACAAAAGGACTTTTAGAATTTTAGAAGACTGATATTTAGAAGAATATGAGTAATCAGGCTGTTTCTGGTCTCATTGACTTCCATATTTTATATAGTATATTTTTTTCCTACTATGGAAGTCAATGAGACCAGAAACTGTCTGGTTACTGATATTCTTCGAAATATCAAAAAATCGGCTGAATACATTCGAAAACGGTAAAACTCAACTGTTTAACTCTGGGGGAGAGGTAAAATGAGCCTATTTCCAAAAAAAAGTGGAGTATCCCTTTAAGTCCTTTTGTCACAATCAATTTATTTAAGACTTCAGCCACTTTAACTGTATATTAAAAAGATTAACAAAAACGTAGTAGTTCGTTTTCCTCTCATCTTTTTTCCAAACTCTCAATTACACATTAGCTTTAGAGATAATTGGTGAAGTACTTACTAAAGTGGATATAGAACCTTTCTTGTGGACTTATCTGGAGCGCTGGAAGATGAAGAACAATGACCTGAAGTAGTGAGGCTTGATATATAGCAATGCAGAGCACAATTAACTTCCTGTCTTCACGCTTGATGATGTTATTTAGGTGTTTTCAGCTGAGATGCTCTTGACCTGTGGTTGTAACAATAGAAAACACGGTTATATATTTGGATTGCAGGTTTCCATTCTGTGTAAGCTGTCAAACGTTTGCCATTTAAGGGAATTGGAACAGACTGCTCGTTTAAAATGTTTTTAATGTTTGAAGTAAAGGTTAATGTGTATTGTGTAATATTTACTTGAAATTTCAATTATTGCTCCTTTTTATTATAGGTTTTTTGTGCACTTTTGGACATTCTTTCCAAAGAACACTTCTCAAAGATGTGCAGTCCATTGGCTTTATATCCAAAAACACATTCAAATTCAAATCGGAACTAAACTTGTTATTTCTCTCAGGTTCAAAACTGGACAAATCAACGGTGATCTTCTGATCTATCATGTCCTGCTGACCCTCAAGCCATACTACGCCAAGCACTACGAGATCGTAGTAGACCTCACCCATGTGGGCCCCAGTAACCGCTTCAAGACGGACTTCTTATCCAAGTGGTTTGTGGTCTTTCCAAACTTTGCCTATGAGAATGTGGCTGCAGTGTACATCTACAATTGCAACACCTGGGTGCGAGAGTACACCAAATACCACGAGCGATTACTGACTGGTCTCAAGGGGAGCAAGAAGCTACTCTTTATCGATTCACCTGCACGTCTAGCCGAACACATCGAACCCGAGCAGCAGAAACTGCCCGCTGCTACCCTGGCTTTGGAAGAGGACCTCAAAGTGTTCCATAATGCCCTGAAACTGGCGCATAAGGACACAAAGGTGTCGATCAAGGTAAAAATTGGTAATAATTCGAGTTTGTTTAGGTACCAGTATTTGCTACATTATTCAGTTTCTATCTTCATTAACTCTACTGCTGGATATGTTTTGTAGGGATGCACCAGTAATAAAGCTAAAAATGATAAATAAAACTGATAATGACCGATATTAAGAAGTTTTATAAATTAAAACAAAATAAACTGAAAATGTCAAATAAATAAATGATTATATAAAAATGTAGGCATCATATTATTGTAATGTATAATATAGAAAAATGGATATTCATTTTGTGATCTGCTAAAGATTAAGATTTACCTACTATTAAATTATTATTCAATACATGCACAATTAAATATTCAATATTGCCCAGTAACAAAAGTTAAATCTCTAATATTGGCTGATAATTGATATGATACTGATATATCGTTGCCCATTCTACCTAGGTGGGATCAACAGCTGTTCAAGTGACCTCGGCGGAACGCACGCGTGTCCTGGGACAGCCAGTTTTCCTGAACGACATATACTATGCTTCAGAGATTGAGGAGATATGCCTGGTGGATGAGAACCAGTTCACTCTGACAATCGCTAACCAGGGCACTCCCCTAACGTTCATGCACCAGGAGTGCGAAGCCATTGTTCAGTCCATCATCCACATCCGGACACGCTGGGAACTTTCCCAACCAGACTCAATTCCACAACACACCAAGATCAGGCCTAAAGATGTTCCTGGCACCCTCCTCAACATCGCTCTCCTCAACCTGGGAAGCTCTGACCCCAGTCTGAGGTGAGCAACATTAAGCTTTGGCCATGCTCAGACTGTTTTCAGCCTAACAACTTGAGTTTTTGGTGAATAGTTCAATGCATCAAGCTGTTGTTGTTGTTGTGACAATGAGCCTTTTATTTGCAGGCTTCTGTCTTTGTTTTGGTGAACTGATTAGAAATGCTAATATTGCTGCTTTGTGTCTTCAGTTCAACTGGGGCCGGTCTTGAACATGCCGCCCCGCAGTTATAATCATAAACCTGTCATGTACAAAAGAAATATCACATTAATTTCCTCAGATATGGAAACTAACATGTTGAAAAAGTGAATTAGTAAATTCTGAAAAATGACTTTGTTAACTCCTTCAACAGGTCAGCTGCATACAATCTACTTTGTGCCTTAACCTGCACCTTCAATCTAAAGATTGAGGGCCAACTCCTTGAAACGTCTGGCTTGTGCATCCCAGCCAACAACACCCTTTTTATTGTGTCCATTAGCAAAACGCTAGCAGCTAACGAACCCCACCTCACTCTGGAGTTCCTGGAAGAGTGCATCTCTGGCTTCAGCAAGTCAAGTCAGTGTCGCATACAAAAAAACACCCACCATTTTACATCACACACACACACACATATACTATCGTTAATTTATTTTTAAAGAATGCATTAAATTGTTCAAAAGTGACAGTAAAGACTCCTTATTTGAAAGATTCCCGTTTCAAATAAATGCTGTTCTTTTGAACTTTCTATTGGTCAAAGAATCTTGAAATAAATTATCATGTTTCCACTAAAATTAAGCAGCAAAGCTGTTAAAGGACCAAATCAGCATATTATAATGATTTCTGAAGGATCAACTGACATTGAAGACTGGAGTAATGATGCTGAAAAAGAAATTCATTACATTTTAAAATGGCGAAATGGAAAACAAATATTTTACAGTGCTCAATATTGCTGTATTTGCAAACACAATATTGCAAACATTTGAACGATAGTGTGATTTTGAGGAATTTACACTGTGTCATTTGTCACAAAAAAAAATGTATTTTCTGGGGCTTTAGGTATTGAGCTGAAGCATCTCTGTCTGGAGTATATGACTCCTTGGCTCCGTAATTTGGTGCGGTTTTGTAAGCACAATGACGATGCCAAACGACAACGTGTCACTGCTATCCTGGATAAGCTTATCACAATGACCATCAATGAGAAGCAGATGTACCCCTCCATACAGGCAAAGATATGGGGCAGCTTGGGTCAGGTAGTTCCTTCAAACCCTCATAAAATATTATTACATAAAACGTAATTGAGTTTGATTTTGCAAGCTTATTCCATCATCCATTTCATCTGATAACTGCTACAACAGGCATTACAATGATAAATGACTTCAAACCTTAACACCCCTGTATATTTCTTCAATAATTCCACGAAACTCTGTTAGTCAGCAGTTACAGATTGCACCATTTTCCCATGCATAGATCACAGACCTGCTGGATGTGGTGTTGGATAGCTTTATAAAGACCAGTGCTACTGGGGGTTTGGGATCCATCAAGGCTGAAGTGATGGCTGACACGGCTGTAGCCCTGGCTTCAGGAAATGTCAAATTGGTGTCCAGCAAGGTAAACGCTCACTGCTCAGCTAACATATTACTCTGTTGTTCCCTATGAATTTGTTTTTAATGTATTGTTTAATAGGATGTTGTTCCTGAGATAACCTAGTAACAGAACACTTAGATACTGAAATATTAAAAGCTGTACTGCTGAACTGCAATAAATGATTTAAAACATGGAAAATGCAATGGAACCAACACCAAAATGTAAGCCATTTTAGTTTTTTCTTTTACAGTAGTAACAGAATATGCAGTCATTTTGTCATTTTGCATTGAAATGTTTTGCAAGTTTCTTCAATTTTGCATTTATATGTATATATATATAAATGTACACATTTTTATTTCAGTCAAAATGTATACTACTATTTAATATCATATATTTAATTATCAATCAAACCAGTTTTATTTCTTGTTATGTCTGTAAAAATCAATTTTTCATTTAGAAAAGTTTTTCCTAGCCCATTTCGACTTACCGCTTAAAGTGTTTCTGGCTCTTGTGTTCCTGAATCATTCCTCTTGTGGTCTTATCCAGGCTGACTAGCTCTTCTACCCAACATCTATTATCCTAAGTGTTAGTGCACAAATGCCTAATTTGTACGTGTACGCACAGACAGACAATAGTAAGCCAGCGGGGCAGTCGCTCCTATTATATGGGCAACTGTTAGTCATCATTACGTTCAATGGACGTCATTGTCAGACACTTGGTCAAAAGTAGAGCCACATTTGTGACTTCAGTAACTAAAGTGGCTTGATCTTTATGGTTCTTGATTCACGCAGGAACCTTTACCAGATATCTTCTGCTATTTTCAACTAGTTGGACATGTTTAGTTGTTTTCCCAAATGCTCAGCTATGCTGAAAAGCCAAATATTGTTTGGTTAGCATGTGCCAGCCACTGCTGTCACAGCGGGCAGCACAAGGACATGCTTTGTCCAGTTGTTGCGTCTGCTTTTCTGAGACTCGCATAGCATCGGGAATCTGAGGTTAAGTAGGGACCAAGTATAATCTTATTGAGAGAGCAAATGATGTTTAGGTGCATGTCACAGAGTGAAAATAAAAGGCACATTGTATGGATTCCATTTGGTATTGGATATCTTTCTGATTTGAAGTTTGTTTGAAATTATAAATTATGCCTTTTGCTGATAATCATAATTTTGATTGTTTTGTACAGCTTCAGTGATGTTTGTTTGATTTAGTGTTTTAAGTAGACTCATTTTACCAGTGACTAATTCTTATATTGTTTTTTATTAAGATTGAATTATAAATGTATCTCTCAGGTGATTGGCCGAATGTGTAAGATCATCGATAAGACGTGCCTGTCTCCCACCCCCACCCTTGAGCAGCACCTGATGTGGGATGACATCGCCATACTGGCCCGTTACATGCTCATGCTCTCCTTCAACAACTCTCTGGATGTGGCCGCTCATCTGCCCTACCTGTTCCACGTCGTCACCCTGCTGGTGGCCACCGGCCCGCTGTCCCTCCGAGCGTCCACGCACGGCCTCGTTATTAACATCATCCACTCGCTCTGCACCTGCTCACAGCTTAACTTCAGTGGTGAGCGAGAAATCACAGACAAGGGATATTGAAATTAAAAATTGAAATTAAAGTGTGTTTAAACACATTAAATGGTATTAATATTCAATATTTAGATCAAATTATCATTTAATTAGTATTTCTTTATATCTAAAAAATTAGCCATCACAATAATTTGATTTTAAAATATATATAAAAATAAAAACATTTAATTTAAATTGTAATATTGACTGTCAATCGATTAAAAAACTACTTATAAATTGCACTTAACATTTAAAATACATTTTTAAATAGTAATATATTATATTTTAAATATTTTTTTAATGATGCTATAAATGAAGGTCTGTACTAATATCTAATATCTTTTTTTCTCAGGGCATGAAATGAGTAATTAGACCTGAATGAATGAACTTCATTGTACATATTATCTATACATAAAAGTGTTTTGTTTTGTTTAGTTTTAAAAAAATGTGCCAACTCTGAAAACTTAAAGATATAGTTCTTAAAACTTAAAAATATATTTTGAAGAATGTTGATAACCAGACAGATATATATATATAAACCTGAGTCTGATTTGTTGCTGATCTGGTTTTTGCTTCTGCAGAGGAGACTAAACAGGTGCTGCGTCTGAGTCTGACTGAATTCTCCCTGCCCAAGTTCTACCTGCTGTTCGGCATCAGTAAGGTCAAATCTGCCGCGGTCATAGCCTTCCGCTCCAGCTACAGAGACCGTTCTTTCTCCCCCGGCTCCTACGAGAGAGAGACCTTCGCTCTGTCGTCCCTGGAAACGGTTACAGAGGCTCTGCTGGAGATCATGGAGGTCAGTTACCAACATTCTGTATTATAGAAGTGAGCTGTCTATCCACTTTTTGTTTTGTTTAACTGCCGATGTCCAGCACTGTGTTGATCCCATGTAAAGGAGATATTTTGTGCTTTGTGTGAATGGATCAACAAATACTCACTTCATCCACCGAAATTGAGAAATAAATCCACTTTATAGAGTCATCAGTAACAGTATTGGTATTTGTCGTACTGGCCTTCATTCATAGTACTTCATAAAAAATGCCATTAACCAAATATTTACAATGTGTAAAAAATGTGATTGTTTTTTTTGTTTTTTTTGATTGGCAGCACAAATTATTATAATTTAAATATATTTTTAAATGTAATGTTGTGGCAAACCTAATTTATTATACATGAAGGAATATCAAAATAGTTGTATATACATATTGAAACATTAATAACATTTAATGTATGTATGTTAATACATATTTTGACAATTGAATCTCCAAATAAATGTAGACACAACATAAATATGGTACACTAAGTACTATGAATGAAGGCCAGTATCAGTAGTATTGCTAATACTACTGTCTATTAAATGGATTTTCTTTCTCAATTTCTGGGGATCAAAAAAGAAGAAAATTACTGTCAAGAATAATCCATTCAAAGGGGAAAGTTGTGATTTTTATAGATACTTATGTCTTCAAGTCTTTTATTTAACCAATAGTTATTTTTCCCCAGGCCTGTATGAGGGACATTCCCGGATGCAAATGGCTTGATCAGTGGACTGAGTTGGCACAAAAGTATGTTGAAAACATCGCATTTCCCAAGAGTGTTGACTAAGAATCATAGTGCAATCACTTTAAAATAACAAAATCTGGGATGTCGAGTTAAAATTGACTTTTTTTTTTCTTGGATAGGTTTGCATTCCAGTATAACCCATCTCTTCAGCCGCGGGCGCTGGTGGTGTTCGGCTGCATCAGTAAACGTGTGACTCACGGGCAGCTCAAACAGATAATTCGTATTCTCAGCAAAGCCAGTCCTCTGCTCAGCATTGATCGGGTAAGATCTTTCTCTCATCCAGGCCCCTAGCGGTGATCTGATGATTATGTGACTGAGCGTTCGTCCAGGGTTTTTCTAAACGCATTTGAATAAGATAACAATAAACGAGAACCGTCTGAACTGTTCTCGATTTTACCCTTTTGTACTCTGCACACGTCGACAGCGCATTACGGCTCCGACAAGATTTTATTCCATCCTTCACGCGGTGCCAACTCAAGCGACTGGATGCACGAGACCATGTGATTTGCTTGTCTGATGTGGTTTTTCTTGATTTTGGGGTTTCTACCTTACAGTCTATGGTTTCTACCAAGGATATATTGGTGTGCAGTACTATTGGGAGTCCTTACAGTGTGCTTATTTAAAATTTCTGAGTGTTTTTTAACTTTTATTTTGTATTTACGGTGCGGCTTGTATGCGACGTCCGTCGAAAGAAAGACTTGGCACCTATCTTTAGTAAAGCGGTGCGGAGAGCCTCTTCTGGGATGCTTCTGAAACGTCGCTTCGCGGTTGGTGTATACACAAGCATTGACTAGAGTGGGCTCCAGTAGCTGTGTCGCAGCCTTAGCGCTAACTAGTTTAGCACTAAATAATTGTATCTTTTTTTTCAATATGGGGCACAAGAGAAGCCCCCTAAGAATTGTTAAAGCCCCCCCAAGTCGATGTCACCCCCCCCTCCCCCCTCTCATCTGCTTCTCTCTCTCAAACTCCCTAATTTTAGATATGATTTTAATTCGCTTGCATTCCCTTGTTTTTGTAAAATAACAATGTTAATATATGTTAATTTTATAAAGTTGTTTCTCTAACAGTCCCATTTTTTGATGAGGCTTATAGAAGGCCACAGATGTTCATTAAAAGCTGAGTAGGTGTATTTATATAAGGCTGAATTATTTTTATTTTAAGGTTGTCAACAGGATGCAGATAGAGGTAGAATTAATATTGGCTGAAATTCAAATATTTTTTTCATGAATTGCCCATAACCATGTTATCATACAGTATGAATGCAGCCTTGAGAGACATACAAGTTTTCTTCCAAAAACATTGTAGTGTATTTATGAAGTCAGTAAATTAAAATGTCTATTTACTTTTATAAAGTCAGTAAACAATGCGTTTTATATTTTGTTTGGACGACTATTTTGTGGGAATTTATACAGTTTTAAACATAGTTTCAAGAAATGTCAAGTCACCTTTTTATATAGCGCTTCTTACAATACAGATTGATTCAAAGCAGTTTTACAGTGATAAGAAATGAATGCAACATTTTTTTTGTTTTGGCTGTACATGAAGAAAGTCATTGTCATGTTTTAAGTAAGTTGACCATTGATTACTTTCCATTATTAATTTCCTTAAAAGTATAATCAGTTAAAGAAAAATGACATAACACAAAATAAATATAATTTATGAATTAACTGGATTTTATTGATTGTTCATGCTGCCACAACACATCAAACTGGTTGGACTAATTATATTTCTTTGTTGTCACTGACTATTATTGAATTTCCTCTTCCTTTAAAGGGACAGGTTATACAAAAATGAAAATTCTGTCATTATTTACCATCATGTTGTTCCAAACCCATTAGACTTTCGGTTACACTTTATTCGATAGTCACTTTAGACGTTCTACTAATTATAAGTAACTTTTCAACTATATGTCAAGTAACTCTCATTAGAGTATCAGTATATTATAGTAGACTGTTAGGTTATGGTTGGGTGATTTGGGTTCTACTAATAGTCTAATGACAGTTAGTTAACATGTAGTTGAAAGTTACTTATAGTTAGTAGAATGTCTAAAGTGAACTATCGAAATAAAGTGTTACCGACTTTCGTTCATCTTCGGAACACCAATGAAGATATTTTTTATGACAAACTTTTTATGCAACTATAACTTTGGTGCTACAAAAGTTATAAACTTATAAATTGAAAGGCAATTCTTGACCTTTTCCCCAATCCTGTTAAATACATCCAAATGGTGGGCATCTTTTGTTGTTTTTTTTGTAGTATTGTGAATATATTTTGCCTGGAAATGATGTATATTTGTGTTGTGTATGCAGTATGATTTAGGTCTGTGCAGAAATGCAGTGCGCTAGTCTAACTGCTGTAGTGTCATTCGCTCTGACGATTTGTTGGCCTCACGCTCCAGCGCTCTGTCTGATTAATGCTGTTCCTGCACAGGGGCTGGAGAGCTGCTTAAAGGGGCCGGATAATTACAACAGCCAGGTTCTCATTGAGGCCACCGTCATCGCTCTCACCAAGCTACAGCCTCTCCTCGATCAGGTGCGGTCACTTTGTGTGCTGGATTCAATTATTAAAACATCACCATCTGAAGTAGCGTCTCAATGTGTGCATGTGTGAAACCTATTTTTGTGATTCTGTTTGCTGATGCAGAAATGACATACTTCACTCATTAATAGTTTTGTGTGTGCTTGTCTAATGATCTACAGGATTCTCCCATGCATAAAGCTCTGTTCTGGGTGGCTGTGGCTGTACTTCAGTTGGATGAAGTGAATCTGTACTCCGCCGGTACCGCCCTACTAGAGCAGAACCTGCACACACTGGACAGCCTCCGGGTGTTTAATGATAAGGTGCTCACATTTAGACAACCACAGACTTAAAACATGTTGATATTCTTAGTATTATTATTGTTTTTCATGTAAATGTGATGTGTGGCATTCACAGAGCCAAATAACATTCTGCTTTCCATCTCTAAATAATAAAATGGGTGGAGCTTGAAGTAGGTTTAGGGTGTGTCTAGACCGTCAAGCTCCACCCATTGGCTCTTTAGCAGCCTCTCAGAAAATCAATGTAAAATGTATTGCAGTGTAAGAACTCTGAGCAGTTATCTTCATAAAAGAATGTTTTCACCTCTTTATAGAGTCCTGAGGAGGTCTTCATGGAGATCCGGAAGCCACTGGAATGGCACTGTAAACAAATGGACCATTTTGTGGGACTCAACTTTGCCTCCAACTTTAACTTTGCATTAGTGGGGCATTTACTCAAAGGTATTGATTAAAAGATCACCTATCCACCTTATTTTGCAATGCGGAAGCTATTTTCTTTGAATGTATGAGACTTCAGATTCATCAGCCATTAATAATAATAATACTAATGAATAATAATTACATTATTATTATTATATATGTAAATAACTAGAAGAATAGCTATGTGCAGTAAGTAAAATTATATGCTCTACAAGCTTGTGTGTTTACGATTACGATTATAAATAAAAATTGAATTGAATTGAATATTGTTTCTAATATCAAGCAAGGCTGGAATGGGTGGCACCGGAAACCACGCAGTTTAAAGTAAAAAATACGGTGGCTATGTAAGCTGAACACGCAAGCCTCTGTTGCAAGGGTTTTTCAGGATTATAATAATACAAATATTTTATTTTACGGTAATTTATTATTATTAATATTATTTATGTCATAATCTGACTTAAATATCTAACTCTAAACTAATCTGGCCCAGTGTTTTCAGTAGGTTAATAATGATAATAAAACAGCTGATTCAAGATCCATATTTTATTTATACATTTTTATTTTATTAACTATTCTATGTAGATGAACTAATGCATCGTTGACATCAATAAATATGCATCAACGGACCAATTAATGTATTCAGTGGTTCAAAGCATTAGATGTTAATGAGTCTTCTGTCTCTCTGGTTCGTCATCTTTGTCTTTTCTTCCTGTAGGATACAGACATCCTTCTTCCACCACGGTGGCGAGGACAGTCCGCATCCTTCATACGCTCCTGGGCCTGGTGGGAAAACACCGCAGCTGTGACAAGTTTGAAGTGAACACGCAGAGTGTGGCCTATCTGGCTGGTAAGTTGAAGCCAACACAGCTTTAACCATTAACACCCTGTATTGTGTATTTCTGATAAAAACATCTAAAGTGCACGTTTTGTTTCAGCTTTGCTCACGGTATCCGAGGAGGTGAGGAGCCGCTGCAGTCTAAAGCACAGGAAGTCACTGCTGCTTTCAGAAGTTACCATGGAGAACTTTCCAATGGACACATACATAGTGTTCGAAACGGAACCTGACTGCAGGTGAGAACTTTTCATCAAATGTTCCCGGTTTCTTTCTGCTATACACCTGCCCTTCTCGACCATACTGTATTGAATTTTTGGTTTGATGATTCTCCCACTCTCTTTAGTGTCAGGCTACTGCGTGAAAACCAGCCCTGGGCTTCTCCGAAAGTGTCAGAGCACAGCCTTGCACCTCCGTACTCTGCCATGGGGCAAACCAGCCTTCGCCCGCGCAAATCCATGAGCGTGGACATGGGCCAGCCGTCGCAGGCCAACTCGAAGAAACTACTGGGTATGAGCGGTCTGTGGCTTCATTCTTTCTAACTGGCTTTTGAACAGGCTGCAGCTTTACTTTTGCTTCATACTTGCATGTTTTTATGGTTGTTCTAGGCACTAGAAAGAGCTTCGATCACCTAATATCGGACTCGAAGGCCCCGAAGAGACCAGATATTGAGTCGGGCATCACCACGCCTCCAAAAATGAGACGGGTGTCTGAAAACGACTATGAGATCGGTGAGTTTTTCTGCATTTGCCAATCAAGATCAGTGCTGATCTAAGTGTACTGAATGATGATTAAGCATGAGAAATGAGAGCAATGGAATCGCTAACGGCTCTTCTTCGTTCCAGAAACCCAGCGGATAGCCAACTCCCATTTACGCAAAGTGTCCGTGTCCGAGTCCAACGTCCTTCTGGATGAGAACGTTCTCACAGACCCGAAGATCCAGACCCTGCTCCTCACTGTACTGGTGAGTGCTCCGTACCACTTTCCTTTGTACTTGTGCGGGTGGAATTAAGTATGAAATTGTAGGTCCCACTTTATATTAAGTGGCTTTAAGTACTATGTACTTTCATTGAAACAAATAATTTGATACAATGGACTTATTGTGTACATACATGTTTTTACATTGTACTTATATTTTTAAAATACCAGCATGTAATTACAGCTGTAACTAATTTATGTAATTACACAGCTGACTACACTTTACACCCTTACACTTCAACCTACCCTTAAACCTACCCATACCACCACACCTGTCCCTAACCTTACCCAGATCACACCTCAATAGCAGCAAAAAGTGTTTTACAATACAACATGAGCAGAAGTACATTGTACTTATTTTTCAATGTAAGTACATAGTACTTAAAGCCACTTAACATAAAGTGGGACCAAATTGTATAGACCATTTCACAAGATGTAAACAACACTGGTCCAGAAGCACTTCCTGTTTCAGTTTGTAACTGTTTTCTTTATTTCCACATGTAAAGATGTTTTTTTAACTTTTTGATTCAGTTTTAAATGTTCTGTTGGTTTTATTTTTTCCCAGCTTTTATGTAGCGTTAAAAAACTGAAACAGGAAGTGCTTCTTGTGAAATGGTCTATATAGAATGTTTTTTTGCATATTCTTTGTGTACCACAAGACAGTTAAATAATGATGAATTATTTTCTTTTTCCATCTGTATGATGTTTATTACACTTTATTTAATGTTGTATAGCAAAATATATATATTTTCCTTTATTGCAGGCCACACTGGTGAAATACACTACGGATGAGTTTCATCAGCGGATCTTGTACGAGTATTTGGCTGAGGCCAGTGTGGTCTTCCCCAAGGTCTTTCCCGTAGTGTGAGTGTCTGAGATTCAGGGTGAAATGTTGACCTTGATGTTCTTCAGAGAATGGAATTTATAGAGAAAGAAATGTATAGAGAATAGAAATAAGCGTGGGTTATTTTTGATGCATTTCGAGATCTGAAATTCTTCCAAAACTAATTTTCCACCAAATAGATGCATGTTTTTATTATTTATTATTATTTATCAGGATGGAATGTTTTAAAAGTAGTATAATTTTCATGTTTAAAAAATGGGTAACACTTTACAATAGGATGTCTTTGTAGTTAATGTCTTAAGTAACATGAACTAACAATGAGCAATATATTTGTTATGGTATTTATTAAGCTTTGTTAACATAAGTTAATAAAATACAACAGTTCATGTTTGTTAATTGTTAGTTCACAGTCCATTAACTCATGTTAACAAATACAACTTGATAAATGTATAATGTATTTGTAAATGTTGAAAATAACAGTAACCAGATTAAAAAATGCTGTTGAAATATTGCTCAATCTTAGTCCATATTAACTAATGAAACCTTAATGTAAAGTGTCACCAAATAATGTTTAAATGCATATGTAATATATAATATTATATAAATATTATATATGTAATATATAATATTAAATCATTTAATATAATTAAATATAAAATGCTGTAAATTAAAACAAAACTATTTATTGAAAACCTACTATTGTAAAATAAATATTTGTTTAGATATTCTCTCAATTCATTTGTTCATAAATTACTTTGCCGTGACGATACTTTGAAGTTTGACTTGTGTTTTTTTTTTTTTTTTTTATCATAGCCACAACCTGCTGGACTCCAAGTTAAGCACCGTCCTGTCCATGTGCCAGGACCCCAACCTCCTGAACCCCGTCCACGGCATCATTCAGAATGTGGTTTATCATGAGGAGTCTCCCCCTCAGTACCAGCCGTCCTGCTTGCAGAGTAAAGCCTCCAGTCATTTATTAATATTCAGATTTCTTAATTACCTAAAAAGAAAGTGTCTAAGGTTTAAAGACTTTCAACTTAATGCTGTTAGTTATTATTGAATTATGCATATAATTACTAAAAAAACATGATTGACAACCCTAGTTTCGAGGTTTTTTTTTCATATGAAACAACATCCTGCTTAGTGTTAACTTCTCTTCAGATGTCTGACCAATTCCCTCTCCACCCCCCCCCCCCCCCCCCCCTGACACTCCATCACTCTTTTGCTCTGTCATCTATCTCTGCTGTCACCTCTCTCTTGTCTCACAGGTTTCGGTTTCAACGGCCTTTGGAGGTTTGCCGGGCCCTTCTCTAAGGTATGATTAACTGCTCCCATAAACGCTTTTTATTTTCCAACGGATTGCAGTGAAGAAATTGTGTGCTGCGGTCTCTCTGCAGCTTCCTAGATTTATTGACCACGGATTTTCCCAAACATTTCCCTCGCCCATCCGGTGCCTCCGGCTTAAATGACAGGGATGTATTGCTTATGTATCCCTCGCTGAAGGAAGAGTTTTCCCACTTTCATGGCTCAGCAATAAGGATTTATTTCCTAAAAGCCTTGACGTAATGAAGGTTTTTATTTGCCCTGCCAATATTTTCACTGTAATGTTACAATATTTGAATTATTAATTAATTATTATATAATAATTATTATATAGTAATTTTCTGAGATTTTAACAGAGGTATGCGTGTTGAACATCATTGAAGAAAATGTTAAATGCTGATTTAAATGTAGTTCTTTTTGGTGATATTTTCATCTTTTGGGTTTACAATCTACATCTTGTCCACATTACAGGCTGTGACGTGGGGGCAGTGCACTTTTAGTACTTTGATGATGTGTCGGTGTGGTATAATAGTAATTATTCATGAGACTTAGTTTTCTTATCCTATAAGAAGACACGGTTTCTTAATTATTCATGACACCATGTGTTGCTTTCCAATGAAAGTAATAGATGAGAGAGGCATTCAGTGTCACATCTAGCCAAGTCCAGTTCAAATCCCTGGATGTGTTCTTGATCCGCCCCGTTTACCGAAGATAGGTGACTTGTGGGGACTTGAGACAGCCAGGTATCCCAGAATGCATTTCGCACCAAGCAGCAAGCGTCAATAGCAGAGGAGAAAACCCGCATACTATCAAAATACTACTGTTATGAGTGTTTCATGCAAGAATGTATAGTTTTTTAAATATCAAATCTGTGGTTTATTTATAAAGATAGCGCCTATTTGATAAATGCATCTGACGTTATTGGAGTTGTGACATCCAAGCATTCACCGGGCACTCAGCGCTCATTAACCCCGACTGGAACAGCTTTTCCTCGGCCAGTGCTTCTGACGTTTGCCACTTGTCTAGTGGATAAACATGACGTGTAATTCGTCTTGTGTATACGTCAATCTTTGGTCTCATTAAACTAGAGTTTGTTCCATGGCAAAAAATCGTTTTGGCTGAGGGCAAAGTGAAGTTTCATAACTTTATATATTTAGGCTACTTGGTAGCACTTATGTTTGAATGGTTTGCTTTATTTCTCATTGTAGTTTCTATACCTTTTAGGCTAGATCTTATTGATCATTAAAACTAACATTTAACAAAAAGAGATTGGGTTGTGTAATTTTATTTTTTATAGATATGTTTTTTATATATTTTTTTATATATATGTAATGTTTCATATTTTTAAAATGAAAACAAAAAGATCCTGTTTTTCCCGATTTTTTTTATGAATATATGCAGTGAAGATAATCAATGTACGTGTTGCCTGAACCACATGGCCATTAGGCTAATATGTTTAAGAGTGTTGCTTTTTAACATATTTCGTTTTTATTGTTTATGATAAGAGGCAGAGTTGTCGCATATGTTGCATATGTCGTTCTATTGTTGCCTTAAATATACATAGGGAACCGGAGTAGCCAAAGCGCTGTTCCATTTGCACAATAACCAGACTTGCGTCCTCGGGAGTTCAGTCTCCTGAGTTGAACTTGGCAAGTCCAAACTTTCAAGGACGCAAGTCCGAAGTTCCAAGGACGCAAGTCCGAAGTTTGTGTACTTGATGTTGAGAAACGGCCTCAATTTCGTACTGAGGACCGGCTTTATGTGTGTGGACTTAGGGAATAAGAATGGAAGTAAAATTATGCGTAATATACACAAGCCCTGTTACAGCAACAATATTCACCCGGAGCAAATGAAATGAGTGAGGGGAGGCGGCTTTGTGTCGGAGAGATGAGAGAGCGAGAAAGCTCAGCTGGTATCGTGCATCTATTCTGTGGAAAATGAGTATTGAAAGCGTTTCAGATATTTCAATATCGAAATGTATCAAAATATTGATATTTTCGACAACACTACATTGCACTTAGTTAATTATTTCAGGTGCCTTTTTAAAAAAACTACAATTGAAAAAATGTATAGCCTATATTATTTATACAATTCAACCAGCCAAAGGGGCATAGTAGGGAGTGAGCGTGAGCGTGTTACACGCCACTGCTGAAATCCACCCGCGTTTGGCGGGTTGGCGAGTGTTTATGTCAAGCCCTGTTTAGGACCTAATATGATAATGCTAAATGATTATTAATCGCACACCTGCTTTTACTCTCCAACAGCAAACCCAAATTCCAGACTATGCCGAGCTCGTGGTTAAATTCCTCGATGCTTTGATTGACACCTATCTTCCTGGCATTGAGGAAGAAGGAGGGGAGGAGTCACTGCGCACGCCCACCTCTCCGTACCCGCCCACCGTCCAAAGTCAGCTCAGCATCACGGCCAACCTCAACCTGTCCAACTCCATGACGTCCCTCGCCACCTCACAGCACTCACCAGGTCAGTGCTCCCTTTCGGCATTGCACACTTGCACACTCATCCGGTGCAAATTAGCCAGTAGTTGCTCACTTATCTTCACACATGAGCCGCGAGTAACGCTAACACATTTAATGTCACTGCAACATTCCCTAGCATTAAAACATAACACCGTAACAGCTGTAGCCACGCTGCTGTTTGCAATCGCTGTCGTCAGTGCTTTTCTGTCTGCTTTCATATCTAAAAGCATCGCCAGTTGACAGTTTCTCTGGTTTTGCTAGATAAACGTGCAGGGCTTTGACAGTGGTTGTGTGTGCATTTGACACCTTTGCTTTGCGTTTGTATCTTCATTAACCTCACTGCATTCTGTCTCCTTTTCATTGGGAATGTGCTGTCGGTTCAGAGGGCCCTATAGTTTATAGACGGTCCCCAACTCTCTCCCATCCAAGAACCACAGAGGAGGTGCCACCGAAAACAGCTGGTACAAACCTAAACTATAGAGCTGTGTTGGGCAATTAATGTCCAGTTCTATAGTTTGCCAACTGTGGTAACTTATTTAAGTGCCTATTTCTTGTCTTTACTTTTTTTCAGTGCTGGCAGTGTGATACTATTCAGGTTAAATTGTCCGTTTTCAAAGAGTATATATTTATACTGGAGAGGTATTTCTATATGCACATAACAGTAGTCATTAGAAGATCCAGCAAGCACTTAAGTGAATGTCTAAATCACATTCCTTCTCACTAATTTCTCCTTTTGAAATCAATTTAATCTGCATTTTGAGCTAATATCAACTGCTTCTTAGCTTCACTTTTCAGCCGAACATTAAGAGTAAAATGCAGTCAAGATATATCTAAGCTGCCATTTTGTTTTTATTTTTGATTTCCTGTTTCTTCCATTCATCTGTCCTTCCTGTCCTCTTTTGAGTTGTGAATGTGTCACTCATGTCTTTTTTTTTTCTTTTCTACTCTCTCTGTGTGAAGCCTGTCTGCCTTGCTCTAAGTCGGCTGTATTCCCACCTCACCTCGTCCTCCCAGGTACTCATCGACCTCCGCTGTGTGAAAAAAGCCATTGGTTGAGTGTTTGCATTGTAAATCTTCTGCTGGAGTCAGTAGTAGATGCTACTGTCAGATCAAAGGAAGAGGGGCTATATTAGCAGGAACTGTGAAGAGAGATCACAAGGGCCTGGTATTAAACAAACACTCACAAACACAGCTGAGGACAGAACATTTGCAGTTTCAAAAGCATCGTTAAAGGCTTTTCACACTTGAAATTGTTAGGCCAGTGTGCCATTTTTAACCCTTAGTTAATGATTCTTGACTTTTTTTTTACATTTAAAATTAATATATGTTTTTAAAACGTATCATTCTTTATATTCTATTTATAAATACATTGCTTGGCCAAAAAACGTTGTTGTTTGGATTTAAATAGGCAAATGCTTAAGAGTCTAGGATTGGATCATTATTGCAGTGATTACGTTTCTAGCTTGTTATATGTTTGGCAACAGTTCTTCTAACCCTAATTGATTGAGTCATTTTTTCAATACAACATCTTGACCAAAAATTGATGGACAAATAACATAACAATATTTATTTCCATCAAGAGGTGTATCATTTTTTTGGTCAAGATCTTATATTGACAGTGCAAGAGTCCAGCTCTCTTTAAAGTCATATACCCATTCTTTTTATGCTTATTAGAGGTTGAACTTAAATCAAATACTGCCAAACTGCGCATGCTACGTCTGAATAGGATGGAAATTTTATGGAAATTATGGAAATATATCGTTCTGGTCACTCAGACCATATATGGAAATGGAGGTGCCCTTATATGGTCAGTAATGCAGCTTGGTTGTCATCTAGTGGACAAGTTTGGTACTGCGTCCAAACAAAATCTTACTGTAAGCTCATTTTCAAGACAACCTAAGTTTTAAGATTATCTTGGTTTTAGTGTAAAACATGCGAGGGCTTGGAGCCAGAGGGGCGTAAATGGCTTTTAACAAACTTTACAGGAGAGACAAAACAAAATTTTGACCACACTTCTCAATCACCTGTATTATACGCCTTATTCACGGCAGCGCCATCTTTGATTTTTAATGAGAATGAAAGCGAGGCTGTGAGGGATAGACTTGCATCTCTTCAATGGGCTGTACTGTTATTTAATGTGTTTTTCGGATTGTTCAGCTCATGAAACACTGGAAAAATATCTTTACAAGAAATGTCAGTTGACAAAAAACTCCCGACAATGTAAGCTGTGGAAAATTGTAAGTAATCTAGCCGCTTTATTAATCTTTTTACAGCGGATGCCATTGGAAACACAGTAAGTCTATCCCTCACAGCCTCATACCTGACATGGTGCTGCTCTGAATAAGGCCTATTAACCTTAAACCACAAACATTTCAACAACAGGCATACTTACATGAATGAGTATTTAAGTAAAAAATGTATTTCATATTAACACAATGAACATGTTTTAAAACATTTTAAAATAAAAAAAAGCCTTTTTGTTGCTTTATTAAATACAGTTGGATCTCAGATAGGTATTTTGGCACCATTGGATAGAGCTCATCGAGACCTTTATTTTGATATAATGAACTCATATTCGCCCAAAATGCCATGTACGCCCCTCTGGCTCCAAGCCCTTTATTTTTCTTTTTTATAAGATATTTTTCTCTCAATTTAGGACTTTATTCTGAATCATTCTTGAATTACAACCATTTAAGTTTGGATGACAATTAAGGGGTTAAGAAATGAAAAGCTACACACTCCCATCAATTAGGGTTCGAAGAACTGTTCCCAAACATATAACATGCTAGAAACATAATCACTGCAGTAATGATCCAATCATAGACTCTTAAGCATTTAAATCCAAACAGCGACTCCAAATTGTCTATGAAATTTGATATTTAAGGCAGTTCATGGTTTGCTGTCAATTACAGAACCGCTTGGTTTCTTTGTTAATTATATACTTTTCAGATTTAGCATCGAGCAAGGCACCATGACCCAAGCTCTGTTAACAGCCTCAAAAGTGTAAAAAGTTAAAGACATGCATTTACCCAGTTTTAAACAGTGTGAAAAGCTTTTTATAGGTTATTTAATTGTATTATAGTTGGGGAATTTGAACCTATGAGAATAGTACTGCTGATATTGACCTTCTAATAATTTACACAAGAACAACAGGCACATTTTAAAAGCACACTTGTGTCATAAACGCTCCCTACATGAGACTTTCTCCTCTGTGTGTATATTTACAGCCTCTGAAATCTGACGCATACATTTATATTCAAATAAAATAACTTATTGTGAAGGTAATTGATTCGATCCGAGGTTTTAGATAGGAAATAGGCTACCGCCGGTGTGCGATTCAGCGATGTTACGTAAACATCTCTCTCCTGCAGGCATCGACAAGGAGAACGTGGAGATTTCTCCCACCTCGAGTCTCTCCACCAGTGGGCGAATGCGACACGGGTCAGCCAGCCAGGTACAGAAGCAGCGGAGTGCAGGCAGCTTCAAACGGCCAAGCATCAAAAAGATCGTCTGAGGAGCGTTTCTACCTACTCCGCGGCCATCGTTCTTCTCCACGGATCCTTTTCGCTTTCCCTCGTCCAGTTTAACAAGGTTCTTGCGTTAAAAGAACCGCTCGAGTATTTGTTTTTTTTTTACACCAGTTGAAGCTTGCCACATACTTGCCTAAATGAACTAGTTCGGAGGATGCACTGAACTCTCCGTGTTGCACTCAACATCAAAATTGTCTTGGGACTGACCACATTGAAATGCTAAATTGAGGCGTCCACTCTTCGTTTTGCACAAACTCGAGATCATGTCCTCATCGACGTCTGAGAGAAACACATACATGAGAAACTGATCCGATTAACCACTACAGCAAACAGTTGACCAACCGTGTGGAGACCATTATCTCGGCTTGACAGTTGACATCCGGACCCGCCTTGGGATGGACGTGCGGCCTGATTTGTCCCGATATCCACAGGCTTGAATACACAGAAAGATTCTAATATGTGTACTATACTATTGACGATAATAACGATCACATGTTTTGGGTTCTTATTTTATCCATTGTGTGCCTTTGTCAGGGTTTTCAGCTGTGTATAGTTTGTAAAATAGGCAAGACCTTGCTAAGGAAGGGAAAACAGGTACTAATTATGAAAACATGTCGCGGCTTTAACATTTACCATATTGTTCACACGTCGCTACGGTGTAAACTGTACCGTGTGACCATGAAATATGAGAATATCATCATAAATATTTATTCTGTAAATGTAGATAATCCTTTCGGAGATCACATGAAGGTTTACGCTGCGATCGTTATATCATCAGTCGTCGAAAACGATTCTAGCAGAGCAACGGATGAGTATGTATCCGTATTTTCCCAAAATGCACAAATGAAACACGACAAATTGGCATTAATATTCATCGTCTCACTGTGGTGCAATATGTTGTTTTCTTTTTATTTGATTCGTTGAACACTATGTGTGTACAAATTGCACATGATTTAGGTGTGTGATCAGGAAATATCCGTGCACACTTTTACCTTCCCCTGTTCCCCGTCTCACTAACGGCTCACACACAGTACGGCACAGAAATCCCGATCCCACCACATGCTGACATAGTAACATTGCACCAAAGACTAGTTTGCAATATTGTGAGGGGAAACTGTTGTTGACTCCATTTTGTACATTTTTACATGTGTTTTGTCTATGTTGTATGCCTTAAAATAATGATTTCTTCCATACAGTTCTCACTAGCTTTGTAACTGTTTTTTGGCATTTAATTCGAGAATCGTTTTCTCACTTGGCACCTAACCAGTGAATCGCAAAGTTAAACAATTGTGCCATCTGAGTTTGAATTAATTTATCACAATTTATGTAACATGGCCGTTAAAATTGAAGTGGCCGATTTTTGTGCAATATTTGTTTTTTTTGCATTTTTCAGCCATTATTATGTCGATCTGTAAATCTACAAGGAGGAAACGGTAGTGTACCTAGTGACAAACTCAAAGTATTTGCTCTTTGAAATGCTTATTAAAGGGAAACTTAAAGAAGGGTACCTGCCAAACGTTTGAGGACAGAATATTTATGCATAATTTTAATTTGATGTTTTTGAAAAGATTGTTTTGGAATACATGAGTACCAGATGATTCACACTTAAAACTGGGACCAAATCAATGTCATTTTTTTTTTCTTTCATTTTATTTGTAGATTTATTTTTACATTACAGCCGTACTCTTGCAGATCCCAAAATTTGCATTCATCCTGACTTTTGGTTATTTTAGGGCACTAAATAGATTTCAGATCAGTGTTTTGTTATGATCACAAATGAAACTTGAAATGTGTATTCCTGTCGTAATGGTGAATTTCGCATCCATGTCAAATTTACACTTTAATGCAAATTGAAAATATGAAGGAACATAAATTACCCAATTGAGTGTTCAAAGTGCACGATTTGCCTTTTTTTTGCGTCCATTACTCCGAATAACAAGAATATAACTCCTTTCTCTTGAATCTTAGATGTTGCATTGCTACTACCAATCTAAAACTGACCTAATCAATACTTTAAGACAATAATGAAGGCACAGTCTTGACTGCCATGGCAGCGGTTAGACACTTGGCATGCCCCTAAGCCTTTTAATTTGCATATGTAATTAAACTCATCATAAACAGACTTAAAAAGTGGTTTATTTTATATAATTCATGATGTGTGTTTGATGCATTTGCCAGATTTTTAATTGCATTGGTCATCTGTAAACAATGTATCTGTCACCTGTAAATATGTTTGTGTAAAATTGGAAGGTATATAAATACAAGTGTAAATATATGTGATATTGTATTACTTGCTTTTTTGTAAAGCGGTTAGTTGCTGTACATGTATAACATGGCAATTTAATTATACCAGTGTTCGTAATAAAAGTTTCCCTCAACCCTGTTACTGTGCTGTTCAATGTGAAATCTTTGTTAGTTCCCTCTGGGTTTTATTAAAAGCCGAGCAAAAAAATGAAATGCCAAAAATATATACCTGTATTGGATTTTTTTTTCATATTGGAAACCTGAAATCTGTGTGATCGCCAAAGGTTTTGGTAATTTGATGTTTTGGTGGTTTTGTATTGAAAAATGTATCAAAAATCTTAACTATAACCTCACTTTTAGGGCAATGAAATGAATCTAAATTGGAAATGAAATCTAAATTCAAAATCTGAAATGATAACAGTTCTACAGTCTCTTATTTCTAATGGGAAAGGAGCTAAAAGTTTGGTTTTGTAGTATTTATATTCATTCTAAATATGGAAAAACAACCAAAAACATCTGTGTTGCATTTGATTCGAAATAACTCTTAAACCCCAATTTTGTTAATCCAAATAAATGTAAATATCTATGAGACAATTTGGTGGCTCAAAAACTTCTGACTTTGAAATCTTAATTATCAGTTATGAAATACTCTGTATAGTTCATTTACAGACGCATTTGGGGAACTGAAAAATAACACGGCTTATTTTTTTTCACATGATTTTTATATATTTTAAAATATGTTTATTTTGGGTTCTGTGCAAGTTTAGCATTTCATTTAAGTTTGTCAGTTTTAATCACCTTTTTTTCAGGGTTTCTTAAATAGGCTATTCAGAAATGTGTGTAATTATACAATGTTGTTTAAAGTTATTATTATTATTTTTTTCTTTACGTTTTAGATTAAATATAGCACACAGTCTGACGGGTCACAAACAGATATCTTATCTTTCAAAATGTGCCAAACTTCCAATATACTGAAGTGTCTATGGTGTAGGCAAGGCTACCAGACACTCAGGGGCAAAGTTCAAAGTTTGCAGCTAACTGCAGTAAAACATATGTGCTGCTCTTTTTTTCTTCAAGTTTGACTTTAACTGAAAACATATTTTGAGTTATATTACTTGAATTTATTTTGAGTCTGTCTGTCTCGTTCACGTCTTATTTCCTAAAAATTATAAAAACGAATGTCCCCAGTAGCCTCGTGAAGTCCGAAACCACGGTAATCTCGCGACATTTCATTGTATTTAGAGTGCGAGCGGACTTATCGCGAGATTTGATCAGCTGATGCGTCTCTGTTTTTAGAGTGTGCGTTCGGACGGTCAACACGTGGGGAGGAGAGACAAGAGACACACATACACACACGAAGAGGGGGGACACGTTGGGATTGTGCTGGGCCTTGAATACGTAACATTAATAATATACGGTGGCGGTGCGAGGGACGCATAAACAGAGTGAGTATAAATCGCGTGTTCAGATTTTACTTCATTATGTTGATAGGTGAAGCTTATGCCGCACAGAGGGAGCCCATTTTAGCCGCCTCTCTTGATTAGTTCTGCTGTCTGGTGTGCTATGCTAATCACACAAACTGATTGTAACCATCTTACATTCAATCACCTCATCTTGATAAATGATTTCCAGCTTCAATGGCTCTCGACAGTGTATGTTTGACATTACGCCAGTCAGTGCTATCAGCTATCCAAAACGCGTTAGCTACTGCGGTTAACTGTCGCCAAATCTGAGTTCAACCCTAATGCATGGGTTAAGTCCTGCACGTCAATTAATTTCGTCCGATTACACAATTATTAAACGTCATAATATCTAGTAGACCAGGTATCATGTCGCAAAGATCAGCTTGACCACCTTCAACTGGTATGACCAGTGACGTTATCATGTTTTGTAATACAAATGATTTGTAATTTTAAAGTTAGTAAGTAGCTGGTTGTCAAGGACCAATGTTAGATATTATTCCACAAACTATAGTGACCATTTTAGTCTAGGTTGACAAGCTGGTTGCTGATTTGTTCCTGTTCCAGCTATAAACCATGATAATCTGGATTTTCCATAGGGAGTTAGTTGGATATTTGTGTGGTCCAATTCATAACGTTTCTTGGAGCTGTTGTAATTTTGGTGTGGTCATTCTGCAGAATGACAGCGGAAAACACGCTCTCCTGCTTTGTTCCCTCGCCTTTTGCGCGTTAAAGTCAACTCGCACCTTCATTCAGCTGAAGTATGTACCGAGACACATGCACGAGCTGTTTCTGTGAACTCATGGATAATTCAGGGCCTCTCTGAAGGAGGACTCGGTGGAGGGTTACCCCGGTGAAATCGTTTTAAAGTCAAGATACTTAAAGCGGTCAGTACTTTAGATTGAATGGTTGCATGGGGTTGTAATTCATTCAGCGGCCTACCACGCGTAACGTTATTGTAGGTCAACATCTCCTCGCTAACTGCTTATGCGGCTTCTCCTTTATTTAATCACCTCGATTATGTGTATATTTCATTGCTGTCATAAACCGTTAAAGCTCCTGCTTTTAATTTTCAAATTTCGCCCTTTAGTCCTTCTAGCAGCAGCTATGGACCGTTAGCTTGACTGCTAACACACGCAGCATGCATTACAACCTCGCATACATCCGATTTAACGTGTTGTATCTGTCTCAGCCAAGACATGCGCTTTTATTCACATATATGTCGTGTTATATGAATGACTTTCGCTGCATTGTCAGTGCGGTGAAGCGCGCACGTCACTTTTGTGGCTGTCCTGTGTGATTCTCTGCCAGTGGCCGGTGCGCGTAACTAACGTTAACGATCACCGCACGCGCTGGAGGGTTCGCTTTTGTATTCTGAATGCAGTAGCTCTAGTAAGCCGCTTACTTGCGATCAATGGGTTCGTATGTAACGTGTTGCGCGAATGACTGGCTACGGTGCCCTCTCCGTTATCTCTACACCTCCCCAAGGTCGAACAGCCACCGAGCAGCACGCGCTCGGGTCTTTTTCTATGGTTCGCTCGCGCACGCGCGCAAGGCCATGATATGACAGCGTGCGTTAACTCGGCGAGCGTGTATTTAACCTCATGCTGAAGGTGAACACGGCCTTCCTGAATCAGTTTGTCATTTACTATACAGAAACTTCAACGTGTTGGTGCATTCGTTTAACCCGGCTGCTTGAAGCTCTCGAGACTAGGAATATTATTGCATGCATTGTATGACCAGACATAGCTTCCATAGCTATTACAGCTATTACAGTTTCATTCAGCAGAGAATAGGAATGCAGAGTGGATCATATGTTATTAATAATATCTGAAATGTAGAATTTTAGGGGGGAAATGGAAGCTGTTTATGTTGCACTTAAAATAGTTTGGGTACATTTGTTTTCATGTTTTATTAATACTTTTTTTTCAATTTCAGAAGCCATTTTCATTTAAGTGGTTTGCAGATTTTGCAATCTTGTCATTGAAATATGTGATGTATTTGTAGGCTAAGACTTACAGCAATAATAAATAAATATAAGAATTGAACATGTATGAAATAGGATGAACAGAATGGGTGATGACATTGTAAACTTATTTAGCTTGATTAATGCTGTTACTCATTAGGGCAATCTATTTTGGGGCCAATTTTTTTGTGATTTATAAATTTCAAACTGATTACAATAAATTCTATTTCTTTTACACTTCTTTACATATTCAGAACCAACTTTAATTTCTTGCATTGTATTTTGTTCACATGCTACATGCTGTAGTCCTTATTCATTGACAGTCAGAGAGGCAGTTGGCAGGCTGTCTTTTGAAACTCTATCTGAAAGCTGAAGAGAAATAGAAACCCCTTTATCTTTGGTTACTATGTACATGAGTGAATGGGAGGGGTTTGTATATGATGATGTGTTCCTCCTCTTCTTGAGACTGGGATATGCTGCTCCCATGATGGAAAGGCATGCATGAATATCCTTTTTTAACTCTGAAAGGATGCTCCTCCCATTCAAGCAGTGAGAGGTAGACATGGCACATAGCTCCTAGCACAGCAGCCTCTGAGGTTGAATGTCAGCCATGTGATATTGTCCCTGAAGTTTCTGCATGGCTGCCCAGAAATCTCCCCTCTCCCGCTGTAAAGCTGCCTGACCAAAAGTGCTGCAAACAATGCAATATAAAATGCAATCTAAGATAAAAAAATTCTTTATTATTCCTGTTGATTACTGACTTACATTATTATTGGATCTGTCTTTTGAATTGGAAGGATGCCATTTAAAAAAAAAAAAAAAATATATATATATATATATATATATATATATATATATATATATATACATATATATATATATATATATACATATATATATATATATATATATATATAGTTAATTCATTGCAAGATTTTTAATGTCCATGCTTCTTGCCTAGTTTGTTGTTTTCTTAATGTTTAATGGACAGTGAACAAGACAAAGAAATGAATGTTGACTTGGGTGCAATTTTCCAAAATGAGTCACCCATTCTTTCACTTCTTCCCAAAGGCAATGCATCCTAAACAATAAATAAAACATTTTTTTTATTGCACTTCTTTCTTGAATGCTTTCTGATTGGTCGGTCTGTGGTAAAATAGATAATTTTATGTCCATTCGTTTAAATATTTAAGTAGCTGTGTCGTTAGTGGGATAATGTACAGTCTTTTGGTTATTTCAAAATAAATAACTTCCTAACTGTGGTCCTTAAGACCTAACTTTGAATGTGCTAGTAATAAAAATATTGGTTTTGTTGTCTTTATTAGAATGTTACATTTTGGGGGCATATCTTATTTTTTTAATTAAACAATAAAATAAAGAATAAACTATTTTTACTAGAATGGATAACAAGAAAACCAATAGTCCAGATCCAACTTCAGTAGTGGTACTAAATTTAGATTTGTTTTTGTTATAAACAGTACTTTTTATGTTCAAGTAATACATAATGTAAATAGTATAATATGCATATTTATATTTTTAAATATAGAATGAATGGTTCTTTTTGGTTTGTATGTCAAGTTTATGGTCTGTCCATTATAGTGCAACATGTTGTTGTTATGACTTTATCTCAATTTGACTAATTTTTATCTGCAGGTGTAGCTGCTAGGGTCTAGAGGAGATGCCACTGAGGTTCCGGTCCTTTGTTCCGTATACGCTTCCTGGAGTGCTAGCGCTCATAGGCTGGTGGTGGTACATCTCCCGCAAGAAAGAGCGAATCACCAGCCGGGACAGTGAGGAGGGGTCAGTTATGGGCTTGCGGACCTCCTCTGGCGAGGGCAGCAATGGCATGGTCGACAAAAGCTGCCCCGCAGCCAGCAGCACACACCGTAGAACCAGCCGTGACAGAGTGAAGGCCAAAGAGCACAGACCTGTTGAGCAGGAAGTTGTAGCGGAGATTCACACGCCAGTGCTAAAAGCCACTGCAGGAGAGGTTCTTGGCACCCCTCCCGTTGTCTTGGCAAGTGGACAGCTAAGCGCTCCTCAGAGCGGTGCTAAATCATTTCCCCCAGAGACCACCAGGCAGAAGACTCCTGTGTCATCTTCAACCCCAACAAAAACAGTGGAGGAGAGCCCTAATCACAAAGAACCAGAGGCCGCCACTGACAGCAAACCTTCAAATCAGTCTCCGCCAGATCCATCAAGTGCTGCTTCAATCAAAAAGCAAGTCGAAAACAAACCACTAATTAGGCAGCGTCCCGCAGAGCTAGCCAAAGCAGAGCGGCCTGAACCTGAGGGAGAGGTGGCCACTGAAACCTCGGCACCGACATGCGCTCAGAATCCGCCAGCTGACATTTCAAAAGATGAGCTGGCCTCCGTTGCGTTGTCAACGGAAGGAGAGGCTGTCTTGCTGGAGACCTGCAGCCCAAAAACACCTCTTACTCTGACCTCAATCCCCTACTCCACCAGTACACCCCACTCAGAAAGATTAACTGAGGCCCAGCACCATGAAAACGGAGACCTGGGCCTGCCGGTTGAGACCAGTCCAGACATGCAGGAGCTCCAGCGCCTTGCAGCTGGGCTGATCTCTGAAGTCATTTCAGCAGCCACCCAGGAGGTCATGGCGGTCAGCAGCTGTGAGTCCCGGTACAGCAAAGGCTCTGAAGCCGCTGACAGCAGCACGCCGGCTGTAAATGGTAAGGAAGTAGAGTTGTGTGTACCTCCTGAGAGCACGGAAAGCGAAGAGTCTCGGGCGGCACAGATAGCGGAAGAGATTGTCAATGGTTGTCTGGCACCTTCGCTCTGGAAGATGCCAGAGAATGAGGAGGAAAAAGGCTCGTTGACTGTGCCGTCTGGGGAACAGTTGGAGTCAACGCCAGTTCTGGCCAAGCTGCAGGCGGAGGAAGCTCTGGTCGAAGACTCGGGATGTAGCACATGCCAATCCGAGGATGGCGTCAGCAGTGAGGACCTCCATAGCACGGGATTGTCCTCGACAGTTTCTGAAAGCAAGGAGGACCTCATTCAAATTTCAGGGACTTGTAGGGCCTCAGAGGGTCATGGAGATGGACTGCAGGAGAGTCTTGTTCTAATTGCTCCTCAGGAGTCCCCGCTTACTGCAGAAAATGTTGCCACGGTTTGCGAAGCAGCACGGTTGAATGGAACAGGCCTCAGGAATGGCGCCATAAGCGAGGTAGAAGCTGACCAATCAGGAGGTGAGTTAAAGTCCTTTAGAATTTAAGAGAATGAAAATTCTTTCACTTTACTCTGTGGGAGCCAAATAATACAGTGGCTCATAACCTACCCGAGTCCATCGTAGGTGCGTCGGATGATAATAGACACTTCTCAAGTTTGCATAATCACAAAATTGTTTAAATAACCAATGTTAAACATTCCTCATGCTTTTTTTTTCTCTTTTTCATTTGGAAAAATATATTTGTCTATTTAATTAAAGTTAGTGGGATCCATTGTTGTTTTGACCTCATTGACCTCAAACAGTTGAAACATTCTTTCGCAGGAGAAACAAATCAATCAGTTTGGAAATTATATGATGGAGAGTAAAATGACATTTTTTTATTTTCGGGTGAACTGTCTCTTTAGTCAAGCTGAAATTAAATTTACAAGATTAAATTCCTTTAATTTCAGTGGTCTCAAAGCATCTCTCAGTCAGGATTGCACTCTTCATATGAACTCCATCTTGGGAGATTGTATGATTGTGCTTTACTTAATAGTTTGGGATGTGATACACTTATCACGCATTTATGCAGAGTGATCAGTGTTTGCTTTTCCCCCATGTCTCATGTTGTGTAGTGTTTACCGTTTGTGCTGATGCAAATCTAACTTTCCACAAAGGTTTTGAATTTTCATCAGAAGGAAGGCACAAAGGATTGGAATCATTTACTGACACCCTCACGCTTTTCAGTTGGCTTTGTTTTTGTGTTTAAATCCAAACAGCATCGATCCTCCTCTTCTTGCCATTTGTCCAGATGTAGTAGTGCAGAAAGCCTAAGTCAAGGCTATCTCACAAACTGTGATGGACCTCTGGAAAGCTCAGATGCTCAAATTCCCAAACAGTGTATGTTACATGAACACAACCGCATGTGCACAGCTGTTTTTACCACTCCCTACTACAGCAACTTCCTTACATGGATATCTAATGGCCAGCAGTTGTTCTGTTATTAGTTATTCAACGGATGTTTTTACCAGAACGTGGCTATACACCACACTGACCATTTTGTATTGTTTGTGTTTGAATGCAGAGAGTATTTTTCTGTTGATTTGATGACAGGAAGCACTTGTGTGGGGTGTTTGAGTGATTTGCCTGAACCGGTTTGAGGTGTTGCTGCCTCACCAGCTGCTGCTGCTGGTGATCTTCTCCTGCCATATTGTGACCTGAGATTGGTGTGGAGACGACTGGCAGCATCTGTTGTCTCAGCCCGTCCTTTATTGAATGAAAGGAGAAAATGTAACAGATCCTTGATGCTTCTTTCCCATTTGTTAAAGCAGAGTAAATGGACAATTGTGGACGCTGTCAACTGCAAGTAGGAGGAAAAGTGTAATAAGCTTACTGCTTTAATGGTTTCAATCAAGAACAATAGTGGCATGGTTTTTGTCCTGAGTGAAGAGGCTGGTTGTTGTGTTTGTCAATGGTCCTTGTCATCTGTTGTGTTTGTTATTGTTACCCCATGGTTACTTGGCAAACAGTGATGACCTGGCTAAGCAGGCATTTGCGTTCAGTCTGTTAAAGAATGGTCTGTTTAGACCCTCTGAAAGTCATTAATTTAGGTTGCAGTAATGTTGTCAGGAGAATGTGTGGAACGGATGCCATGTTTTTCAAACTATGCTTTCAAACAATCGGGTTTACTATTTCCAGATCATCTTGGAATTAGTTGCAGGTGATTGATTTCTTTAAGATGGAAGTTTTTTTTTTATTTATTTTAATATTTATTTTCTACATTTTACCGTTTAATATACAGATACAGTACTATATATAATATTTCTGTGATATGCAGATCACCCCAGGATTAGTTGCAGGTAATATTGATTGTTGTATTCATTTGGCAGAACTTTATTTAAATGTATTTTATTAATTATGTCTTAATTTTTAATTTATGTCTATATATATATATATATATATATATATTATGTATGTGTGTGTAAATTATATATTTTTTACCTTTTGTTTTAACCAATGTGAATTTTAAGGTGTTGCAAATGTTTTTTTGAAAATAGTAAATTGACTAAACTTGTATATTTTTCAAACATTTGCTGATATCAATGAAATGATTCTGTATGTTTTTACTTTGACACATCTGACTGACATTTGTCTGTGCGGGGGGGGGTTGGTTCATAACAGGTTCAGATGTTAATAGCATGGATTCAGTGGACAGCTGTTCCACCTTGGGGGTGGGAGATGGCCAGCCGAGTGGCAGCCAGACCTGTCAATCACAGAGCTCAGATCTTATTGTGTGGGAGATTGAGGTGCCAAAGGTGTGTTGATGATTCTTATTCACATTTATTCTACTTCCATCAATCAAAAGTTTTTTTTTCTGAAACTATTTTAGAATGAAGAAAATCTCATTGCATCTTTTCTTACAGGCCTTTATCTAAATGTCAAAGCACAGAGCAACTTTTGTTAACACCACGGCCTGTATGCGTAGCACACGTTAAATTAAAGCTGAATAACTTAAAGGGATCGTTCACTTTGAAATGCATTTTTGATATGTTTTAGCCTGCCTCAAGTGCATCCAAGATAGATGTCTTTGTTTCCGCAGTATTTTCAATTTTGATATTTTTAGGTCAAACCGTTCTTGTCTGTCAGTCATATAATGGAGTTTTATGGGGTCCACCTCAAAGAGCATGCACAGAGAAGTCCAAATTAAACATGATTTAATGACTCGTAACATTGATAAGTACACATTGATGGCCTAAAACACGAAACAAGCGGTTTGTGTGAGAAAACAAACAGTATTTATTTCGTTTTACCTCTTGTAATCACAGCCACAAAGCGCCCGCCACCTCAGATCACTTGGATGTGGCTGTGGTTACAAGAGGTAAAAACGATATAAATTTTTTGTGTTTTAGGCCATCAATGTGTACTTACATTTACGAGTCATTGAATCATGTTTAATTTGGACTTCTGTGTGCATGCTCTTTGAGGTGGACCCCATAGACCTCCATTATATGACTGATAGGGGTGTAACGGTACATGTATTCGTATTGAACCGTTTCGGTTCGAGGCTTCCGGTTCGGTACGCATACAAACCGAACGATTGCTTGGACCATTTTTCTTGCCGGCAAAATTCGTGCTGACGCGGCCAACACAACGTTGCACAACATCCAAATGGCAATCGTAATGAAAGCAGAACGAAACTGCGCTCCTCGTTATGTGCTTCACGGATCGTTTATCAGTTCGGACCAGCAACATCTGTGCAGCGCGAGCCGATCTCGATCAAGCAACACTGTTACCACACAGCGCTAAGAGATCCGGTAAAGAAAACATTTGAATTCGCCACTGAGGTAATAACATCGCTGCGAGATCTAGTGAGATGCATTCACATTTATCCGTTATTAACCGCAGATCTCTATTAGATCAAACAGCGCTGTCATGGAAACCAGGAGAAACATTGTGCCGTGAATGAACTAGTAATACTTTACGTCCACAGACCAGCAACATTCACCATGGATTTAATATAGTAACACTAACTGGAACCAGTTTGGCTGGAATGGTGAAATGCTTTCAAGTACTTCACACATCTTTTTCCAGCACTTCAAAATTCAAATATTATATAAATAAATATATATTTAAATGTTATTTTTAATGTGATGACCAAAACATTATTTGTTCATCCTTCAAAGATGACCCCTATTTATAAACCTGAAAGTTTCAAGATCTAGGAAAACTCACACTTATTTAAAAATATTTTTTCTTTAAACAAATAGGAAATTTCTCTGGCATTTCTTTCTTTTTGCTGTATCGAAAACGTACCGAACCGTGACTTTAAAACCGAGGTACGTACCGAACCGTGATTTTTGTGTACCGTTACACCCCTGATGACTGATAGACAAACGGTTTGACCTAAAAATATCAAAATTGAAAATACTGTGGAAACAAAGACATCTACATCTTGGATGCCCTTAAGGTAAGCTAAAACATACCAAAAATTAATTAAAAAAAATTAATTTCTAAGTGAACTATCCCTTTAACTAGTCGATCATTGTGTATAAATTAATTACACCTGTCTTGATTATCTGTGGTTCTCCTCTGATTTTGTAGCATCTAGTGGGACGGCTAATCGGCAAACAAGGGAGATATGTGAGCTTCCTGAAGCAGAGCTCTGGTGCTAAGATCTACATTTCAACCCTGCCTTACACTCAAGAGTTTCAGATCTGCCATATAGAGGGTAAGTCAAGTCTCTCCGATGGGCCAGATTTTTCCAGTTCAGCCGTAGCCTCTTTGAATATTTTTTTTCTGGTTTGCTTCTTAGGAAGCCAGCAGCAGGTAGATAAGGCACTGGCCTTGATTGGGAAGAAGTTTAAAGACTTGGACCTGACCAACTTGTACGCCCCACCGCCCCCACCACTAACGCTGCCCTCTCTGCCCATGACTTCCTGGGTAAGATTGGCTCCTCTCCCCTCCTGCAGACTACATGGGCAGCTACCTGACTCTCATGCAGCACTCTAACACTTTCTGTATATAGGATTTTTTGTTGTTGTGTAAATTCACATTCAATTCTTAAATTCAATAGGACAGATCCTGTAAGACTGGATTTATGAAGGTTTTGTTCGCAGTCTGGTCATGTTACTTGAATAAAATCGAACTGCAACCAAACAACACAAAAACATCAGATAATTCCTGGATTTTGACATACTAACATAGTGCTTCAATGGATCTGCCTGGTACAGCTTCTGTTGCCCAGTGGGGTGACAGTGGAGGTGATCGTGGTGAACATTGTATCAGCCGGTCACCTGTTTGTCCAGCAACACACTCACCCTACGTACCACGCACTGCGCAGTCTGGACCAGCAGATGTTTCTGTGCTATTCACAGCCCGGCACTCCCCCATTGCCATCACCTGTTGAAGGTAAAAGGCTCCCCCTTCTCTTTTCACATTCCTCATTCTGTAGAGAATTACTCATTTTCTCTCTCATCTCTTTTCCAGTTGGAGTGATTTGTGCGGCCCCTGCTGTTGATGGAGCCTGGTGGCGAGCGCAGGTCATCTCCTTCTACAAAGATTCAACCGAAGTGGAAATTCGATATGTTGATTATGGAGGCTACGACAGAGTCAAAATTGACACCCTTCGACAGATCAGGTTTAATACTACCCCCTCCCAAACACACACATTTTATATATATATATATATATATATATATATATATATGAAGAGTTCAGATGCAAAAGCCTCTAAATGCCATTTGATATTTTCTTTTTTAATGATGATTTTTATCTAACTTGTATATTTAAGTTCAGTAATTTCACTTAAATAACAATTAATAGGTAATTATCATTGCCATTTAAGTGAAATCACTGAACTTAAATATACAAGCTTGATAAAAATGATAATTCTAGAAGAAAATTTCAAATGGCACTATTTTTTCACCTCTCCCTCTCATCAATGTACCATTAATTTCTTAAATAGGACTGTCAATTTAAATGCACCCTTATGAGTGATAAGGGTAATGAGTGATCGCACGCTTATCATGAAATAAAGCACACACCATTTATACAAACACCATTTCGTCGTCATTTTCTATATCTAGCAAAGTAAACTATTAGATTGAAGGGTGATTCTCACAAAACTGTATTTTCTGCAAGCTTTATTCAAGGTAAATGTAGGTGTCATTCCAAAAACGTACACCAAATAACCAACTGATATAAGGAATCCATATAATTCATAAATGTATGCACACCAAAGCCGTAGTGTTTCCGAAAGAAAATTTTACTTCATTTTTTATTTTTTTAAATTCAGAATTCAACAGTGCGACAGCAAAGAGCATTTACATTTTAGACAAGTTGCAACAAATGAAAATACTGAACAGGACCACAAAAAAGGCACTAAGCCAACCGATTTGACCTGACTGCATGTACTACCTACTACAGTACACGGGTCCATGAATGTCTAAACACAACTTAAATCAAAACATTATCCTGAATGTGTGTGGAAACAAGGTACTGAAATGTGTCTGTGCATGAATAGCCTACAATGTGCGATCAGTGCATCGATTGCACATACATTATTTGTTTGTGCATCAGTATCAGACTCGCGTGTGCTTACTGTATGACTCCTGTGCGTCTTTACTTTGATTGCAATCCTCATCCATTAAAACTTCGCTAGCAAGACATCAGTGTGCCTTTTCCAGCAGAGGAATGTAGTTTGCATATCATCTGGTCATAAAGCAGTGGGATGTTTTGACGTTCAGTCTGTATTTCACACAGCACAATGCGTGAGGGAAACACACACTGGAATGAATAATTCACTTAAAATGCAATGTGAGTCTCTATTCTCTGTGCCATCTCTGGTGTAATCAGCCTGGCCTTCTTTACATTAGCACTGTTTTGGGCTGATTGTTGTGAAAGAAGTTGCTTATTGGATCATTCGACTGAAATCTCATTCTGGATATTAGAGATTTAAAGTAAAATCAGGTTAAAGTGTTAGAATAGAGATTTCTATGCAATCATGATGGCAATAGATGATTTGATTGGTTGAAATTAAAGTTACTCATCATGAGTCATGATCAACCTCCCATCTTCAGGTGCTATTCACATCTTTTCTGCATTTTGTTGTTTTTAATCATAGTCGTCTTCTGTGGACCCACCTAAATTTTTCCTTTTCAGATCGGACTTTGTGACGTTACCGTTCCAAGGAACAGAAGTGTTATTAGACAACATTGCCCCGCTTCCAGGTATGCCTTGTTGTTTAAAATCTTGGAAGTTGAATTTTTCCTCAGCTCATTCCAGCTGGATCTCACTGTTGTTCACGTCTTCATTAGGAGAGGATCGGTTCTCAGCAGATGCCAATACTGCGCTGGGGGAGATGACAAGAGGGGTTCCATTGCTGGCACAAGTGAGTCTTTAAATCATTCATTAATGGATGACATTTATGTTGATGCTGCTTACAACCAACACATCATTTAATGGGCAATTTTCTCTCATAGGTCACCAACTATGACAATAATACAGGACTTCCTTTAGTACACATGTGGAACATGGTGGGAGAGGAGGTAACACTTTTAAAATGTATTTAATAAAATGAATTTAACATTTAAACAGAGTTTTACTCTGATAAACATTTTGACATTTACCCATCCTCTTGTTTCAAGCTGGCATGTCTTCATTTCTTTTTTGCAACACAAAAGGATGAGCAGAATGTCACCCTTTTAATAGTTAAACTATAGATTTGATGTATTGAATTTGAAATATTGAGAAACTGTCTGTTTTTCTCATTTTAAAGGGGGGTCTCTTATGCTTCTCATTTGTTTTCGATAATGAGTAGCATGTGATGATACTTGGTTCCTTTTTTTGTAGCTGGTCCTGCTCAACCGCACTTTGGCAGAGCGAGGTTATGGCACCTGGGTGGACAGTTTCTGATCCTCCAGAGATCCCTCGCTCTCCTCTCCTCACTCACCTTCTGGCCCACCTGCCCCTTAATTATCATCACTCATCATGAATATCAGCAGGTTCTGTCCTCCTCACCCACCGTATCCACCACCACCACCATCTACATGAATTGCGCATCACTGGCTCTGGGAGTTTCTTTTTTTTGGTTTGCTGTCCCCTCCATCCTGTCTTTTTCTATTTTCATTTTTTCCTCTCTATCCCCTGTCGTAAGAAATCAATGTACTGTAAGAAAGAGAAAAAATGAAGAGGGAGCTAAGCGTCAATGACTGAACCACCAACAAGGACTGAAGATTTCTTGACTGTGCTCCTGTAAATTTAAATATTGTAACTAAATAAAGGTTAATAATTTTTTTCCATCCGATCAGACTCCTTCCAGCACAAAAAAACATAGACTGTGGATTATCATGCCGTGGATGAAAAATCTGTAGTGATTAAAAAAAAGTACATTTGTGAAGACAGTTAAGACTCAGTGTTGTTGCTGCTGATGTAATCCTGAGACTTGAGACATCATCTTTGCATTTACGTTATCACGGCTTTGTCCCAGTTTCACTTTCCAGCCAGGTGGTTCTCCAAGGAATAAACCGCCACAGCTCCATGTCCTCCATCTCTATGTCTGTGTACAACAGTGTGGCCTTAAGAGGGTAATACTCAGCCAATTTCATGACCTCCCTCTTCCCCACACTCTGGATCTGTAGGAATCCAACTGCCTTCGGCGTCAATAGGCCTGACACTAAGCATCGCTTCATTTACTTCACTGATTACAGAATCCGTTAATCCAGGAGACGTCTGTGCCCTCCTGACCTTTGGGCCTTTTTTAGGAAAGACTACACCGAGTGTTCAGCCCTAGAGGGACACTAGAGCTCGAATGGTGCTGCAATAGATAGAAAAAGGGCCTGTACGGCTAATTCTTATCTGTGGAGACACTAAAAGAATGACTACACAAACCAGAACACTACTGTGTGATGAGGACAGCAGGGCACTTCCCTTCTGGGTGGATGAATTGCATTCAATGGGTCTGTGTGTTTTTGTATGCATGTAATTCTGCTCCAAAGCACGTCGAGTCACACGCCGCATTATCAGTGTGATACGCTGCTTGCTTTCGTCTCACTCAAGATCAGTCTCGCAATAATCTCACGTTTATTAGACCCATTGCCATTAACGTCTCCTTGCATTCTGTACATAACATGTTACACGGTGTCCAATCCCAGCAACCCACGCAATTGGCTCCTAGGAGAATCTGTCGATACACCTACCTGGCTTGGAGTAAAGCTTTAAGCCTTATCCATTGTTTTTTTTTTTTTTTTATGTTGGTTATACATGGGATGAAATTTAGGTCTTCTATATTACTATAATTTGTTCAAGTATAACGACGCAGAGATTAATATTCCCTTTTTTGTATTTAGTCATTGATCATACTCTTTCAGTCGTTAACAAGGCTCTTCCCTTTTTCTGCTGCTGAATTAATGCTAATCTAATGTTGATGGACTTCAGAATGTCTATGTGTGTCCTTGGATGGATTATTTCCCGGCTTTTAGCTTTGTTATGGTTTGTTTGAAAAGTTTTGATTGTCGGAACTGCAGTTGTTAGTTTCTTATGCCCTGAATACATTTTCCAGTGTCAGAAATAATGATGAAAAATTAAAGCCCCTTGTCACTGCATATATCTGGCTTCTCCAGAAAAATCTGGAAAAAAAAAAAAAACGAAATCGTTTTTTTTTTTTTTTTTTTACACTTGTCTATCACCTTTGAAACGATAATACACCCTGCTCACTTTAATTTAGCGGTAGTTAGCGCTAAATGTAAACTGATAGCATTGAAAAGTAACGTTGACTAAAAGAAAGCAGGTTTAGGCGTTTGTGAGGGTATTTTCGCAGTTCGACATAATGCTGCGAGGTTTTTCTGCAATATTCCCCTCACACAAACGTTTCTGTACTCTCTTACGTTCATCTCAGGTATGAGCTTTTCATTTATTACCATTCTGTGTTCGAGGAGAGTTGTTAGTCCAATTATATCAAAGTACTTTACCTGTGTGAATGTGCGCCGCCCATTATATGCCTGCATTACAGGTGAATGAATGGAACCACACCGACCTCAGAGCCGAAGCGTTTCATTGGTCTGTTTGCTTTATGTATTGATCTAGTCCAGTTAACCTCTGCATACGCTCATATCTTTACTGACATGGGCATGGCTTCCTACCATCAGTTCAAACGTGTACACCTGTATGTTCCTACCCGCCCTCGTGTAATGTAAAATCACGCTACTTTAGACTTGTCCAGGTGTGTGTGTGTGTGTGTGTAAATATAAGATGTCTCACTGTAACAGTTGGAGCGAGTGTAGGAAGCAAAAGGGAACTTTTTTTTTTTTCTGTCTCATCCCATACCTCCAAAACCTACTCATTTGTTCTCTGTTGGTAGGAATGGTTTGCAATGTTTGCTTAGCTAGATAATTAATCATTTGATTATTGAAATGAGTGTAAGAAAATCTGCATAGACATGTACAGGTCAGTTTTTGCCAGACTCACTACAAAGTTTGATTCTTTCGTTGTACAGATCTATTGAAAAAAGAGAATAAAGTTATTAAAAATATTTCCTATATTTTATATGTTGTATTTTAGTTATGAAATCAGTGCGACTTGGCTTGCAATATACTGTAACTAAACAAACCCAGATAGCACAAGTCTATTTGATGTTATATTTACATCTGGAAGACGTATCTTTAAGAGTGTTTGCTCATCTACAATACGTCTATAGGACGTTTCCGGTCAGATGTCAAATAGACGTTTAGTAGATATCAGTTTAACATGCATTAAATCATTACATCTTAAAGACATCTTCTAAATGTCTATTTGACATCTGACAGGAAACGTCCTATAGACGTATTGCAGATGAGCAAACACTCTTAAAAATACGTCTTCCAGATGTAAATATCACATCAAATAGAATTGTGCTATCTGGGAACCAAATGTTTAAAGTCAGTCAGCATATTTGAATGATTTTTGGAGGATCGTGTGACAATAGGCCTATAAAACTGGAGTAATGATGCCACCAAGGGAACTTCATTAGAAGTAGTTCTTATTCTGAACCTGTAGAGGGTGTTAAATACCACGTTATGATCATGCTTCTCTCAAGGCTGAGTTCATGAATTTCAGCTGTAATCCCAACTATCACATTTCCAAGAACAAGGATATTCTCTCAAGACGTGCCAGTGTAAACACTTCTAAATGAGACCTCTTATATTCATCCCTCAGCACCATTAGTCGACGAATCGTCTCTTCCATTTGCTACACTTTTTTTTTCTTTTTTTTTTAACCAGAGGCGGGCCACCTTTGCACTCTGATGTGGCTGAGAGGGACAATATCTGAGCTTTTGTTCAGAATTATATATATATATTTTTTCATTCTTATGTGTAAAATGCCCCTGGCAAATCCCTGATGATTTCAGAGGATTTTCAAATGAACTTTTACAAGTCTGTTCATTATAGGTAATAAGGTTTAGCCATTAGAATGACTTTAATTGTAGGCCTATGTTTATGACGTCTTGAGAGGCTTCAGGTTAGTGCTATTGTGTGCTACAAAATCACAAATCCTTGTTGCTGTTGATTTAATTTATTGGTTAATCTTTGGTTATAATGTGGCATATCCATCAGCAGCATTATATAGTGAATGTTGTATGATCTGTAGGTGAAACCACATCTCAGGCTTTGGCAAGTCATAACTCTTCCTGTAAGTCCAAAACATGAACAGTAGAAATAGAAGCCCGAGCCTCATTAGCAGCCAACTGGCTTGTTTGGGGTTTTAATTCTAGAAATCTCGGGAGTTATCACTTATTTAACTAATTTATGATTTACCGGTGGCTGTTTTGCCATTTAAAGGCATCATGAAATTGGCAGATGATGCCAAAATACATTATCTAATGAAAAAGGTAATGAATCTGGCAATGAGGTACAAAATGGCAATTCTGGTATAACTAATGAGCCTTCTCTAGTTTTCTCTTTCTGTATACATTTCAGTCAGACTTCATGACTTCAGGATCTTTTCATGCTTGTTGATTTGAATTGCAGATTCAAAGTCAAGTCAGAAAAGATCATATATGATCAGTCGGATTCTGAAGTCAACACGACTTTCATTTCCAACCAAAATTCAACGTCAGTTCAACATTGAAAGCCCAGATAAAAGTAAACGCTACTTGGCTATTTGGTTCAGATCCATGTCCGAGGCAGTTTGACTTCACGAACGTATTTCTTCACACACACAAAGAACTACGGAAGATTATCTTAATAGAGAGAATAAAGACTTTAATCTCGAAATGCTAGTATTATTATAAAAAAAAAAATTAAGTACTTTTTTATGTTGTGGTTCAGGGCTTCTGTGGTTTTGATTTCAGTTTCATATTTAAAAGTAAACCTATCATTTTATTTTCCCATCAAATTTCCATATTTAAAAAGTTATTTTTGAAACATTATTTATGCAGATGTAATTGTACCAATTCAGATGCAACTTCTGTGCCACCTCTGCACCACAAAGATGAATTTTCATTGTTTGTGATTTGATTGATAACTTCTCTATAGTGTCTTATTGTTCTAATTGTAATCATTGATTAAATATAAGACATTTCCACAAAGACACAATGTCTTGTCTTGGTCTCAACACACTTTGGTTTTGGTCTTGACTTGGGTGGAACTTTGGAGGAAGTAGAAACGGGGGGGACTTTATTGCATCGGACGTGTGTCACTTTGCTCACAGCTGATTGGTTAAATTTTGTTTTGAGATACCTGGAACAGACTGTTGTCCAATTTAAAGACTGCATCCCTCGAAGGGCATGAAGGTTGAACTGAGCGTTGTTAAATGGGACGGTCTAGCCTACGGAGGACTGTTCTTGACGCCTAGCAACTGTGACAGCTTCAGTAACGTTTGTACTGGACTTTTTAAAAGATATATTCAGCTGCCTGGAAACAAAACAGGTCTGTCTAAACTGTTTAAATATTTCTGTATAATAAAGAATATAATAAACTATAATCGCATCTTAGGAAGTCGTCAACATTTGAGCTTTACACTTTTCAATTATTTTTACATTTGTATCCTTACATAGCCTATTTGAGTAAGTTGAAACCCAAACTTGCATTTGAATGTGTAAATTGGTGAATTCTCTCAATAAAAAATCCTGTCATAACTGGGCCACAATGATCTGGAGCAAAGGGTCCATCTCTTGTATCCTTCATTTCACGGAAAACAAAGTGCGCATTTGGAGGCTGCATTTGAAAGAGCCCGAAAGAGCCCTCAAATTGGCACAGCCTTCATCAGGTTGCGGTCATTTACTATTGAATTAGCCTATTGCAACGCATTCTCACCCCAAGGCGTCACCTTTTGACCATGCTTCAATATTCAACGCTTTAGGTGCCCTTTCAGTTTCATGACGTGATCCTACGGCGCCATCTGACTGACGCTAAAGGAAAAGCGTCAGTTAGACTATATATATATATATATATGCTTTTTTTTTTTTTTTTACAGGTTTTTAGGTATGTTATGATGCTTGTAATATAAAAAATGACCTTATTTTAGTATTATTGCTAATTTACTGAAAATCAACATCAATTTATGATGTCAGCTTATGTGATGTTCTCGCAAAGATTTTCAGTTGTATGGACAATTCAACATTCAAGATGACTTTGGGAAATGAGAGAATGCAAAGAGGATTAGAGGATTTTTACAATTAAGTTAAGACATTAAGTAAAGTTAACTAAAAAAAATCTTAGAATCACTGTTGGATTTTACAGTGTGCAATTCTAGATTATAATGTGCTGTTTGATGGTATAATAGACATGTCTGACTCATCCCTCTGACTACATGGCATCCCTGGAATAGAGAACCACATTAATATTCATTCTGCATCTTAAATCTGCATTCCTTTAAAATAATATGAAACGTATTCTCTGATACAGTGATTCACGTGTCAGGTGCTTTTGCGATGTGGTAATATGAGCACTAGATGGAGCTGGAGTTTGATATTTCAGCTACATTTTTTTTCCTGCTCATGAGATCATCAACTTGTGGAGTGTCAGGACCATCTCCATTACAGGGCACTTAAATGAGCTTTTTGTCTGTCTGATCTCCGTCAACTAGTGGTAATGCGTTCGCTCGTACAAGCCGAGATGAATCTAATGAAGGCACTCAAGCACACACAACCTTTATGCAGGCGTTTTGAAAGGGTTGCGCATTTTAGCTCATCACTGGACAGTGGTAATTATCCGAGGTCACCATTGTCTCGCTTTCTGTCGCCAGACAGCCGAGACCCTTAAATCTGCGAAAACCGTGTGCGGAACACAATGGATATTCAGACGTCTTCTGTCATTCCAATGTTACACTGTATGGCAGTGCTGGAATTAAATGAATGTTATTGTCTCCCGAGGGGCCTTTTAACATCAACACATTTCTCATTCAATTGTTCTGCCCGGGCACAGCTAAATTACACTTACATTTTTTGTATCTCGCCTCCCTTCTCATTTTCAGTAATGAACGAGAAGAGGCTGAAGTCCATTCTGTGGCCACCAAGTAGGCTATACACTTTCCTTTATTACCGTCCATTAAGAGGCCGAATGTTCTGTTTCTGTCTTCCACAAGCATAACCGAAATCTCAACCTTTCCAGACGCAGTAATCGAGAGTTCCACCGCAAGGGCGATTCTGAAGCGTTTCCAAGTAATCTGATACCTGACCAGCAAGGCTTAACGCTGATTTATTCTTTCATTAATACAGTCTAAGGAACAAATTGATTTTAAAACACAGTGAGCATTGATATCTGTGAATTTTAGACAGACTGCAAAAAGTAGGCTATAAGACACCTAAAACATGAAGGTCATTGAAAAGTGAAAAATATAGAAAAATGTCAAACCAAGCATCGTTTAGGCCTATTTGAAATAATGCATACTTTTCAAGCAAAGCATTTGACAAAAAGAGGTTTGCAAGGTTTTAAAAATGGTACGAAAGCTGTCACGGGTGGTACCCTTAAGAAAAGGTATGTAGGCCTAACTAATGTACATTTAAGGTTACTTAGCTCTCTTTAGGTGTAGCCTACCTTTTGAAACGGTACTACCCCAGCAGCTTTTGTACCTTTTTTTCTGAGAGTAAATGATACAACAATTGACATTTTTATGGCTGCACACATTTGCAAAAATCCTTAACAATGTTAGTTCTGAAAAGGTCTAGCATTGTGGTTTGTTGCTGTTTGTTTAGTTTTTTACTTATTGCAGTTCATTCTGAGTGTAGCCTACAAGTCTATTTGATGTGATGTTTACATCTGGAAGACGTATCTTTAAGAGTGTTTGCTCATCTGCAATACGTCTACAGGAAGTTTCCTGTAAGATGTCAAATAGACATTTAGTAGATGTCAGTTTAACATGCGTTAAATCATTACATCTTAAAGACATCTTCTAAACGTCTATTTGACATCTGACAGGAAACGTCCTATAGACGTATTTCAGATGAGCAAACACTCTTAAAAATACGTCTTCCAGATGTAAAAATCACATAAAATAGACTATTTGATGTGATGTTTACATCTGAAAGACGTATTTTTAAGAGCGTTTGCTCAT